TTAGTACATGCATGCCCATAGACACTTAAACTTTACATGATTTTTCTAGTATATTTTCTTATTAAATATTTATATTCAATGTGATAGCATCTCCAAGGTCATGACTTTAAGTTGGAGGAAGAACCTGGTTGTTACTGTTGAAGCTTTACAGGAAATCATGTTATCTTGCTTGCATGTTTTGTTTTGTCCTTAACTCTAGGTTTCTATGGCTTGCAGGTTGCAAGTGTGTTTGTTCCTACTGTTGTTACTCTGGCATTGCTCACATTGTTGGGATGGTAAGAGCTGAATGGCTTATTTTGTCATATTCATCTTTTTATGAGATAAAATGTGTGTGACCTCCATCTAACATAGAATTCTTTTGTTGATTGTTTGTAGGTATGTTGGTGGAGTTGTTGGAGCCTACCCAGAGCAGTGGCTACCAGAAAATGGCAATTACTTTGTTTTTGCTCTCATGTTTTCAATATCTGTGGTGGTAATTGCATGTCCTTGTGCTCTTGGCTTGGCAACTCCAACTGCTGTCATGGTTGCAACAGGTGTTGGAGCTAATAATGGTGTGTTGATTAAAGGAGGAGATGCTCTGGAAAGAGCTCAGAAGGTCAAGTATGTTATATTTGACAAAACTGGCACTTTAACCCAGGGCAAAGCCAAGGTCACAACTGCAAAAGTTTTCTCAGGGATGGATCGCGGAGAGTTCCTTACGCTGGTGGCTTCTGCAGAGGTAATTTCTAGCAGCCTAACTAGTTTCGTAGACAATATTCCTCTCTCTCTCTCTCTCTATTATTGTACCTATCTCTGGTTTCAGTCCTACACAGGGCATTTGACAATAAAAAGAGCAAATTTAGATTACAGGCTTACATGGAATGGCGCAGAGGAGTAGTCAGACCTTTTTCTTCTTTTATGCATTTCTACTGTTACTGAATTCCCCCCCTTCTTCTCATTGCTTAGGCTAGCAGTGAACACCCATTGGCCAAAGCAATAGTTGAATATGCTCGCCACTTCCATTTCTTTGATGAGAATTCACTAACTGAAGATGCCCAAAACAGCAACAAAGGATCCACTGCTTGGCTTCTTGATGTTGTAGAGTTCTCTGCTATCCCAGGAAGAGGAATTCACTGTTTTATTGACGGAAAGCGAGTACTGGTGAGTATTTGGTCATAATTATTTATAATTTCTGAGGCTTCAGAAACTGTCTTCATTGCTCTTACTAAAAGTGGTGTTCGTGAACAGGTTGGTAATCGGAAGCTGCTAACAGAAAGTGGAGTTAGCATTCCTACCCAAGTAGAAAATTTCGTTGTGGATTTGGAAGAAAGTGCCAGGACAGGCATTCTTGCAGCCTATGATGATTATGTGATTGGAGTTTTGGGAGTAGCAGATCCATTGAAGAGAGAAGCTGCTGTGGTTGTGGAGGGTTTAGTGAAAATGGGTGTCAGACCTGTCATTGTTACTGGAGATAATTGGAGGACAGCTCAGGCTGTTGCTAGGGAGGTTTGTTCATATGCATTATGTTGATGGGCTTGCTGTTGAAATACTGATTATCTGAATATACAATCATTAATATTGCATTGGTTGTATGTCTGTGTTGGTATTTATTGGTTGGATGTAAGGCAAACTCATCTAATCTGCACATAAAAATAAATTAAGATCACAATATGAGAGGTTGTGCAGATAGCACATTGTTAAAATTTCTGTTGAACATGAACCAAATTTACTTGTTTTTGGACAGGTGGGCATCCAAGATGTGAGGGCAGAGGTAATGCCGGCTGGAAAAGCTGATGTTGTACGTTCGTTTCAGAAAGATGGAAGCATTGTAGCTATGGTGGGGGATGGGATCAATGATTCTCCTGCTCTAGCAGCTGCAGATGTTGGTATGGCAATTGGGGCAGGGACAGATATTGCCATAGAAGCTGCAGATTATGTTTTGATGAGAAATAACTTAGAAGATGTGATCACAGCCATTGATCTCTCCAGGAAAACATTCTCCCGTATACGGTTGAATTATGTTTTTGCCATGGCGTACAATGTGATTGCAATTCCAATTGCTGCTGGAGTTTTCTTTCCTTCCCTAGGGATTAAGTTGCCACCATGGGCAGCTGGTGCCTGTATGGCTCTTTCTTCTGTAAGCGTAGTGTGTTCTTCTTTACTTCTTCGGAGATATAAAAAACCCAGACTTACCACTATATTAAAAATAACTGTTGAGTAGAAAAAAATTTGAAAAACTATTTTTCTCCCTGTAACTTTCTTAGGTTTCTGTGTTGTAGGAAGGAAATTGAAAGGTGCGAGTGAATCATAAATTTCCCAATTTTGTGAATTTTCTTTTTTCCCTTTCTTTTTAGTCATAGGCAATTGGAGGTCCAAGCCTTTTCACCCCACTAAATGTAAATGTACTTGTATAATATATATGATCATTGATGCGTTCCTTTCTCTTGTCTCTTTTTCTTTTGGGTCAAGAATGTTCCTTTCTCTCTATATTTGCAATTCTATCAGCGTCTTTGAAATGTGGTCTCTGGTTGGTATTAATCCATTTTTGTCAATTCCATGGAAATATCATTATGATTGGAGTTGTGTAGTATTCAGAATCACATTGTCTAACCCTAGGTAGGTAGGGTTGGCACGGATTAAATTGGGGTTGATTTTTGTTTGTCTCAATTTTGATTTGATTTTATATTATTAAATTTAAACTTGATTTAAAAATATTTTTAAATTTTTTATATTTATATTTAATTTGATTCGATATTATTTAAATCGAATTCGATCTGATTCGATTTGAAATTAATAAATATTATTTTTTAAAATATAAATATTTAAATATATATAAATAAATAATTAAAAAATAATTTTTATATAATATTATATTAAATTTGTTTAAAATTTAAATTCAATTCGATTTTAATTTTTTTTACTTTTACTTTTCGATTCAAAATTCAATTTAAAAAAAAAAATTAGAGTCGAAATCACTCGAATTGGGTTACCGACCCTATATGTGGGGTCGGGTAGATGGGTTCTGTCTGAGCCGCCAGAATGCATTGTTGAGATCCTTTCGCATTTGAGATTTGCTTCTTAATTAAAATTTATAAAAAACAAAAGAAAATACTTTGAGCCCATGGCTGTTTCTGGGTTTCTTCCTCTTTTGATATATGGCACCCTACCAATATTTCAAACAAAAAAAAAAAAACCTTTTGCAATCCCTTTCAAAGTCGTAGTTTCCGGTTTGTACCGAGTTTTCTCTCAAATGGATAAAGATAATATAATGCCGTAGCAGCAGGTGGCGGTGATCCTGTGGACAATGTCCTGTTTCCCTCTGTAGCAATAAATGAAAGGATGCAAATGCAATGAATGTTTTGGCTTTACGGCGACTGACCAAGTCAAAACGTACTCGTACATTATTAATTCCATTTTGTTCATCTATGACCAATTAGCATCATCTACTTCCTTACAACTAGTCAAAGTCAGATCCTCATGGTCAAAACAAAGATTAGTCCTTTCACACTGCATAAAGAAGCGAAGTTTCCCCACTGTTTCCCTTTAATAGATTATAACCAAAGCATTTGCCTGAATGATGAGTGAAAGGAAATTGCAGAAAACAAAAGAAAAACGGTGGGGGGGAAACCAATATCAATTCAGCAAATATTCTCATTTTTATTTTGACTCGCTCCCTGCCTTGTTAATAAGGAAAAAGACAAGCAGCAGCCCGTGATGCTTCAAAGGGAGGCAAGACAAGTAATCTCCGGTCAAAACCACATCTGACTGATAAACTTGGTCAACAAGAAATAAATCCCTCATGGTTTATCACTTTATGTTCTAGATTGCGTCCTTGAAAGTCTACGTTGTAAAAATAATATACTAGTAGTAGATATTTTTTGTGAGAAACGAGCAAAAAGAAAAAAAAAAATACTAATGCAGTAGATTAAATTCGCACGAGTTATAATGTCAGTTGCCCTACAGTTGTAGTATTTTATTTGACAAATACAGATTCAAACATAACAATAATGTAATTATATAACGACTCTCTAACTATCAAGAAAGAACCTGTCAAAATTTATAATAAATCACTTGTCACTCTTTATGTAATCTTCACCAATATATATATAAATATATATATATATATATTAAATCAATTTTGGTTTGCTGGATTTTAGAATAGGCTACTTGAATACAAACTTCTTTGTTTTTCTAGTTTGATATATTTCATATGCGTGCCTAAATTGAAGAGTGGTAATCAACTCATGAGTAACCATGACTGCAACTCAAAAATATTTAAATGCTCAACATATTATTATAATATGTTACTTGACATAAAAAAAAAATGTTAATATTCTTCCTGATTGCCGGTGCTCAAATTCTAAAGTCAAAATTTTAAACTGATAACTCTCTCTGCAATTAACAAATAGGTTAGGGAAAGGGGGTTAGAAGAAACCTTGATTATATGAATCCAAAATAGGAAGCATACATTTGTGGGTGGGTAAATTAGCACATTTCTTAGTTCCTTTGTTTGGGTATGATACAAGTCTGAATGCATTTATCGTCACAATGGCATGGAATATCAGCTGTTGCCGATATCATTGTTAGGTTGGGTCATCCTACAAATGCAAATAGGCAGAGGACAATGTGAAATGCATGAATCTAGAAGCCAAAGTACATATATAGCAGGTATGCTGACTTTTAGAAGCGTCTAGTATTTGAATTCTTGCACGTTGTATGGGCAAATTCAGTCATCAGCCTCATTATCATGGAATTGCTTTAGTTGTCATCATAACAAACCATGACACATTTCTAATCCAATTCAGAATGACAAATATTTGATAGTATACGTTTTCATCTTGTTGTGCGTGCAACTAATTAATGGAGAAGAAAAGTTGGAAAATCAGCCTAGATTTATTGTATCACGCTAGGAAATGCACATCGAATTAATTCCTTTCTCATTTTAAGCATAAAGTTAACCAAGAAGCAAAGACTATCTCAAGAAGGCTCCAAATTCACCCACCAATGGTCTAAAGTTAGCCTATACGCATGTGGTATGATCATGACCCATTTGATGTTAACAGTTGTTGTTTCCAGGAAGCATCTCTGCTTTGGGTTCAATCCCATTTTATCTTCTCTGAACGCAGGGTCAAGGGTATAGCTGTTTACTTTGACCAGAGATTGTCACTATATAAACAAATTGAAGTTAAAGGATGTTCCTTTCTATGAACGAAGTAAAAACAGGGAAAGTGGGAACTCAGTAATACTCCATGAGCACCACAGTGGCTACCTCCAATGAATGGATGCAATTCTATGAACAAACTGTCGATGAACTGTCAGCATCATCGTTGGGATTCTCTGATGCCACTGTCGTGGCAACAAGTGTCTTTTCCAAGAGCAACCTTAGCCCTCGCAGTAGCAGTTTACATTCAGCAAGTTATCGATTGACGCCAAAGGGTTCTTCCCCAAAGCCAATAAGAAAAAGGTCTAGAGCTTCCAAGAAAACACCCACCACCCTTCTCAATGCCAACGCAAGCAATTTTCGAGCCTTGGTGCAACAATTTACAGGTTGTCCCAGCACACCCCTTTCACTAGGGAACGGAAGAGGCCCAATTAATTTGAATTTTACTCTCGGGAGTGAACGGAATCAAAGCAGTTCTGCAACTTCCTTAATGTCAGCTTCCGGCAACGATTATTATTATCATCAACAAAGCGATCAAGAGCAGCTGCGGCAGCAAGAGAACGCATCTCACCGGCAACATCAGCATTTGTACCAGGAAAAACAACATGCAGTATCATTTGACGATGTTCACCAGGATGCCTTCTTTAGCTCTTCTAGCGTTAGATTTAATGCAGATCAGATCCTTGACGGTTTTGAATTGGATCATATTTCTTTACCGGCGCTTAATAGGGACATCCCCTACTCCAATGAAAATGCAAATGATGGCAATTACTTCTTGTAAGGATTATGTTATTGTTATCTCGCCATTCATCACCTAGTTTTGGTGGTTGTTTATCTGTCGGAATTTGATTAGGAATCAGGAATATTTGTCTTTATTATTTTTTTTGTTTGCATTCTTGTCATAGACAAGGAATCGGGAATTACTGTATGTTTACTTGTTAAAGGACATCAACAGGAAACATGTGCTTACTCTATGTTTACTTGTTAAAGCATTGTCTCTCCTGTTGCTCAGAACAACGGTTTGATTTTGTTCAATTAGGGATGTAAAGGAGCAGCACAAAACAAAGTAAGGTTTTATTCAATTAGCAGGCTAAAATTCAATTATTTACATCCATCAAGTTAAATAAGTTATTCAATTGGAGTCAAAATAAAGAAAGACAAGACATGTACTGTAATGTACCTTCTTCATTTGACGAGGCTACGCATAAAAGTAAAAAATCGTCACTTTTGGATGATCAGCATCCTAAGAAATTAGAATCTTAACAGTTTTTTTTTTTTTTTTTCACTTTTTCATTACAAAAATGTGCACAAGACTTCTCTACTTCTGCTAAATATATAATGCTCCCATCATACAGGTTTATGACAGTATCCAGAAACAAGAGAAAAAAAAAGAAGGAAGAAAAGTGTGTAAATTGCAGTAATAAAAATTGAATCGTGATTACAGGAAACGAGTTTTAAGTTGGGGCTTTGCAATTTTAGTACTATTATAAAATCAGTGTGCCTGCCAGGGCGAACATAAGCAAGAAACCTGATGTCAATTACTAGGCCCAACTTCAAAAATCAACTTCAAATGGGAGCCCATTCCAAGCATCCCAATTCCCAAACTCAGCAGAAGTTGGAAACGTAAAACCCCCAAACCCAGCGAAGCGACCCTCACCCTCGCTCTGTTTTTCTCCTTGGGAATAAACCCTGGAAAAGGCAAGGGTTTTAAACCTAGGTTCTCCACCTCAACAGCCGACATGAACTCCCTCATTCGAACACTCGCAAAAATTTCAACTTCACAATCGCATCAGGCCTCAAGAAGATGGCCTGCTTTGCACTCTTTCTCTACTTCTACCACTTCCAAGCGGTGGACCAAAACTAAGAAACCATCCGAATCCGACTTCGAACCCTCAGCACCCAAGGAATGGCCTAGGCCTACTAAGATACCCTTCCAATCCAAGGTGGCTAACTCCGTCAGCATCTCGGGTTACATTCATATGCCCGTACAGTTCGAGGCTGCCTCTGATGGGAAATTGTGGGCTGGCACTGTTATTTCCCAGAACCCTTCTTCTGATTCTCCTCCTCTCTGGTACCCATCTTCCCATTTCCCTTTTTTTTTTTGGGTTTACTGAAATATTCAGATGCTCCTTTCTGTTGAAAGTTTCTTTGTTTTATTAATACTATTATTTTGATCATTTCTGATTCTATCTTGTTGTTTTTCATGATCACTGAGAAGATGCCAATCAGCAAATTATGTTTTCCTTTTCATTTCTTGCTTAGTTTTAGCCACTGCATCGTTTATTAATGTTTGCCATGCAAATCCTTTGTGTTTTGTTTTCCTAACATATATCAGGATTCCAATAATTTTCGAGGGTGATTTGGCCCATATTGCTGCTTGCCATCTGAAAGAAAATGATCATGTCTATATAGATGGGCAACTCAGTGCAGATCCACCTTCTTCTAATGCAAATCATGGTCAAGCCAATGTCCAGGTAGGAAGCAATGGAATGATTACTATTGGACCATTTAAAATTTCAAAATTGAATTCAGGTGGTCTAATTGTTCAATTTTTTTGTGGAAAAAATTTTATTTGGTGTATAATTAGCATAGGATCTATTATCTAATAATATGCATTGGAGTTAATCACTTTTAAAACTAAAGTTTCTCTTTTGTTTTCTTTATGTCTCTAGAGAAGTTCATAGTGTCGAAGTTAGTGCTATTGTTAAAATTTCAATCTTACCAATGCAATCACATATTTCATATAAGGCAAAATCGAAGTAGATGGTACTGCCCGTTACAACCCGACAGTTGTGAGAACCTAATTCTCAATCTTACTTCTGTTTCCTGTAGCTTAACCTTGACTGGGCATGATACTACTACTTAACCTAAGCCTCTTATAAACGTATGGTTCATTGAGTATGTGGTGGAAAATATCCTGCCTAAAAAAATTTACTTTCAAACATAAAGAAGCTACAATCTTTGTGCCATTGTTATTAGATTAACTATAACCTAGCGTACAAAAGAATATGGTAAAGATAAGTTCTCTTTAGTTCATATGTCTCTGTCTGTAGTTTCTCTTAATATAAAATAATTGGGCAAACAATTGAGAAATTACAATTTCAGGATTGGTCTAATATCCTAGTCTCTCCCTGGTAGGTTATGGTTCGTACTGTCAACTTTGTTGATGAATCTGCTCCCATGACGAAAAGCATTGCTACCCCTAAAGAAGAAGGGGCCTTTAGTGATTCTGGTGAGGCTCTGTGGTTCTATCTCTCATATTTTCATATCATGGAAGAGTATAGGATTTAAAATATTTTTGATGATATATTTTGTGCTTTAAGTTGTCCAAGATAATTCTGTCTTTCATCAAAGCTAAAATTTTCACTATGCTGATTGGCATTGATACTGGCTACAATTGATTAAAATTTATTTGCCCTGTATTTTAGATTTTCTATTCCATTAGGTTTGAGGCAAGAAAAGGATCTGACTTGACTCAGGAAAAATTTAACCATCATACAGAAAAAATTGGTAAAACACTGGAGTTAAATTTAACTTATCCCCAGAATGTTTGTTGTAAGCTTGATTAAGCCTTCCATCTGCTATTGTGTTCAAGAGTTGGGGGTTCAATTGAAATTTGCCATTCAGCCAAGGTAAAGTAATATATGTTAAAATGGTGCAACTCAAATGGTTTTTTCAATTGGTTATCAATTGATGGCTCCATTATTGGGTGCAACAGAACCTATGACCAATCACATTTTTCATCAAATGTATCTTTATTCATTCTGCTTTACATTAATCCGAAAAACTGATTGAAAGGCTTAAGAGCCTTAAGAGCCTTTCACCCTCTCCATTACCACATTATATTGTTGTTCAGCAGGTTTCACTAAGTAGGGCTAACTTTTTTTCAGCTAGCACTAAGAAAGGTACTGAAACTGCGTCTAGTATCTGGAGGGATCTTCTTGATAATCCAAAAGAGTGGAAGGATTACCGTGAAAAGAAGCTTAATGGAGTGGTAATCCTCTAATTTGATGTATCTTTCCTCCTTTTGCCTTGAAATTAGTGCTTATTATTTTATTTACAGGTAAAACCCAAATTTCCTGATTTTAAACACAAAGATCATGATCTTTCGCTTTGGCTTGACTGCGCACCCAAGTGGGTTTTATCAGAACTTAAAGGACCGCAATATGATGGTCCTACTCAAAAATCAAACCAAGTGAACCAACTTAAAGGTATAGTGAAATAAATTATGTATAGTTTTCATTGCATTGACTGTTTAAACATGGGCCTCTGTTACAGTATATCAACCCAATGGAGATAATTGAAGAAAACATCAGTAGCATTAGTGTTCTGGTAATATTTAGTGAAACAAAAAGAATATCCAAAATGGTGATAAAGTGTCCAAATGCTGAGCATCTTATAGCATTTGAATGTAGTATCAATACTGATGATGGTGCATGGTTTGTTATGATTTGACTTGATTTAGGGGATGAATTCTGGAAGGACTTGGTGGAAAACCCGAGTAAGTGGTGGGACAACAGATTGGATAAGGTATATTGAGAGTTGTACTCATCATGGAGCTAAGTTTTTTTTGGTTAAAATTGCACCTTTTTTTTTTTTTTCTGATTTGTGGCGTTTTGCAGTTAAATGGCAAGGTAAATAAAAAATATCCTGATTTCAAGCACAAAGAAACCGGTAAAGCACTGTGGCTTTCTTATTCACCAGGTTGGGTGGAATCGAAGTTGCCTTCTTTAAAAAGTAAAAAATGGTCGGGCAATGCGTGAGAGAGAGACAGAGAGTGCCTTCTTGAGCTGTACTTTGATGAAGTGGCCTAGTTTTGTTTCTTGAGGTTGTTTTAAAGGTGCGACTGGTGGCTGGAAACAGATTCGTTGTTGATAACAAACTTATGTAGTAGTACTAGTAGAGCACTGGGCCACATGGTAAAATCTTTGTGAGTGGTCTGGCATTTATTTATTTAATGCTCAATTGGGACAAAAATCTACTTATATAACAGGTTCGATTTCCAGATAAGTACTTTGACAGAAATATTAAATACTCAACACAGTAATCAATTTTTGTCGAGGTATGGTTTCAACAGAGCACAAATCTCATCTTTTTTACGGGGACAAAGGCTCCTCAATATGTTAGAATAATAAGTTTAGCTTAGGTTAAATTTAATCAAAATGACTAGGACTCGGGCTAGTTATTAGCAAGTTTTGTTCCTTTTGTCTTGGAGTGTGGTTCGACCCGCGTGTTATTGGTCAATTCTTTCTGGCTCACCATGTGGTCAACTGGCGATAAATTTGCAGTCAAATGTACCTATCAATTCAATTTCCTTGCACTCACACGTGCAAAGACTTTTTAAGAGTCTGTCAGGCTGTTTATGCCAGTATTCAGACAACAACTTAATTGTGGTTTTAGCATGTTTACGTAATGTTGGATAGAATATTATTGGAATAAGGTTTTCTCTTCTTCTGTTTGGCATATGTAAAAAAAAATTGATAGAAATTTTTTTTTTTTTTCACATGTGATATTAGGTTATATGAATTGATGATTGTGAAAATTATAACAAATTAATGGAAAGAGAAACGATTATGACCGATCCACACTTTGTTAATTCTTTTCGTACTGAAGATGACGAAAATGGTTTCAGTACGATATATTTTTTTTCAACTTTACAACTGATGGTAGAAATTAATTTAGTCTCTTATTAAACAAGGCGACAGCGAATTTGTCCTTGGGATGACTCAGCGCTTGCTGCTTAATTTCGTGTGTGTTAGTTTTCAAACTCTCTCACCAAACATTATTGTACTATTACTTCAAATTACAAATCTTGGTCAACAGTCAAACTGGAGAGCATTCTTACTGCTGATTTTCATAAATCCTTCGGGCTGATGATAGTTATATTTTCTATTTATGTATCCACATTCCGATTTAACGGTACCACACAGCTAGCTGGAATTCAAACAAATTAATTAATGTTAACATATCAGTTAATTATGTGTGTTGGTGGCCTTTAATTTGGTTTTGGTTTTCACAAAGTGTTTTCATTTTGCATTCAGTTTCAATCTTCCTTCAGAGTGCGGTCAACTGAAGGACATTATCAAAATAGATGTCCCTATCTCTTACAATTTCCATGCACTCACATATATATTTTCAAAGACTTGGAACTTTGAAAGGAGGTGTCACTGCATGCCTTTTACATAATTTAATTTCATTGCAGTTAACATGTGAATTTTGATCATATCTATCTATCTATCTATATATATATATATATATCTTTTTTTTAAGAAGAAAAAAATCAAAACCCAATGAGATCAATTGGTACAAGTTGGGATGGAAAATTTTTATTGCTTGTCAGCTTGTTTGTTAGATTATATCATCAAGAAGGTTATTTTCATCAAAACTATGCTTGGTAATCCAGTGACATAAAATTACTACTTGATCAGTTCACATAAACCTTGGTTGGAAAAGTGTCACATATATAATTCTATATATAAAGTTGGTAGGAAAAAAAAAAAACTTGTTGACAGATGCGCCCGAAGCAACAATTTTTGAGCAGTCACATTTCTGGAGTCTAACCAAATAATCCAATGGCTTTAATACTTGATGATTAATATATGAACCAGGAAGTACGTAACTGCAAGAATGAACTCTGAGCTGATGTTAATTTCTTCTTTTCATAACAATTTTTTGACCAAAAAGGAGATGAGAGACCATGATATACGCTAGAAAATAGCTTTTTTCAGGGAGTTCAGAGAAAGGAGAGATATTATCTCTAACATGATGATCTCATTTGACATAAACAGACGCTGCTTCCAGGAAAAAACACATCCTTTGGCAATAAGTCACCCTTCTCTGATCCATTAAGAATGGTCAAAAATTGACATGTCTTACTTTGACCAGGCCGATCCAGAAGTGATCACCAACTCACTATTTATAAGTTGGAGGCCTACAGTTCAAATTGCGAGGTGAGACTACAACCTTCTGGGAAGCCTTGTAGTTACTAGCTAGGAGAGAAAAAGAAAAGAGAAAATCAAACCCACAACCCTTAAAACCATGAATGAAACTCTATCTAGCTCTAGTGAATGGATGCAATTCTATCAACAAGCCATTGACGGTTCTTTTGGATTCTCCGATGCTACCACAGTCACCACCGTCACATCGGGAAATAAGTTAAGGCCCAGCAGTTCATTTGTAGCCGGTGACCACTTGACCCCTAATAAGGGCCGTATATCAAAGCCTGTTCGGAGGCGATCCAGAGCTTCTAAAAGGACACCCACCACCCTCCTCAATGCCGACACTAAAAACTTCCGATCCTTGGTGCAACAATTTACAGGATGTCGTCGTCGTAGCACTTCCATTTCATTTGGCAACCCAAGAGGTCCTGTCAATATAAATTTCGCACTTGCAAAGGAGCATGATTATCACAGTACTGATCATTCTTCCATATCGCAGCCTCTTATTGAGAATAATTATTCTCCGAAATCTCAACAGCAACAAAACTACCGGTACCAGTTCCAGCAGCAACTGTCAAATGAAGAACAAGAATGCCAGTTTTCTCTTGACAGTATTACGACTGATCATGATGATTTTCTTCTTACATCATCTTGTTTCCCTAGATCAGGTTCTGAGATTCCACAAGGGTTTGTCATGGATGATATGTATTTCCTTGCATGAAGTAGCTTATAGCTTAGCATTCTAATTAATTCCTTTTATTGAAAATAGGACTACTATATGTCAAATTATTATGTTTACTGCTTCTAGTGAGGAATTAAGGAATAAAAGTAACTGAATGGTGTTCATCATCAAGTGTTTTATAATTTTCATAATCGAACAATGCAAAAGAGATCTTTTCACCTGTCTCTTTCCCCTTGTCATGGTCAAAGGACTTAAAGCTGAAAAGTTTTAAAATTCCACATACTCATTAATTTTAACCATCCAAGAATTAATAAATCATTAAATATATATATATGGTACTTTTAATTTAATTTTTTAATACTTATATCGATACTTGTCTCACAAATATGAGATCAATTCAGAGAAATGAATTTTACATAACGAATAATTGTGGTGTGAATGTACACTTTGGAGGCAATATATCATATATATATATATGTATAAATATATATACATTTATATAGTTACATACTATATATATAACAAGAGTGATAAATTTGCTTCGTTAATTAAATGACACATAGCAAGAATTGATTGTCAAAATTAATGAAATAACAAAACTTATTAAAGTCAAAAGTATGAAAAAAATAAGAATCAGTCATTTTGTTATTTTACTTTTCAAAAATGAAATAACAAAACTTATGAAAATCAAAACTGTGCAAAAATCAACTACCGCTTTTTTGCTTGCACACTGGAAGCTGGCGTTAATTTTTTTTTTTTTTACAAATTAATCCAGCTGATATGTTCAATTCTAGTTAAGTTATATAGAAAGTGTAGTTCCGTTAAAGAAAAATATATAACTAGATGATTTTAATGAGAGTATGTACTACTACAAATTACTTGAAATTTGTATCCTATTGATTTGTACGTAGTATATATTTCTCATAATAAAAAGGCCATAAACACTAGAAAATAAAAGGGGTTCTAAACTTATGATTTATGAGCCTGTAATTTTTTGACATATCTGAAGGGAATAACCATGACTTTATTAATATTTATATATTAGATCCTTGTTTATGATGGAGTAATAACCATGCATCTTGGAGTGAGAATTGGGATACAAATACGATTAATCCTTAACCTTTAATTCCAAATCAAGTTATGTAATGCAAAATTTAAGGATTAGTACTAGGTACGATATGCTGATCTTTACTTGGTCATACAATTGCATTCATGTTGTTCTCTCTGTATGTACGTACTAGTCTTGCAAATTTGATTATATTAGCTTTACCAGTTACCCCCAACACCAACCACCCCCACTCCAGCCTCCAACATCCGATCCCTAATTGTTTCTTCTTCAAAACAATCCATGACAGTCTAGAAAAAGGGTTAATTAACTATGCCAAAACAATGTGAAATGGAGCTTTTGGGAGTTGGAACCCATATCCATCATTATAAAACAACACTTTTATTATTATTATTATTATTATTATTATTATTATTATTATTATTATTATTTTCGTCTATAACTAAAACTAAAAGTCTACCGTCACATTTGTTGATCAATCCGAAATTTTCAAACTCATATTTTGACCATATATAGTATACAAGATGGATTCTCAAAGGTTAAGCACCTTGAGATGGGCTAGCTAGGATCTTTTTTTTTTTCGGGATAATTAAAGATAAAATGAATAATATAGGAGTGACAATAGTTGTTGATGTGCTACTGCTGGTAGCGACAAAAATGCATGAGATCAGAGTAACAATAGTCGCTGGCGTGTTATAGCCGGCAACGATAAAAATGTATGAAATAGGAGCAATAATAGCCACTGGCGTGCTATGTTTGACAATAACAAAATGAATGATAATAAGGGCGATGATTGCAGCAAGTCTTCCCAAAAGGTTAAGGATGACATATGGTTTAGTTTGAGGTGGTTGAGCCAACGTTGGCTAATAACTTTCTGTCGGACAGGGGGAGCCAGCGGGTTGCTAACACCATACTGGGTGGAGGAGGAGTTGCCACCATGGGCCCATCACCCTGCCGGTGATCAGGAACCGAAAGAGGTACTTCATTTCTTGTAACGTTTGTTGTAGAAAAAAAAATAAAAAAGAGAGAGCTTAACTGAATGAAAAGCCGTCATTTTTTTTTTTAATTTAAAAGCTTATTAGAATATATCCTTATCAAAGCTAAATAGCATATATATATATATATATATATAAATTTTATACAAAATTACTTCCTTCTCTCTTTTACACCTTTTACTAAGTTACATTTGTTTCTTATTTTGAACTTTGACATCTACTCATAGAGTTGTCATTTAACTATATATTTCTAGTTAAAAAGATAAACGATATTCCTTAACATAGTCTTTTATCTTATTATGGTAAAATTTGTCATCAATTCATGCAAGTTGCCCCATTTATTTTCTCTCAAATATTTGTACTCCTTGATATGATATATTATTATTGAATAAATTTAAAGATAGAATCTATCAATTCATGGATAAATCAATTGAAATGAGATATTACAATAAAACCAATTATTATATGTCATGTTACAAATATTTGGAACAAATGTAGTGGGAGATGAATAATATTTTCATTTTTCATTTTAAGTGGATTATTAGGTAAAAATTTATTTGTACTAATATATTAATTCAATACATAAATTGTGTTTCCCAAGTTAATTAATGGATCAATACTATGATTTACATGCACATTCAATAGTTTTAATATTTTATCTTTTGTAGTTTTAATAACATGAAATTTTAAAAAATTACTACTACATTTTTCTTGCTATGAAAAATAATAGTACTCACTAATCAATTGAGACTTCATTTGGATACAAACATGTTAGAGCTCCAAAAAAAATGAAAAATAATTGTATAGTGTGATTAGTTATTAGAATTGCAAAATTAAAATTAATAATACAAATATGTATTTGAATATAAATATATTAAAACTCTGGTTAGAATGAAAATAATCAATAAAGACATTACTCTAATAGTGTATTGATAAAGCATTTTTATATACATTTTAATTCTAATTATATAATTCAAAATCTTAAAATTTTTATTCCAATTAACAAAGTCATTTAATTTTATTTATTTATTTATTATATTAACAAAATCATTTAAAAATATTTAAATGAAAATCAAAACAAAAAATAAAAAATGAAAGATTAAAATACATGAATATTACTAGGAAAAAAAAAAGTTGCATAGATATTTTTTGTCCAATCATTATAACTAATAAGGGCAAAAGAAAAAGAAAAGTAAAGCAATGGCATGTAAGGGTGATAATAATTTGGATCGTTTTAGATTTTGTTCAATTTTTTTGAATAATATATAATATTATAAATTTTTAAAATTCGATATGAATTTAAATTGATTTTATTTTGAAATCAATTATATCTAAATCGAATTTTATCAGTTCGATTCGATTTATTAATCTTTAAATTTTAATTTATATATATTATTTTAATAAAATTTTAATATATTTAAATAAATTTATATATAAAATAATTATTTTTTATAAAAATTTAAATATATATATATAAAAACTAATAGAAATATATAATTATGTTTGATGTCTTTTTTTATATCTCAATCTAAAATTTAATCTGAATTTAACATATAAATTTGATCCCAATCAAGTTTAAAAATTTAATTCAAATTAAATTGAACGTTACAATTTCAAATTAATTTTTAGTTTTGTCTTTTCTATTTTTTTCATCCTAATGACATGATTGGCAGGTAGGGTTCCACGCAGGTTTGGCTGCATCCAATTGCAGCTTGAGTTGGTTAGTTAAAAATTAAATAAAAAAAAAATAATAAAAAAAAAAGCTAATTGCATCAGTTTGAGGGAAACGCAGCGTTTTGGTTTGCCGGATGGCTTTTAAAGAACCTTTGAGTCTTTAACAATGGCTTATCCGTCGTGTGAGCAAAGAAATTGAATTGAGTCCCTGGAGTGGATGAATTGCCATGTGGGCGGCTACCCTTTCTTTGCCTTCACCAATCTCTGCAAATTGTAAAACCCATAAAAATAAATGCATCAACTTCAGACTCAGAGCATCACTCTTCGACTATCCTCTTGCAAGCAGGATCTTTGTTAGAAGTAAACTCCTCTCTCTTTATTTACTCGTAGTACTTTAGTTTTCACTTTCTTTTTGTCAAATTTGTTTTTTTTGTCCCTGTTTTTGTTTTCATAGTAATCCCTTCTCTGTTTGAGTAACTGAGATTGTCAAATAGGGGTTTTTTTGGTTTCTGTCAAAAAAACAATCAATAGGGTTTATGGGTTAAGAGAGTATTGTTTATATGCTCAAAACAGCTATAAAGTAACTATATTTATTACGTGATAATTGTGTTCAAAGATACAACGATTGTTGTTGTGTTCAATTTTGCAATTTGATAAATGCTCTTCTAAATATTGATTGTATTTGTTCCTCTGATGAAATCTTGGTAAACGGTTAGGAATAAGGGTGATTCAACAGTGGAAAATTGGGCTGTTTTGGTCCTAGTTACCACCTGTTGTATCACTGAGAGAAGACTGTATTAAGGAGATATAGTTGGCATAATAAAGAATTAGAACCTGGATAACAGCCAAAGAAAATAGTTTTCTTTTTTCTTTTTTCTATTGGTTATGGTATCTACCATGCTTTTACTATAAGAGGTGTGTATGGAGCTATGATAGGCATTAACACCATAAAAATCAAGAAACACTGTTGACAAGTGTGCACACCGAGATGTAACTGTGATGATTATTTCGGTTATCTCATATTTTAAAAGAAATAAAAAATTCATCCATTAAGTTAAAGAGATGCAAAAGGATACCGGCTATTAAATTAAAGTAGGACGAAGGTGGGAAGTTGATTTTGTGTGGCAAACAGTACATTCTTGTTGATTTAAGCAAGTGAATAACTTTGACTAGGATGGGATCCCTCTAAGGCCTTGCATCTTCCGAATTACAAGTTTTTATTTTTATTGTTTATTGTTTTCATATGAGCATATGCAAATTAAGAGTATTTTACCGATAACAATGCTGAGTTGCAACTGAAAGATGGTTGGCAATATTGGGATTCTACTAGTAGTTTTAGTTTGTATATAACCAGAACAACCAGGAGTGCAGCATGGATTCATTTATAATGATGCAGTGCATTATTGAGGGGGAAAATTGTAGAACACCTTCAACAGTCTTCAATTTTGCATTTTAGTCTGAGCTTTACCTCAGTCACAGAGGAGTGATTAGATTCTATGGTGAGCAAGTAAATAGATTTAAAAAAAAAAAAGATAGTTCCATCAGATATTCTTTGATATTGTATTTTAGAGCTGTATTCTTTTGTCTTTCCCTAATTTGTGTCCTGGCATCTATTGGGTGTACTTGACTGCAGATTTGCCATTTTCTACCAAAGAAAGCTGTTTGCAGAAGGAATTTGCAAATTTTGGCCAAATAGCTGAAGGTGATTGGAACACCTCTCCTAATTAAATGAATTTAACGGATTGTTATGTTACATCTCCAATGTTGTGTATACTTTAAAGTCTAAAAACTATACGTCTATCTATGACAGTTAAGCTTGTCAAGGATGAATTCACAAAAAGATCAAAAGGATATGCATTTATTCAATATACTTCTCAGGATGATGCAATGCTTGCTATAGAGAACATGGATCAACAGGTTCTATGTTACCCTTCTGTATTGCCGACTTGCTCTTATTTTCTGAAAGTAGATAAATATAGCGTGATATTTGTAGAATACACTTACCTTACCCTCTCTCATCCCTTCGAGTGAAGCAGAATTTCAGAGTCTCTTCTTTCTATACATGATTAAAAGTTCCTTTACTGTTAATTTGACCAGTGTTTATGGTTCCTTTAGAACTGTGGTAAGCTTGAACTTTTATCTGCAGGCAATTCTTATGGTAAATAATATTTCTACTTTGATTGTTTATCAGGTATTTGATGGCAGGCTGATATATGTTGAAATAGCAAAACCCGGGAAAGAGAGGCTTGGAGGATATCCAAAAACATCAGGTCCCCCAAGGACTAAGCAGGATTTACTGGAAACGAATGATTTGGCAGACTGCTGGTACTAAAAGATGTGGGACAAAATTTGTTGAGTTTGCCAGGCAAAAGCTGAATCACTTTATGTTTTCTGGCTGAAAGGGTTCTACAATTTTAAGGAGGGTAATTCTTATTGATCTTGACATAAACCAATGGCCTATACCCTGCTCGTAAGTCGTAACATAATCTTCTTAAAACTTTATTTGATTATTGAGGATGGGGATGTCAAATAGGCAATTGATAATTCTGCGCTTTTTACTTCTACATGTTTAATCACTTATGCTTTGTATTTTTCTCTAAAAATAGCTTCCTGAAAATAATTTTTGAAAAAGAGACATATTTTGGGAAAAATCTGATATTTTCTGTTGTACGGATGATCTTGTGAGAAATATGTTTTTATATTTGGATGTTTTACAGTATACAGGCTTGTAACTTAGATATTTCACTAAGATCAGCATGCAAATAAACCATATAAAGGAAAATAAAGCAGCTGAATTTGTACAAAAATTAGCTTCTTTATACACATGTTTTAGAGAACAAATCCAATCCCTTTATATTAAATATCTACGCCCATAAATCACTTGATAAAGAGGATCTTTGTTAATTGCATTAATTAATGAACTTTTTATAAAGGCAAGAGATTAAAAATAATGACCATGGGTAATTTTTAGTTATATATTTTTTACTCGTCAACCTTAGTACCTAAGTATATAATATCTGCACGAAAAACAGTTAATTTATGGGTTTTTCACTAGGGAACTGCCAATAGGAGGGACTTGGGACACTTCTCATATATGACTAAGACGATGATTACTACTATGAAACTGATGGAAAAGAAATATTAGTAATACTACTAGTATGAGGATTAGGAATATTTTGTATATAAAGAATATATATATATATGTATATTTTGTATATATGTATATATCTACAGCAAAGGGTACTGAAATTACAGCATTTTCCGTTTTTGTGGAGGGAAGAAACCAAGTTCTGCGACTGAGGTGTCCGTCCATATACAAACATCATAAGATTTAGTGGCGGTGGATTTAAAGAAAAAACTAATTAATGAGAAATTCATGTTTTTCGAGAGAAAATTCACCATTAATTGTTTTACATTATTTTTAATTAGTTTCCTCAAAGTTAAAAAGAGAAATTATTTTTATCCTTTTTCTACATTCAATGAACCTTTTCTTTCACGGGCAAACTTTGTGCCGAAGATGATCATTATTGTTATTCCATATCTTCAAAATGAACAAATTTTGCAATCGTAATTCTTGTCGTTTTCTCTTTTCTTATTATTATTTTATTGTCCTTTACCCTGTGTCATATGGTGATGGAGAATTAGCTTTCATAATGGCATCTTCCGTCCAATCCACTTTCACAAACAAGCTTCAAGGATGCTTACTCAGGCAATCGGAAACACTAGATTTATCCGGTTGCATATCATCACACCAGCTACTTCACTCAATTTTTTTTTCTTTAAAAAAAAAACATTTATGTAAGTATATTTATATATAAGATAAAATACATCATTGACCATTTAATTATCTGTATGTTTTTAAAATAATTATTAAATAATTAGTTATTTATTAACATTTAAATAAATATTTTTTTAATCACTAAAACGTTAATATCTAATGAAATTTGAGGAGACATGCTACGCAAGATGCCTAAAACCACATTAGAAAAAACTGCCATGTGAGATCAAACGTTAGTCTGCTTAAATGTTCAAAAATCCTTAGTCAGCTTAAATACCTACATAATTGGATAACTAATTATATATTTTACCTTTATATATAATAGAAAAAAAACGCTAAATTAAAATAGTGAATAAAGGGAACTTTTACAAAATTAATTAAAATAGAAAATGATCTAATTTGCTATATCAGTAATACTATTTCTTACAAGCCGCTTTAATAATTGATCTCTAAATTAATTCTAAAAAATATATATATAAACAGTGGTTCAATTCTGCTTATTAAAACAACTTCACAAAGCTGTGACAATTTGATCCAAGGAGGGCACGGAGTCATTGGACTTGAGCCTATGTCGACAAGTAGGACAGGAAGAGTGAGAGAGCAGCCATTTATCGATGCAAGCAACATGGAAGCGATGGTTGCATTTGGGAAGCATCCGTATTTTGTCGCCATCCAGGAAATCTGCGAGGCAAATTGCACAACCTGAAGAAGATGATGGTGAGCCTGAATGGGCATAAGTTGAAGTTGGCAAAGCTACCATTTCTTTCTTCTTAAGGCCCGAGTTTAGTCTACGGGAGGCCACCCATTCCCTCGGCTCTGTCACAGCACGATGCGTGCATTGAAATACACATTGTAGCATGGATTGAAGGCCTAAGGCACAAACCAAGGCACACAACATGGCTGCCACGATGATCATAAGGTTCAAGTTTACTGTGGGTTCTTGTGTCTCCTGACAGGGGATGCTTAAGGAGGGACTAGCAGAGGGAGATGGTGAAATTTGAGCCATGGAGTAGAGGGAGATGAGGGAAAATTTGAAACTACTTAATTATGTGCAGATAGAGACGGGAAAAATGGAGGGAGGGGGGGGGGGGACCACATGGTGCAGACATGAGGCCAAAGAGCAATGAGGCTAATCAAATATATGGTGTTGGTAAATGTGATGGGATGGGATGATTGAAACATTAATGGTGCATGCTGTATGCTTATGCTTACTTGATAATCCACTGTCTGCCCTTTTGTTTAATGCGCTTTAATTCAAAGCAAGGGAAAAGCATCACTATCTTTCCGAGAAATTTTCAAAATTCTATTGGCTGCCTTCATCAAGTTATCTGATCCCTTGACTTATTCTGGCAAGCATGCGATATTGTCTAAAAATAGGGTTTTCACCCCTATTTTTTTTCTTCCCTTAATTTCCTCAATAAATAAGGATCTCCAATCACATAAAATTGAGCCCAGAAAATTGCAAATAAAAGAGTATAGATTTCCTTTTAATTACTAGCCAAATAATTGTCAAGAAACAACAAAATGATATATATGAATAAGATATGTTCTGACTCCACATGTCCTGCACATTTGTCTTGCTATAAATAGAGTAGAGATTAATTATTTTTTGGTAATTTTATCATTTTTCAAAATATAAGAGGATTATAAAATTTTCTAGGTAACTAAAAAATGAGTTTGAATCCCTTTTCCCAAAATGAAATAATAACAATAACAATAATAATAATAACAACAATAAAGATGTTGATCCTATAATAGAAAGCTTTTGTTGTACTAAACTAGAAAATTTTCTTTAAAAAATAATATTGTACTACATTTAAAATAATACTACTAATTTATTTGGCAAAATCCTCACAATCAAATCAACTTAATTTAGGTTCTCACTTCTGTAATGCTAGCTGCCAATTCAATCAATAATCCCAATTTGACTTACCATGATTTCAGAGAACTTCTCCAAATCCAACTAATGACTGATATATATAGCATATCTATCATGATTCCTGGGCCAACATCATAATCACATTTCATTCATATGAGCACAAATCTAGTGGCATAGAAGCTCAAAATATAAATATATATAAAGTAAAAATAATAAGAAAACTCGAATTATATATGTAGCCAATATTACTGCTCTTATTCTAGAATTTTTGTATCTTTGCTGCAAAACAGGATTCGAGGCATATATATATTTTCATAGATTAATTACGGCCTGAAGAATATTCTTTTAGGGGGAAAAGTGACGAAATTATTCTGGTCATAATAGTAGAGATCCACCATGGAATATGTAGCCTATCATTGCTTGAATTGAACGAAATGGGATTCTTGAGATCATCGATTAGTGTTTGACGTTCTGCAGTTTTTAGTTTTTTTCTTTTCAAGGGTGGAACACTTGACAAAAAAAAAATGTTCAAATAGATGTGAGCGTGAGAGAGGACTTAATGACTAAAAACACTGAACTGGTAAGCTATGGGGATGTAAAGCTGGCATATGCAGAGTCCGAAACAATTCTGCTGCTCTCTTTAGAAGCTAGCTTTCTTGAAGTTGATTAATGGAATCGTTTTGGTATACCATGCCCTTTCATCAACCCCTATAAATTGTTTTGGGAATTTTCATTTCAAGTTTTTTGCTAATACTTAATATACAAGTATGTAGAATTGACTTTTTAGAATGAAGTTAACCAAGTGGAGTACTTATTCAAAGCATGAGGCTATCATGGATGAAGCTTTACAAACGTTTCTCTTTTATTCTAAACTATATTACCATAACAAAACGAATACTTGTAATTCCAAGCATCTAAACTTTTATTTCCTTAAAACTAAGCTACATTACTCTCTCCCATACAATTTTACTGATCAACAGCCACAGAAACCAGCCCATTGACTGCTTTGTCACTCTCTACAACTACAACATTATTTGACGCATTGGTCACTGCATGTACGGGGAACCCTGCAGTTGCTTCCTTTTGAATATGAAATGAGTACTGAAAATGATTAATCCGATCTGGAAATACTAGTAACGACGAAAAATCGGCAACCCACTTTGTTCCATTTCCTGCCACCGTCAATTTTCCAACTGTCGATTTCAGGCTCATGCCATTCACATTGTTCTGGTCGATCACCACTTGATCTATTGTACTAAATTTGCCGTCTAAGTGGATAATTGGAACCATGTTTCTGGCGTTACCGTTAAACATATTGTTAACTATATTTAGCCCGGATATTTGTCCCCTAATTGACTTTAACACTACATTAGCATCCCCTAGGAAAAATCCATTGGTAACGTGAACTTGAACAGGGTCTTCCATGACTGTAGCTGTGAAATCTAGGTAACAATTGTCAATTCTAGTTAGTGAAGCAGCTGATTTCACTAAAATTCCAACGCCACCAAATCCTGTTGCTTTGTTGTAACAATGTACACCCGTGACAATGTTAGCTTGTCCTCCTAATAAAATTCCAATTGCTGCCGAGAAGATGGCAACATCCGTGATTGCATTATCATTACTTGAAAGTTGAATGGCCGTGCCTGTGAAACTTTTCTCGCCCTTGTCTCCACCAATTGTGGAATGCTGTCCTAGGAAACAGCTTGATATGAAAGTCTCGTGGCCTTTTTGAACTAGAATTCCTTCCGTTGAGAAGTGAAGAAAGAAGCAATTATTTATGCGAATTCTAGCGGAGTCAATAATGAAGATCCCTCCTCCGCGATAACTTGAATCAAAAAGAATGTCTCGGAAGGTGATGTCCTCATAGTAGATTCCTACATTATCATCTTTTGAATTGGGAATACCAGTAGGGACAGTTGCTTTTTCTTTAAGGACCTGAGAATTTGGAGACCATACTTCAATGAGATGCCGGTCACCTGGAAATGTCTCTGACGCTCTCAACGACCCTCCTTTCACCTAATTATTCAATTAAGCATGGAACATGATCTGAATTAAACTAATTAAGATATATAATACTATTCAAATTATAAACAAGTATTATATTTATAAAAAAAAAAATCACTGAATAGACAAATCAACCAACAATATTTCAATTTCACTTGACCTATAAGTTCTATTGCCCATTTCCTGTTATTATTTTAACGGCAATTAATGAAGCAAAAGTTTGTAATTGACCAACTGAATTCAGTTATAATTAACTGGTCTGTGAGAATGAGAGGTTGAATTTGTAATTGTAGCAATAGATTTGTACATTTGTACTATATTTCAAAACTTTTAGAGGGAAAATTTGAAAAAAAAAATTGGTCTGCTATATATTTCAATTTCAAAGATTGAGATTCATGCATTGATAGAAAACAGCATTGTTGTTTAATGCTTTCCATGCAGCTGCAGGAAAGCTGGACCGACCAGTGCATCGAGGCAACGTGGCACAGACTCACATTCATTGCTGCAAATTCTACCCCCTATCCAACCCTGCCTTTAAAGTTCACCAAATTAACCCTAGAAAGGCTAGGCATAACTACAGGCTCCAGTAGGCACATGACTCCACACGACAAGGTACAAACGCAATGCAAGAAAGTATAGAAATATACATCTAAAGACTAAAGTTTTACGTATAATAATTGTCCATATACCATATGCATATTTCTATACCCTGGTATCCGTAGAAGGAAGAGAAAAGAGGAAACTAACCACAACATTGCCTCCCCCAGAAGCAGGAAACCTTATAGGTTTGCTGATTTCGTAGCTTCCTCCTAGCAAATCAATTACAACACCACCCAAGTCATTCACTCCAGGCAGCATTTCAAGACCGCTTTGCGCCTGGAAAGCGTCATTCAACGCTTGCAAAATGGCGTCACTGCTTTCCTGCACCCCAGTTGGGTCTGCCCCATACCCAATTGGATAGAACACTCTTCCATTCTAAACCACACATTTGAAGAAAACCCATAAGTATGTACCAAATTAGAACAGGACAGGAGAAAAAAAAAAGAAAAAAGTTTGAAATGCTGAGACTAATACATATTGTAGAAATAGAAATGTAAGTATGGAAACATGGTGTGACTGTGAGTCTTATTACTGTTTTGGCGTCTGAGGAGTGGGGTTGGAGAGAAGGAGAAGAAAGTGCCAGCTTTTGTAGCTTTGATCCCAATTCTGTTAACTTCTGTTGTCTCATGGAACAAGTTGTTTCCCGCACCAGCAACAACATTAGGTAGCACAACGCTGAGAAGAATTTGTTTGCCATTCTTCTTTTTACCGCTACTTTAATTTGTATGTCCAAAAAGTTGCTAGACTCTGGGATTTACTCACTCGGTATCGGACAGACAGAGAGAGAGAGAGGTTTCTAGGAAAAAAAAAAAAGAAACTGTTTGTTTTTGCCTAAATATCTGAGCAGCACGAGAATACAGCCATGGAGTGTGGATGTGGTGTACGAACCAGAACCAGCTCTTTGGGTTCGGGGGACTTTTATCCGGGCTTTGGGCAATGTGTTCCACAATCCAACCCCCAACCAGCAGAACTATTAAGTGTATTACAACTTTGATACCTAAAATGTAACTATTGGTAGTACTAATTAGGAAATGTATTAAAGTTTTACTAGTATAATTAAGTAAATAAAACTGTTAAGTACTATATATGTAATACTCTTATTTCCTTTCAAGGAATAGCTGGGTCCACGCTGATAGTAATTCAGTTCAGGACAAATGAATGTTATTGTGGTACATGTATGCCACCAAAACATTTGGACTCTAGATGGCATAACTTGTTACAGCCTTGTTGCCATATGAGGAAAATAGGCAGGCTCCGTGATAAAACCTATGGCGCAATATGATATCTGGTACCACCAAAAAAAAGAAAACTTATTAAAACTAGAAGAATCTCCCAAAATAGACCAGATAAAATGGAAGGAAAAAAAAGAAGGCGACAAAATAAAGAAAAGGAACAAGAATGAATTTTTTTTCCCTTTTCAAAAAGAAAAAGAGATATTAATATATAGTCTTTATATAAAAGTAGTGAATGGTAGATTTTAAATAAAAAAATTGGAAACAACTTTCGGTTTGAGAAGCTGTGTTTTTTTTTCCTTTCGCTTTTATAATCTTTATTTGTTTAAGGTGAGTTAGGGGAGAGAGAGAGGAGACTTGCGTTTTATTCAAAATATATTATTTTCTTGTGGAATTCTATAAGAATTTACCAAGATATATTGTTTGGCAGTGATCATGTCCAAATATTCGTTCTGATAAACGTTTTAATGGAACCCTTGCCGTGTTATATGGTAGGAATAATTAAGGAGATAGAAATACAAGTGGCGGCAATTGGTTTGCAGCCATGCTTACAGTAAAGTTATTAATTAGCAATGGGGTTGTCTTAGGTCTTAGCAACTATTTATTCAAGTGTTTTTTTTTTTTTTTGGCTCAAAACACTGTGTAGTTCAAATGGAAGTCAACTAAAACCCTTTTTGTTTTGTTCAATTGCAAATGGAAAAGTCTACATCCAAACAAGTGATTTACAAAAACATTTATCTCAATCGAAGCCATATGTACAAATTTTTTAGAAGAAAACTTGGAATTCAAACGGCTTATGTCCCTGAATGTCTATAATATCCTCTCCAGGCCCATATGGGGTATCGTCCTTGAATTGGTAGCGTCTTATAAGAATCAGACAATGGCATGGGGTCAAACCTCCAAGAAGAAAGTAAGAACATGACTGGATCAGACCGACCTCTATTAGCTCGACCTTCTTAAACTACTCCGTCCCAATAAATAAATAAATAAATAAATAAAAGTCCACTAAGAATGTCAGTGGGCCAGACGTTTCTTAGCTCTATTTCTTGTGCACTCCCAAAAATCTCTCAAGTATGATGATGCCATCGAATTTCAACTTCTCTCATAAATAAGATTTTTTTTTGTTATATCAAGTTAATCTTTTTTTTTTACTATGTACAATGTTCCCTATGATGTAAGTGCTTACACTGTTAATCTATAGATGTACATAATTATATGTTTTCAACAGAATAAGGTTGCTTATTCATCACTTAACTCAACCACTTTTAGACTTTTTATTCTTAACTTTGTAAATGGATAAATTATTATTATTATCATTATGAATTTTTTTTTGTGCAAATTATCGTTATGGTCTATATTAGTTAGTTAGATCTCTTATTGTGTGCGATGTGGAGTCTAATCGATCGGTTTAGCATATCATGCTGTTGGAACTTTGATGCTACATTATTTTTCGTTAATATATATATATATTCAAGAGCTATAAAATGCACCTAGCTCAATCTTCGATTTCATAGAAGAATTATATACAATATGTTATTGATTCGTTGAATTCATCCGCTTCTGATATTTGAAGTGAGTAGGATGACCTACTCTAACCACAGAAATGATGACTGTTGCCCAACCAAAGACGCCCAAAATGGCAAAATTAGTTAAACTATCATTTTCAACACCTACATTTTAAATATAAATATGTTGGTTCCACCTAGCAAATGGTCAATCTATAATTTATATAAATAATTAGTGACATATATACTCCATTGAGGAATTCTTCAAGCACAATGGTCATGAATCATTCAAAGTAAATTAAGACATATATATCTTAAGATGAATAAGTTAATTTGAAGAACAATACCCTAACTCAACAATTATATAAATAAAACTTAGCTATTTAAATCACTTTTTTTTTTTTTTTATAAAGGCGCAAAAGAATTTAATTGCATGAAAAATCATTCCTACCATATATAGTAGGAGTATTCCACAGTCCATAAACATTTATAGCATGAAGTAGCCTTGTCTTATTTGTTAAATTAATTAGTAGTAGTAGTAGTAGTAGTATTTTTTTTAACAATTACATGGAATTTTGTAATTGAAATATAAATTTCACCAGAAACAGAGTATTAAAACCTTAGCCTCATGAATTAATATGTATGAATTGACTTGAAATATACGTAGTAATTAATTAGCTTTCAGAATTCTCAAGTCCATGAGAAAACAATTAATAACGTCAGCTGCTTAAGCTTGATCCACCGTGACGAAGACGTTTGCAGGTACAGCCATATCTGACTCGATCACAACACGGTTATCAGACACATTACGCAGGGCATGGCTAGGAAATGAGCTCCCACTACTTGTGCTTAGTGAATATTGCACATGCTTAATCAGGTTGGGAAATAAAAGAACAGGATTAAAATCAACTGTCCACGAGCTCCCATTCCCTTGAACGGCCCCTCTTGCAACCGTTGCTTTAATTTTCATCCCCTTGACATTATTCCTATCAACTACGACCTGATCAATTTCTTTGAAAGCCCCATTCGATTGGTCTAACTGCACAATTTCAACCCCCTTATTGGATCCACTGAACATGTTATCCACTATATTGATTCCATTTGCTATCCCATTTATTGATTTCAAGAGAACGAATGCATCACCAAGGAAAAAGCTGCTAGAGATATGAAGCTGAACCGGGTCTTCAGCCACAATGCCAGTGTAATCCATGTAAGAATTTACTATCCGGGTTTGTGTCAGACCAGGCAGCTTCAAGTAAATCCCCGTACCTCCAAAACCTGTTGCCTTGTTGTAACAATGCACCCCAGAGAAGGTGTTGGCTTGACCTGAGGCCATTATTCCTATGGCAGCTGAAAAAATCACAACATCCGTGACGGCATTATCGTTGCCCATTAGATTAATGGCGGTGCCGTTAAAGTTCCTTTCGCCTCCATCACCACCAGCGGTAATATGCTGGCCTAGGAAAGAATTCCTGATATAGGTCTCGTGCCCACCTTGGACTAAAATTCCGTTGGTGGTGAAATGGGCAATGTAGCAGTTGTCAATGCTAATCCTCAGTGAGTTTACAACTGAAATGCCTCCACCCCTATAATTGGAATCTAACATCAGGTCTTTGAGCGTTATGTACTCGTAGTTATAGGATGACGATGATGATGAGGCAAGCTGTGAATTCAAGGAGCTCCCTATTTTTCCTGCTTGGCCGCTAGCCGATGATGCAGACAAATCAATAAGATACCCATCAACTGGAAAATTGTCTGAGGCTCGCAATGTCCCTCCAAGGATCTGTTTCATAAAAAATTGAAGTAAATAAATTAATGAATAATGGAGATGAAATTAGTTTTAATTGGTTATCCGCCATTAAACTTGAAGTTGTTAATGTTCCCTCGGCTATCCAAATAACAAAAAAAAGAAAGTTGCCTCAAGCTTCTGCTTTTGCTTTTGATCAGACCAGTAGGAAAAACTATATTTCGCTTTTCAAGACAAATAAGAACTTTTCTTGCATCACATGGATATTAAGACATACCGTTTGCAGCTCATGGTCATGACTGTAGATTCTTGTTTGTGTGAAAAAAAAAATTATAGAGCCTTTAGAAGAAAGTGGTGGGCTGATGGCATCGTTTTTCTTAGCAAGGAGATTATGAAATGTGATTTATTTTCCAATTAATCCATATTCAATTCATGAATTTTGACACAGCTTATTCAATTATCATTAGGCGACCCGGAGTTTTGTTGAAATTGACCCTCTAGATGAGCAGGTCCAAGGCGACCGCGTGGCAAATGTACAAGAGTCAAACCAATGGGAAGGTGTCCAATGCATGATAAAATTTGAAATTTCAACTTTTCCAACAACCGCAGAAGGATTATGTTTATTTCATGTCCTAAAAAGCCCACCCTACCCTATTTTCTATACTAAAAGGGTCCATAGTAGACCAACTGCTTACAGACATTAACATCTAGATATCTTAGATTGAGACCGTTGTCTGACTGCAGTTTTCTTATGCACAAGTCATCCTACCACGTGGGTTTCAACACAAACACAAAATGCTATTGTGGGGCTGCTAGTACAGAAATCAAACATACGTATATGAGAAGATTATATGTTTTCTTCTATTTTCATCTGCATGTGGCAAATAATTTCAATTGATTCAAAATCTTTGGGGAGCGTACCATAAGATTCCCTGCACCCGCAGCCGGTAACTTCAGTGGCTTACTGATCAGGTAATTCCCGCCTTCAAGATTAATTTGTGGCCCACCAAGATTAGAGATGCCCTCCATCAACAACCCTTCACTTGGACCCTGAAATGCATCCTCTATTGCCTTGTTTAGTTCTTCGGTGCTGTCTGATTTCCCTGTTGGATCTGCTCCGTATTTTGTTACACGATATACGCGTAGGCCGGATGCTCCCTATATCCATCCTCAGTTGCATGCAATAATTAATGTCATCGATAACTTGAGGAAATGTTAGGAACAAGATTGACTAGAAATTGAAATTATATATACCTGTAGTGGCGGAGCAGAGGATGGAGAGGCGGAGATTGTTGAACCTGGAACCGACTCTCGACCAATAAGAGAAGCCTTAATCGCTTGCAATTGGCGCATTTGTTCATGGTAACGAGCAGCAGAAAACTGACCCTCACATGAATCACCACCAGAAACATGAATTATGAGCAAAGTAGCCAAACCCAATATCATGGAGAGTGGTTGTAGAGCATTTCTAGCCATTGTTCTCCTCATCTCTTTTCTCTCTGATTTCTCTCCGTTTTGAGAGAGACGGTTTCTTGAAATACTTAATATGACAAAATCAAGAACCAGGAGGAACATGGAAAGAGAAGGGGCTAACTAAGAGTTCGTAGGAAAATCTTTGGAATGTTTACAATATTGGATCACACAGTTGACACCCAGAACTGTTTAGTTTCTTTTTAAAAGTCTCTATGTTTTTTTTGGACGTGAGGATTGCTTCTTTTTCATTTAATTTCTTCTCTCACAAAACAAAAAAGTAATCGGTTACCAACTTCTTACTTTACGGACCCTAGCTAACAAGTTTGACATTGTGTAAATGTATTTTCACTTTCAGAGACAAAGAGCAAAGCCTAAGGTCAAAGAGGGTTATATAGACTTTAGGAGAGATCAATTATATAGTAACAGTACAGGAGTCGAGAGTGCAGATGATTCACGGAACAGTTTGTGGATCAATAAAATGGTTACCAACTGGGATATAATATGGGTGGGGGCTGCTGAATGACTGCCGATTTCATTCATGTTTTGTATTGAAGGAACTATGGAGGTATCTCATTCTTAATTATGAATTAACGAAATTCTTGACTTCTTTTTTTTTTTTTTTTGTTATGGGCCTTTGATTTGTCAAACTAATGGATGGTTGAGAATACATGACGATGAAGAGAAGAGATATTGGACAAAGCTGTAAGGCGGATAAATAAGGGTTCAGCATAGTTTTTTTTTTATTTTAATGTGTGTGGAATAGTCATCAAGTTTTTCCAATTTTTTGCTGATATTCTTGGAAATTGTCAGTTTGTCAAAAGGAAAAGAAATTTTAATGTTCCATAACTGCAATGCAATTATCTTTTCCAAAGCTGACATAGGCACTTTCGAGAGAATGAAAATTTTTGGACAATTTATATCACCTCATTCACGGAGATTTTTTGTGAATTTCACATAGATTTTATAGGGTAGTAACAAATGATAAACCATTTTTAGGCAGTAGGTGCATAAAATGTAGGTTAAGATTGATGGTCTTGAGCTTGTAGAGAAATTAATCGGTTACAAAGCATTTGTGGAGTGAAAAATAAACTAACAAAATTGCAATTAAGAATGAATGTTAACAATTACTTGAATTAGTAGCCATATGTTGTAACATGCACGAGTAAGTTTTAAGAGATTAAATCACAAGTTAGAATTGGAATTTAATAACAATTGTATGTATCTTTGAAAGTAAAGGTTGATTTGATTCAGCTGGGTTGGGTGTATATTTATCATCGATACCGTATACTAAACTTCTTACGTCACAATAGCATGTAATTGCAGATAGATAAACATAGATATCCCAAACCCATCACAAATTTTTCCTTATGCATTATAATAGATCTATTTGCATAAGAAAATTAGGTAGAAAACGCCTCTTAATCTCATTACTAGTACAGCCAATCAACATAAGTCGAGTTGGATTCTTGACCAAAATTTTGTAATTTTACTTAAACCAATTACAGCTTAAGTTTATGTTGTTATAAGTCAACATTAAATAGTTAAATTAATACATGAAAAAGAGAGAAAAAAAAATGATTATATATTTTGATCATATTCCATTAACGTTGACAAGTGAATCATGCAAGGAATCTATATTCTGGTGGCTTCATTAATGTTGTTAGGTAATTAAGGTAGCTTCATTGCTAATACTTCATCTTTAAGTAACTGAACCAAAACAGAAACCTTTCTTCGCTTCAAGTTAAGAGCATCTCCACCTATAACCTTAAACTTTTAAAGTTTTTTTTTTTTTTTCAGACAATAAGCTAAAATTGTCTAATTCAAACTCTTAGAGTATTACATAATTATAACCTTAATTCAAACTCTTTAGAATGTTGAGAAAAATGTTACCTCAAGTATTATTTTAATCACCAATAATCTCGACAAGAACATAACCCTTCGATGAAATGATGAAACCTCTTAGCATCTCGCATAATGATCTCTCTGCCAACAATCTTTGACATGATCTTAAATGCAGCATGGCAATCACCACAAACACGAAGATTCTTGATTATACGAATCTGTCCACGAGCTGGAGTAGTGAGGAGGCCATTAGCAAGAGCAAGTCTCTCACTATGAGCAAGAAGAGCTTCTTCCTTACTTTCCTGGTCTATATCATGCAAAACAAATCTCGTTTCTGGAATATAACCTGCTTCTTTCATGTGCTCTTTCAAACTTCTTAGCAGTGCATAGATTCTATCATTCTCAGGATGTGATGTATCTCCGGCACGATACTCATGGACCCTGCTCCTGACTTCAAGCGGACTTTGACTTGCCAACTTCTTCTTCTCATTCTGTTTAAGGTCAGAATCTTTCAAAGGTATGAGGCCTAACTTTGACTGTTCATTCAAGCGAGATGGATCCAGCTGCTCCACAAGCTCAGCACAAAGATCACCCATTTCCAAGTTCCCATGAACTCTGCACAGATTCATTAGAGTCTCCCAGATATCAACACTGGGCTCAAATGGCATCTTTTCAATGAACTCCAATGCTTCATCCAGATGCCCTGCACTTCCCAGCATGTCAACAACACCAACGAAATGCTCCATGGATGGGACAATGCTATACTCACTGCTCATTGACGTAAAGTGCAACATTCCCTCATTAATATCACCTACGACACCACAAGCAGAAAACACTCCAATGAACATTTTAGCATCTGGTTTCAACCCAGCCTTCTTAAACTGAGAGAACAGATCAAGGGCATCCTCCCCTAGCCCATTCTTAGCAAGCCATGTTATCATAGTATCCCAAGATGTTAGATTGCGCCTCAGCATCTTGTCAAACACATCGAATGCATCATCCATAGAACCACATTTTGAGTACATCTCTAGAATCCTGTTATAGATGCTGATTTGGAGAGGTGAAAAAGATCTGATTAGGTGCTCATGAACAGTTTTTGCTTCTTGTAAAGCTTTTACTTCCCCACATGCCTTCATTAACTGCAAAATTCGGGCCAAATCCACATGAACACCTTGCTTTTCCATCAACATCAAAACTTCTACTGCTTCTTTAACATTCTGTTTATTGCAAAATTGATCCAGCAACTCAACCGTATCTTTCTTTGAACTAGTTTGAGAAAGCTCAGTTAAGTCACCCTCAGGATTAGAAGTAGCTGATACGTAACCATAAGAATTAGCATTACTTGTTACTTGACCATAAGAATTAGCGTTACTTGTAACTTGACCATAAGAATTAGCATTACTTCTAACTTGACCATAAGAATTAGTATCACAAATATCTTGTGGATTCTGCTGGTACTGACTGAAATTTGGGCCATGCTGATCACTTTGGCTTTGCTGAAATTGCCAGTTGTTGTCAACATGGTTCTCATTCAAGCTTCCCTGAGATTCTAGAAACCTTTGTAAATTAAGGTCAATTTGATTCTGTCTCATCCCTGTAGGCCCCTTCCAAAATGATCCTCCTACATTCTGCATATTGGAATTATTTCTAAAGGTTCCATTTACGTAAACTGAGTTATTCTGTAATTCATTTCTTGTGCTTTCCCAATGCATTCCATCATGATTTTGATGGAATCCTTTTGAGCTTTGCTCACCATTTGGACTTATCTGTAAGTTCCTATTAGTTTCCTCACAGCCATCAAAGTTACCAGTTTGACTCACGGCACCCTTTTGATTTGCCGTTGACCACAAATCACCACTATATTTATGATAATTGTCCCCAACTGGATTCCTCATACAACCATTAGGGTTTAAGGCAAGTCCATTTTGTTTCTGCTCATTAACTATGGGATTTGGGGTATAATATGAAGAATTCTCACTATAAAGACTATGAAAATCCCATCTTTCAGTGGCAGTGCTAAGCAATTTATAGAAATATGTGAAGGAATCAGAGAAATGTTGTGAACAGCGTACCTTAGATAAAGAGGTGAGAGAGTTGAAAGTAAGAAAAGACACCCTCTTGCTAGACATTAAACCTTCACCTTTGTAGAAACAGCAGACAAATGAAGTGATAGGGATTTTGAAAGGAAAATGGTTTAGAGAAGACTGGTGCTGTGGCGGCATTGGCAGAAAAACCAAAAACTTTATAAACCCTATCAATCTCAAGACTCTTTCCGCCCAATTACCACAGATACAGTGTAGGGCCTTTTGGTTCCAAATTTGGGCATCTGAGCTTAATAGCCCGTGTCTCGTGCAATCTCAATTGGCGAAAGCCCACAATAAAACAAAACTATGCGCTGAATCACTGGAATGCCAAGTGTCAAGTGAATCCCCAGTTCTCCTCTTAATACATGATTTTTTTTTTTTTAAACTCGAGTTCAACTTGGAATTTGGAAGAAAGAAGGGCTATGTGCCAGCTAAATCCTGTACATCAGTCGTCTCATTGCAAATATACGCAAACGCAGCGTTACATTGCCTGCCGCCGTAGAAGGTATGTCATATCTCTAAGCATAAATATGCTGAACTAATGGCCACTTGTTTAAATTTAATCCCTTTAAAAACAACTAATAAACTATTGTGTTTTGTACCCAAATTTAATTTTTAAAGAAAGGATTAAAAAAGAATGGAGGAGGTGATAAGCAAGCGTAAGGAGATTTGTTCATGGTTGTGAGTCTAGCTTCTGTTGGTTATTAAAAAATAATGCTTAAAGCTCGGCTTGATCCATGGCTTGATCCATCAAGCTTGTGAGATTCAAAATTTTTAAACTATGTATTAAAATTTTAATACATTTTTAATATTTTAAGTGGGTGAGTAAGATTCCCACCTAGCACGATAAGAAACCCGCTTGCAACAACAATAGGAACCACCGTTGTTTTCGGTTGTACTTACTGGTGCGAGTGAATCCACTCTGTTCCAAGGAAGGGAAAGGATCACCATTTCAAAGGCAGTCGAACGCGATTGGAAGTTCAAGAGACCTTGCCTGTCTTGTCCTGTCATTAAAATCTTACGTAGAAACTAATGCACAATAAAAGTCCAGTCATGCTAATAAAATCGTTAACTATGGATTTGAGGTTGCCATGAATTGAATTGATGCATGGCTTGGGCTTGGCTGTTGTCCAGCTCAGGTGGGATCCACCAGCAAGTCACTAAAGTCCAAACAGGAAGGCAAACGACTCTCGAACCACTTTTGTCCACAGCTGCGACTTTTTGTCTTAGGCTTAGAGCAATTACCCAATTACACCCTTTTTTCTTTTAGTAGTTGGCACTTGTCAGCAATTACCAAAACAAACCAAACAAAGCCAGGAAAGCCAAAGCCAAAAAGGAGTTGGCAATTGCAAATTTCGAAGGGGCGCACGTGAGCTAATCTGCTGAGCCACTGCCACTACTTTGGCTTTAGCAATCGCATGGCATCTCAACGTAGGAGCGCAAGCTTTCTCCCTAAGATCTCGCCACGTCATCACATCCCACGAGAATCCTGGATCCCTCCATCAAATGGGTGCTTGGCTGGTTACTGCTTTGCTTTATTAAGGTTTAAGGAAGCAGAAACGTGCATCAATTTTATCTCTAGTCAGTTGCGTGGCAGCTATTTCTGTTTGTGATTGGCTTTGCATTTTCATTTCATTTCCGCAAAAGCTAAACCCATTCTGGCAGGCATGACGATTACCGGAATTTCACATTTCTCTATTTCCTCTCTCCTTTTCTCTTTCTTCTTTTTGCTATCAACCTTTGCTTCTTCTTCTTCTTCTTATCTCTATCCTGTAGCTCCGGGTATTTCCATTTCTCTTCTTACCCTTGTTTATATATTTATTTTACTAAGAATAAATTTCCTAACAATTAATAATACTAGAATTCAATTTCAATCTTGCGTTTTTCTTTGTGTATAATTGAGAGGCGCTTTCAGTTATCCAAAAACTGCGTTTACAACTGACCTGAAGCTGTTTTTCCCTCATTCATCCAAAAGTAAAAGTTGTCTTTCTCGTTAGGCTGTTACAAGAAAGCCAAAAGAAAGAAGAAAAACTGTTCCTTACATTTTTGGCTCTGCAAAAATAGCTAGCAGCCTATACTAACACTATTGCTTCTGTTTTCTTCTTTGTGTGTGTGTTCATGAGTATTGATTGTTCTCTTACTACATGTTTATTGAAGATAAAGATGGCAAAACGAGATCTTTGTATTCAGAAATATTGAGGGACGAGGCAGTGGCAAGGCTTAATGAGCTTGGAAAGGTATTTATTTTTTACATTTTTGTTTTTTTACCTGTTTTCTAAATCATATTTAAGGTAAAAATGACAAGTATATTTAGTTATTCTACTTATTGCTACAAGAGTTTGAAACAAAAAGAAAAGAAAATCAGTTTGACTAAATTAAACTTTCAATTTCTGCATGTCGTGAAATATGCATTAGTATAATGTTTGAAACGTATTGTACGATTGAAGGTGATTTAGTGTATAATATGGGTGGATAGGAAGAAACAGGACTAATAGGCAAAGTTGATGCGCTCAAAGTCTCAAAGATGATCTTTTTCTTACAATATCAGATTACAAATAACAAAAAATAAGAAATAGGCAGAGACTTCACTTTGAGTTCCTCTGACCCAGAAATTGTTGATATCATATCTGAAAAACTGTTACACAAAGTAGAAAATTTATTCAATGAGAATTGAATTAAATATTACACACTGCTATTGAATCTAGCGATGATTACATAGTTGAAGCCATCCCATATGATTACTGATAAGTGTCCAGTTGAATTGTTGTGGCAACAAAGTTGGTTAATGTTTAATTTTTAATAAGCAGGTAAGCAATGCTGATGGCTATATATTCTTTGCCTCATTTAATAGGTAAGTGATGCGGATGGCTATCTTGAGAGAACATTTATGAGCCCAGCTTCCGTGAGGGCGGGAATTCTTATTCGTGAATGGATGGAGGATGCTGGTTTGAGAACGTTAGCTTTCTACCTTTCGTCAAATCTTAATCAGGGTTTCTAAAACTCTTAACTAATGGTTATGTTGACTTCCAGGTGGGTGGATTCCATGGGCAATTTACATGGTCGAGTTGAGGGCATTAATGCAAGTGCTCAAGCTCTGTTAATTGGTTCTCATTTGGTGAGGCCTTTCATCTTTCAATTTTCACTAATTTTTATGATTCAACATGCTATCAAGAATATGAATGTGCCGCTCATGCTGATAGTTGACAAATCTGCTTTGCAAATAGGATACCGTTGTTGATGCTGGGATATTTGATGGGTCATTAGGTATAATTTCTGCTATATCTGCATTAAAAGTTTTGAAAAGCAATGGCAAGTTGGGAGAACTAAAACGACCAGTGGAGGCAAGTTAGACACATGTTTTGATATTATAATATACCAAGCAGTTTTCCAGTTTCTTTTGTTTCTTTTTCACCCAATACAGGTTACTTTTTCTGTTGAAAAGATACTCATTTTCATGCGGACATGCTTTAAAAATTGAGTGGCTTTGAAAATATTCTACATCTTGATATCTTATTGATTATATTGTTGAAACTTGCAGGTGATTGCGTTTAGTGATGAGGAAGGAGTGAGGTTTCAATCTACCTTTCTTGGCAGTGCTGCTGTAGCTGGAGTTTTACCAGTTACAGCATTGAAGATATCTGATAAGAGGTTTCATTGATTAACACCCTTTTCATGTCTATTTATTACAAAGCTGCAATCAGTATGTTTACGCATAATCCATGTTTAGTGGTGTGACAGTGCAAGATGCTCTCAAGGGGAATTCCATTGACATTGCAGAGGAAAGCCTGTTAGAGCTGAAATATGATCCTGCATCGATTTGGGGTTATGTTGAGGTATGATGGCCTGCACTGAATTATTGTGAGAATAAACCTATACTGGTTATCGTGGGATATTCTCAAAAAAAGTTAGTTTTGGATTTCTAAGACTTGATTCAACTCTGCAGCTTCATATTGAACAAGGACCTGTACTAGAATGGATTGGTTTTCCTCTTGGTGTAGTTAAAGGCATAGCTGGACAGACAAGAATGAAGGTAAATGTCATCTTTTCAAAATAGATACATGAACTTCTCAAAACATTCTCACTCTATGATCCTTTTTACCAACTTTGACTTACTATACATAAGGATGTATGAGGACATAGACAAAATCTTAGCTACTGCTATGCAATTTACTACCTAACCCTAGAAACATGTCCTATGAACATTGATGGTTCAGTTAAGTGCAATGCATAAAAGCAAGGAATATTTAGAAGTAGAATTAATTTAATCAAGTTTGAAGCACCATAAGGTTGAAAAGTACATGATATGAATGATTGTATGATTTTTTTTTTTTTCTAATTATTGATTAGAGGAGAGAAGGGAAAAATGGGGATTAGAAAGAAAAGATATTACACATACCACAAGAAGTTGAGTACCAAATTGACCATAGAACAGTTTTGCTGCATCTTCACCGTGCGTTTTGGGTAAGCCTTGCACTAAACTGCAATCTAATATTTCTAATGTTTCTTAATGCATTTCTGAGGTGTACAAAGCAATAACAAACTTAGTGCTGTTTGGTTATCTCTTTTTGGCTTAATTTTAGCATTACTCTTCAATGGGCCCTTTTCCTTTCAAATAAATTTATTGGCTATTTGGAGATATATATTAGTTTATGCTCTAATCACTTTTTCCTACTGGAATTGCTCACTGCACAATTGTTGGTTTTTTAAGACCTTATTACACGATTTCTTTCAAGTTATTATGGTTGGGAAATTTGTTGTTGTCCTTTTCTGCACCATCCATAAATCTCTGTTTTCCTGAACTTCAAATATATCACCTACCATAAGCTCTCAAGCTCACCTACTCGTACATAAATAAATTTTAATTCACCATGGACAAGATATAGAAAGAATCAAGGAATGATTATCTTTATTAATTATAGAAAATGAAGCAACTTGATCATTAATTTTTCTATAGAAACTGTTTTCATCCTTTCATTTTGGGCTTATGGTTTCCTGTACTCTATTTGCAACCAAAAGCTTTCAATTTGGATCTAAAGCTTTCAACTTGGATCTATGTGGAACTAGAATAATATCGAGTCTATCTAATATTTCTGACAATAATTCACGGTTTTTTTCTTTCATTGAACTGTTCCACCTTTGCAGGTTACGGTGAGAGGTTCACAGGGACATGCTGGAACAGTACCAATGTCAATGCGTAGGGACCCTATGGCTGCTGCCGCGGAATTGATTGTATTACTTGAAAGTCTGTGTAAACATCCACGAGAATTCTTATCAGATGGCGGTAACTACAACGAGTTTACCATGGAATCTTTGTCCACTTCTCTAGTCTGTACTGTCGGAGAGATATCAACCTGGCCAAGTGCAAGTAATGTCATTCCAAGCCAGGCAAGAACTTCTTCCATGAACACATCTCATTGTCAGCCTAAATAGGAATGCTGATAAGTAGTGAATGTGAACTCTAATGCAGGTAACGTTCACTGTGGATTTACGTGCAATTGACGATGTGGGACGTGAGGCTGCTCTTTATGAATTATCTAATCGGATGTATCAAATATGTGATAGACGCTCTGTATCTTGCAGCATTGAACGAAAGGTAGGAAGCTTACTTAAACTTTTTGCATGGCATTTGCATAACAAGAATAATCGTTAACTTTCTCTGCTGTGGATCATTTCAGCATGATGCAAATGCAGTAATTTGCGATCCTGAACTGAGCTCACAGCTAAAATCTGCAGCTTACACTGCCCTCAACGGAATGATAGCGGAGGTCCAAGATGAGGTTCCTGTGCTAATGAGCGGAGCAGGACATGATGCGATGGCCTTGTCTTATCTAACCAAGGTTCAGTATCTATTTGCTTTAGCTTACAACTAATATGGCATGTGAATTATCTTGTCATATGGTAAAGGTAGCCATGATTTTGGAACAGGTTGGAATGCTATTTGTCCGCTGTCGAGGAGGCATAAGTCACTCCCCCGAGGAGCATGTATCGGACGACGATGTTTGGACAGCCGGTTTAGCTCTACTAGCATTTCTTGAGACCCGTGTGTAGATATAGCCTTGGTTAAATTTCATGAACAGTAAATCTTCCGTTCAATGATCCATTATTATTGAATTGTACGCTCCATTTACACGAATTCCCCATCCATCCTCACAGGCCTTTTACCCGGTTTCTTTTTTTTTTTTTTTAATTTCAATTACTAAAAAGTATAAAGGAAGAAAGATCACGCATCAGATGGATGATGTTTCCGTCTCCTTTCTTAGTGTTTGGATTATATTTGTCAGCTAGCTCATTGCGGCATCATTGATGACATCGACCTAGGCTGATTTTAGTACCTAAAAATGGGTTCGTATACCCATACCGAACCACATTCAAATTAAATACATGGCAATGATGGGTCAGGTTACCTGTCGGCTCTTGCCAACCCTCCTTCAGATTTCAGACTTGCGGCCATGATGAAAGCTGGCTGAAGAGCCATGCACCATGGTAAGCGAAATGCCACAGGATGGCTTTAGACACAATGCAGACTGCTAGCCAAGCTAAAAATTTGGCTTTAGGCACGCTGCATGACCTGGAGAAGCCCACCTCATTTTACAACTAGTCTTCCTACATGATTTAGCACATTCTACCAGAAGTCATTCACCAATGAGCATTTTTCTTTCACCATTTTCAGGCGCACAAGATACAGATCCTCTATTGGAATTAAGTCTCAGATTTTACTAGCACAATGGTAGGTCTAAACTATTGTTCTGCAAAACTAAACCTCAGGCTGGAGAAATTGCTCATTTCACATTCCGCATTTAGAGTCAAAAAGCCCCAAAGCGGAAATAAACTTAAAGTTTACTTCGTGACAGCTGGCTGGGCCAACTGTTGCAATTGATGAACAACATGAGACATTCTAGGCCGCATAGAAGGTACATTTTGCGTGCAAGCATACACAAGGTCCACCACCTTCTGAATATCACCAGCTTCAGGAACATCAGATGTTGATGACAATATTAGAGGATCCAAAAGCTCTGGGTAGCGATGTGCCTGCACTAAAGGCGTTGCCCATTCAAATATACTCTGCCAACCCACTGAATCAACATGCTGAGCAGGCCTACGCCCACTTACTATTTCAAGCAGCAGCACTCCAAAGCTATAGACGTCACTCTTTGTTGTGAGCTCATTCCGATATACAAACTCAGGAGCAAGATATCCATACGTTCCACCAGCCATCACAGTCCTCTCATGCATTACCTCCCATGGAACAATCTTTGAAAGACCAACCCCCATCAGATGAGCTCCAAACTCTTCATCAAGTAGCACATTGCTTGCACGTATATCCCGATGCACAACATGTGGCTTAACCTTGTCATGCAGGAACCTGTTTTAAGATATAAACTTGTGAGACAACTGTGACCAATAAAAGAGATAACGCCTTACAAAATGTATGAAGGCCTTAATCCAATTCAAAGATCCTTAAACCAGGTAAAGAATCTGCAAATTTTGCAAAATAATATGTAATTCTGGTGGCAATAAAAGTTTGCTATCATTTGGAGAGTGATTCTGTATCGTGAGGTAGCAAAGGCAAAACTAACTAATAAGTGAAACTTTTTTCAGCCATAACTGTGTGACATTCTAACAAGAATGCCTGCATGATCTTAAACAGAGTAGAAAATGGATATAAAGAAGTGAAAAGAACTTGTCAGTATATAAACAACACTTGATTTAATTAAAGAAAAAAAATGAATAAGAATAATTAATATATAAGAAATTCTTTTAGAATTGAGAAAATAGAGCTAGGATTAAAAGTTGTCCCTAAGCAGCAGCTGTAACAGGTATCAAAAGTAACAATTACAGTTGCATTTAACCAAGAAAGAGGCTGTAGTGTTTGTACTCACGCAATTCCTTGGGCAAGAGTTGTAGCAATTTTGATTCTCATGGCCCAATCCAAGCTCCTACCTCCCCTTGGTATGTGGTATAGCCATCTATCCAAGGGTCCATTTGCTATAAACTCATATACAATGTAGCGGTCGCCATGATCATAGCAGCACCCTTTCACAGCAACTAAATTTGGATGATGAAGCCTAGCAACCCTTCCAATCTCAGAGTAGAACTCTTTTTTCCTCTGAAAACTAGATCTCTTCAATCTCTTAACTGCCACTTTTGATCCATCAGGTAGAAGGCCACTATATGTGCCACCTGTTTTTGCATCACCAAGAAGACGATTTCCTTCACTGAAACTTTTTGTAATTGACCTCAATTCATCTCTCGTGAAGATTTTCCATGAGGGGGGAACTAATGCAGAAGCGGCAGGATTAGATAGTTTCCTAGATCTTCTACGCCTCTTACTCCGCTTATATGCAAGCAGCCAAATGGCAACAGCAAAGGTTGTGCAGAGAACCAACCCACTAACAACTGCTAGGATAATGAGATATTCCCTATGGCAATGCATGTAGTAACATTTGTCCTCTGCAAGTGGAAAAATATAATCTCAATAATGGCTGGCAAAGATATTACAGAATGAAAAAGGTCAAATATATATATATATATATATATATATATATATATCATGTAATAGGTGACAAGATGCTATCGAGCAACAACTCCCAAAATTTTAAAATAATCATATGTCTTACCTATATCAACCATGCACAGAAAGGCATGAGATGCATTACATCTCTCACCCACAAGAAATACTGATCCATTCTTCACCAATGCACACAAATCAACTGAAGTGTTGACATGGCATGACGATTTGGTGCAATTAGGTTGGGCAGTTAATACAAGAACTGATTCATTCCAGAGCGATGTATTATCAGACCACTTCCAATCAAAACTGATATTAGAATTGCTAACTCTTCCTCCAACCCAGCAACCATTTGCAATTTGGCCACACATATCTCGAGCAAACCTTAGTTCTTCAAGTGATGTTAGGGCTGCTAAGTGTCCATGATATTGTTTACAGTGGTTCTCTGATTCATCCCATGACTGTAAGCTATTATTGTACCCAAAGCACTTACTTTTATTTGGACCAATAACCCAACCAGAAGGGCATGCTGCTGTATCCATGATCGAACAAAATAAAACAGTTTAATCTCAAAATATGTCAATGGTTACCACAACACTAAACAAAACCAATAAGATAATATCCAAATCTTGCAAAGTTATTACCTTCATTCTTGGAAGTATTGTTAACTGTCGATCCATTAGAGACCTAAGACACCAAAACGACAACCAAAACAAATCCCTCAGAATACAGGTTATAAATTCTACAACTTGCGTATATTCTCTTTTTTGCCCTTTTTTTTTTTGTTGGCGAAAGCTAGATTGTACAATCTTACAGTGTCAGAAGCCACGAGGGAAAGAGCAAAAGAAGCAACTAGGAGGAAAAATTGCAGAGGGAAAAGCTTCTTTTCCATCACAACTCTCCCTTTAACCCTAGAAACAGGGGGGAAAAAAACAAAATTAACTAACAAAGTGATTCCCTACCAATCAAAAATTACTAAATTGGTCAGAATCAAACACAATTTGAATGCTTGGGGAGAAAACTGTAAGCAAATTATACATAGTTTCACTGAATAGCACTTCTCCTTTGATTTTAGATAACTCAAGTTTTGGTTTATGAAGAGTAGAAACGATGGCAAAGAAAGGAAAGTACTTCGAAAAGGCAGAGAATAAAACTAGTTCAATCTACAAAGAAAAACATAAACTAACCTCCAAAACCTTATGGCAAGAAGCTGATCCACAGAATTCCCGCAAGGAACCCTAATCCTCCATTTGGGTACAAAGAAAAGAAGAGAAACTATAAAACAAGGAAAAAAAAATTGGGATCTTCCGAATTTAGTAAATGATAATATAGAAACGCTCGATAGTCAAAAAACCCAATTCTCTATTCATTTTCAGAGGGTTTCTCAGCAACCAAAGTGGGAGCAAGTATTTGGCAGTGAGAAGAAGCTGCAGTGGAAGAGAGGCATGGCAAAGGTAAGTGAGGAGTAGATGGAAACGTTTAATGAGATTGAAAAGTAGAAAGTTGAAAAGCAAATGAAGTTGGTGCATTAAATGCTAGGCTTCTGCGTCTTCTGGTTTTTTTACGAACAAGAAGGATGGACCAGTTTGCAAAGAGGCGGAGACCGGACTGGGTCGTTGGGAGTTAATGACTTTACCTAACTTTGCTTTCAAGTTTCAAGTTTTTATCTTTCCTCATTTAACGATAGAAACGAGTAGTATTTTCACCGTACGTGTAAATAAAAACGAGTTTTTTCCCATACAGAGATTGTATAAAATCTTTATTTTCAGATAGTTTTAAATTTAATTTTTGAATGATGTTCTTTATGTCACATTAATTTTTTGTACTTTTTAAAGGCATCTAAATTTTAATAAAAAAAAAATACAGATTAGTAAGTAAAATAAAATCATTTCTTTTTGTCCGCAAGTTTAATTCAACGGGAATGAAATATTATTGATGAAAAGCAATGAATAGCGGGACACGGAATAACTATGGGAATGATCTAAGTGAGCTCTTCATCAAGTGTTTAATTGTTTTTATTTTTGGGTTTTTTTTTTTTTTTTTGTTGCTTTGAATTTAAAATTTTGGACTCTCCATCTGTGTGCTCTTTTTTTGTATTCATTGTTTCTTTAAAATTAAACTTTTTGTATTTTTTATTAATCATGAATAATTATATATATTGTAAAGAAATTTGTGATTAACACACATGAACTGAATTTTATAAGCAATTTATTAGTCGGGTCTTTTAAAAGGCAAATAACGTTATTGGTTTGTATATATCTATATGTGTTTGTAGTTATTCCCCAATAAAAATTGGTTTAACAATTAATTTTTTGGATGCTGAAAATATGCTTAGTTATTACTAAACAATGAGTCATTATTTTTTTTTTTTATGCAAATGACTAGATTAACTTTGTTATTGGTCAAATTTTTTGTTCTCAAGTTAAAAATTATTTTATTTATATCTTTGTGAAAGTCAGCTATCGATTATTTTTGAAACAAAATACAAAATTTTTCGAAAATGTGATTATCTTTCGTGAGAAATTTGCAAATAAATTGAAATGCATTGTTCAATCATGCTGAGAGGCTATTCAAATTGACCATAATAATAATAAAGATATCATCACATCTAACCAAAGAATCTATTGATTAGATGCAATTATGTTTACACTATGAAACTACAGAGTCGATGATCAAATTAAATGAAAAAAAATGCAATAACAGACCATCTAGATGATGGAAATATTACGAGGATACAAATCACATTTTAGCCGGCAATGTTGAATTCAAATTCCTTAATTTCTCCAAACTAATAAAATTATAGTACTAGCAGCTACTATCATCTAACCCTCCCTTAACTTAGTATTCAACTATATATAGTAACTTAACTAAAATAACTATATCTAGTAACTAAGTAAGTTTCGTATCCATAATTTAAGCATTACCATTTAGCTTTTACCAGCACTTTGAGTCATTTGGACCCGGCCGCCCAAGTTGGGCTACACAACTCACTACGGGAACCGCCAGGACACCTAACAGGCTTCTGCATGCAGATGTACGTACGCCTACACATGTACGTACACAGCTGCTCCCATTCACTCTTTTGACTGTTTCGGATTTCCTACTCGGGCTATATATTTTTAGAATTCTTCACGTAGTCGTCAGAATCTGCTTTCGTATGATCATACGTATCAGGGAACTCCAAGCACTACTATATACATATACATATACATATATATATATATATATTAGAAATGTTCTTGTTAATTCGTTCAATTAATGTCTTCTTTTTTCCTTTATCAAGATAAGAGGTTTTTGAAGTCAATAGTTCGCAGAGTGCTTCACTTTCAATGTGTTAGTGATTAAGATTTAATTTTTAAATATTTTGAATAAAAAAATACAATCCAAAAAAAAAAAGTTGCTGAAGTGGAAAAATAATGATTTATTCAATAGATTTATTTATTTCGAAAAGTCAAGTAGTATTGGCAGCTAGCTAATTACTATAAATCAACAATTCGACGTCATGCTAAAACATATTTATTTTCAATTTTTTGAGGTATGTCTATATTTTTTGAATTTAATTACGAAAGACTACATGTTGTATAGTACAACCACGTAGAATAATACTGTTAGAAATTAATTACATTAATTCTGCATAAACCGGCAAGCTTAAGTTTTAACTAAAAATGAGATCAGTTGGATACGGCACAAGATAGCACCCATGATTATAAGAAAGATAGACAAAAGGAATAGAGTTGTAGAGCAAAAAGTAAAGATGCAAATAAATAAAGGAAAACAAATTAACTGATAAAATAAACCTTTACAAAGAAGCAAAGTGGCTCAATTCTCCAACTTGGACACACACCTAGCTAGCTGTGCAAAAAGTTGTAAATCCTAATCCCAATCAGTAAGTGATCAACCGTACTATAGTAAGAGAAGAAGGCACTTAAAAAGTAAATAAATTACTAAATAATAATTCCGATTACTCATAATGTCGTCATTTAGTCCACTTTACCATACACTTGTCAACACCAAAACACTCTCATGCACACTGCATGGAGCTTCATGTCGCCATTCCAACCATATTTACAATTAAATGCGTGCTTCTGCTATATATATTCTCAACATTAACCACCCCACAACACCAACCTGCAGCTTCCTCCCTCTTTCTAATTTGCTGATCTGAAGCCATGAATAAGTTGCGTAATAATCCCTTTTTCTCTTCTCTCTTTCTTTGTCTTCTTTACCTTCCTATCTTGGTCTCTGCAGACTGTACTTGCGAAAATGAGCTGCCACACAATAGCAGCAACAAAACCAAGGCTTTGAAATACAAACTTGTTGCAATTTCATCCATCTTGATTGCCGGTGCTCTAGGTGTTTCTCTCCCAATATTGGGTAAGAAACACCCAACTTTTCGAACCGAAAACAATATGTTCTTCCTCATTAAAGCATTCGCAGGTGGAGTGATTCTTGCGACTGGCTTTGTTCACATACTCCCAGATGCATATGAATCTTTATCTAGCCCTTGCCTTAGTGAAAAGCCTTGGGGGGTTTTCCCTTTCACGGGGTTTTTGGCTATGGTTTCTGCTATAGTGACAATGATGATCGATGCATTTGCGACAAGTTTCTATAAGAGGTCCCATTTCAACAAAGCTCTGCCGGTGAATGGTGATGAGGAGATGGGAGGTGAGCATGAGGGACATGTTCATGTTCATACACATGCCACTCATGGACATGCTCATGGATCTGCCTTGGTATCAGAGGATTCTAGATCATCTCATCAATATCATGTAATTAGACATCGTATTATTTCGCAGGTATGCTATTTATCCCCTCTGCCACAGGTTTTGCTATTTGAGAATTGCAATCAACTTTTATGCTTAAACCTTAGTTATGGAAAACTCTGTTTTTCCTCTTTTCTTCTGTTTTGCAACTCCTTTAATTACCTTTCTCCATTTCTTTGCTTTATTATTATCTGTGTTGTGTTTACATATTTGTATATTGAGTAGTAATAAATATCATGGAAGCATGGATTAAGTTCTAGTATAAAACACTAGTAATAATGTTTAGATGCCAATTTTTGAAACAAAATTTGTTAAAAATATTCGGTTTGAAAGATAGCTTTCTAATTCTCAGCTACAAATAAATATATTTCTAGTTATGATTATTAAGTTTAGCGGTGCCAATGAATCTGAAAATAAAATTGGATACTAGACCGGTTTGTTCTATACTTTTTAGGTGTTTGATAGTTTTATTTGAGAGTGGGAAAAGGAAGATTATTCCCACGCAAAGCCATATAATATAATTACATTTTTTATTAAAAGAAAGAAATGTTTTTGTACGTGTTGAAATTAGGTGTTGGAGGTGGGGATTGTAGTTCATTCTGTAATAATCGGGATGGCATTGGGTGCTTCACAAAGTGCAAACACAATCAAGCCTCTTGTAGCAGCTTTGACTTTCCATCAATTCTTTGAAGGCATGGGTCTTGGTGGCTGCATCTGTCAGGTACTCACTCCCCACGTCCACTCAATATTGTGCATTTCTCATTTGTGTGCCTGCTCAATGATGCTGAGTGCTGCCCCCACACATTGGAAGAGCAACAGCAGCAGCCATACAAAATTTAAATTTGAACACTCCCCTATCTATAATAAGACTATACCTACATACTAATATATATATAAAGATTAAATCAACAAGACGATTAGAAAACGGAAGTACCATATGTAGCATGGCTTTTGATCGGGAATAAGTTAGTATATATGCATTCTCGATCAACATATATATAGAGAAATAACCAGATCCTTTAATTTATATCCTTCAGCATATTTATTTATTGAACCTAGTAGAACGCCATCTTTGCAGTCTTTGTTGAAAATCGAAACCATTTCATTACTGTGCACTGTAGTTTGCAGGAGGAACCTCTCTCCATTGCCAAATTAATTACTTTTTATATCCGGCACACCAACTGTCAGATCATTACCATGAAAATGGGATGGGATGATTTGTGGGGTCTATGACTTTACTTATACTATGTATGCAGATATTGGTCCAATTAAAAGTCAGACCTACTTGCAAGGTCTATGCCTTTACTTATACTATATACATATATATATATATATATGTAAGCAAATATTGGTCCAATTAAAAGGCAGACCCACTTGCAAGTGTTTGTGTTTCTCCACACGCAATATTTCTCCATTTTGATTTCCTTCTGTTCATGTAGGAAAAAGAACTGTTCTATTAATACTGGTTTTGGTCTTTTGTTTTTTTTTATTGTGCTGTGCAGGCAAAATTCAAGAGCCGGGCCATTGCAATCATGCTACTTTTCTTCTCCCTCACCACCCCAACGGGAATTGCATTAGGCATGGGTATATCAAAGATTTACAATGAGAATAGCCCAAAAGCTCTAGTGGTGGAAGGAATCCTCAACTCCCTTTCGGCAGGAATTTTAATTTACATGTCTCTTGTTGACCTCCTTGCGGCAGATTTCATGAACCCTAGAATGCAAAGCAATATAAAATTGCAGCTTGGCTCTAATCTTTCACTTCTTCTGGGCGTAGCTTCTATGTCACTCTTAGCCAAATGGTCCTGAATTCGTACTCCTGGTCAATGTGATTCAGTAAGGCCTCTATTACCAGATGATGTGACTCTAGTGCTAGTCAGTCAATGTCGATTATAGATATTTTGGACATTTGAGTCTCAATGGAGGAACAAACGCCATTGTCAGTGCTATGCTAATAGTAATGCTTTTGACTTGTTCCTCATAATTAAAGCTTTTGCACGACTTGGTATCCGAGGAATGAATAAAGGATTTTAAAAAAATTCCATTATGGCGTCCAAAAAGAATGGTTCAAATTAAATGGCATTATTCTCTATCTTTGTTATGATCTGTAACATCAACAAATGTAGAACCCTATAACAAAGGAGAATGGAGGAAGGTTTGGGTCCAATTTCAACCTTGTGTTTTTTTAACGCTAAGTGGTTAAGCGGCCGAAGATAATCACTAGACATATTATTACTTTACTAATTTACTATCCGTACAATGCGTAAATTATTTTGTTTTATTAATTCATTATTAATTATTTTTTAATCAATTATTTTTTAATTGTAATTGAAATAACTTTTTTAGGAGATTTAGGCTTTTATTTGGTTTGATAAAACGATTTTTGCTTTTATTTTTTATTTTTTGTTTTTTAAAAAACGTACTTAGTAAATGAAAATAAAAATTATGCTTTAAAAATATAAAAGTAAGAAAATAAATAAAATATTCAATGATATTTTTATTAATAGCATTTAATTATAAATATAAAAATATTTATTAATTAATGACATAAAAATGTATTTAAATATAATAATTTGTAAAACATAAGGAAAATTTTATTTACATTTTTTGTTTTCACAATTGAAAACTTTTTTTTTTTATATTTCAGCTCATTTTCATTTTTATTTTCTAAAAATTTGTTTTTATTTTTAATTACTAAACACATTTTTACTCTATTTTATTTTTTTAAATTAAAAAAAAAATAACTCTATCTTTTGAAACCAAACATTACCATAGTTTGTGATGTAGCAAATTAAAAACTATTTATCATTTAATATAATTATTTGTTATCTATTTAATAAGGTAAACATAAATAATTTATGTATGTAAAAAAGTTTATCTTCATAATGACACGTAAGATAATTTTTAATTTTATATTATTTATCAAATAAATCTATTTAAAATTTTATTAGTTATTCAAATTTTTAAAATTAAAATGAAAGACAAAATCATATATATCTAATTATTTATGTTTGAAATTAATTTATAGTAAAAATACAATGAAAAAAATCCTATAATCATGGTTAATTATAATGTTATTTCAAAAATCACAATTTATTTTTTAAATTTCAATTGTTTTTCTCTTGCCAAATGATCTCATAGACTTTAAGTATGATAATATTATTTATCATATAAAAATATATAATTTTATATCAATTAAATCTTAGCAAGTTAGTTAAATAAATTTAATTCAATTAAAAAATTAATAAAATACATATTTTTAAATTCATATTCATATTTGATTAATAAATATTTTTCAAAATTCAAGCAAAGGAAATTCAAAAAAAAAAAAAAGGCAAATGGACTATAATTGAATCTAATTTTTTTTAACTTTATTAACAACTAGATCCATTCGTTACTTAGATTATAGGTCGGATTTATGATTTTATGTATAACTTTTTAAGTATGGATTTAAATTATTATTATATCCAAAAATTATTTAAATTTAAATTTAAAATAAATTTAATATTGTAAAATTTTAATATTTTAATAATAAATATAAATTGAATAAGTGATTTGAGTCAGACTTAAAATAAAATTTAAAATTTAAAAATATTTACGACTGGATGTCACTAAATTCATAAACACTTCTTAATTTTTAAAATTCATATTTTTTTAAAATTATGTTTAAGAAAATATCAAGTATCTATTAAACAATATTTGATTTGAAAAAAAAAAAAAGAAATCAAATTGGCTTTCAATTTATCCTAACTATTTATAAATACAAATAATGTTATGACTTTGAAGAGGAAGAAGTATAGCAAATTACAAATTTTTATATAAAATCATAATTGATGGGTTGATTATATTATATATATAAAATATGATTTCAAAATCCAATTAGTTATTGTTATTTGTAACAATATTTTGATATAAATAATAGGTTCAAATTAATATAATAAAGCAAACTATTAATGAAAGTATTTTTGCATATTGTAAGAAAGCTGAATTAAGAGAAAAAAATATTATCTGATTGAGTGAATAGTCAAATATAAAAAAAAAAAAAAAACTTATAGATAGTACATACAAAATAGAAAAATAAATATTTTCTATAACTTTTCACATTGTAATATATGAAAAAAAGAAAGCCAATTGAAAAAAATATATTTGAGTGAAAAATAAAAAATAAGGAGAAAAAGTTTATGAACATTATCTACAAAATATAAGAATATATGTATTTATATAATTTTACATCTTGTAATATACATATACATATATATATATAAGTCAAAGTTAAAGACTATGGACTTGCCATAAATATCTAAAAAATAAAAAATAAATGCTTTTATAACTTCCATTTTTAAATATAAAAAGAAAATGAGGTAACACAAAAATGAATAATAATGACAAAAAAAAATCAAATTGATGTTAAGGAATGATGTTAAACAATCATTTATAAACTATTAAGATATTAAATTTGATCATTTTAAATAATAAAATATTATCATGAAATATATTAAGATAAAATTATATTTGATATTTTTACAATTTAAAATATATATAATTAATTTTAAAAAATAAAAAATATATATTATTGTCTTAATTGAAAATTATAGTTGAAGTTTTTTATATTCTATCAGCTAACTTTATAATTATTAATACTATAATTTAATTGTAAAAGCAACAAAAATATAAGCATTAAAAAATATAACACTACTTATAGATCAAGTGCTTTTCTTCTCATTATTTGGCCATTTGGGACTAATCCCGCCCATATGTACAACTAATTATTAGAAAATTAAATTTTAAAAATAAAAAGATATATTTAAAGGTGTAGTTAACAAATAAAGATGATTTTTTTAGTAAAAAGAAAAACTTTGGATAATTAAAAATTTTTAAATAAATATATTTTAAAAAGATTTGTATAACCAATAATTTTTTAAATTCATTTATTTAATCCATAAATAAAAAATAAGAATTAATTTTACTTATTTAAATAAACTCTTGCCAAAATAAAAAATAATAATTTTATCACTATAATTATTTTAAATTTAAATTGGTTTTTCATTTAAATTTTAAAAGTTTTAGATAATTAAATAAATTTTGAAATACATTTTTGATAAAGAGTCTAAAATTAAAAAATATCTTATATATTATTATAAAGAGAAGTTTTAGCAAATTTTTATATATCGAAAAGAAAAATTATCAACAAACTTTATCTGAAAATCATGTGTATTGTAATATAATATATATATATATTAAATTAAATTAGTTTAGTCATTCCTCATACTCACGCATGTTAATATTCCCTTCAAATGGTGATGATAAGCTTACATATGTATTTTGATTTTGCACTTATAATATATATATATATATATATATATATAAGAAAAATTTTTAACACATTGATAATAAATTTTGTTAACATCATAATGAGATTAAGATAATAACATATATATATTTTTTAAATATATACTAAGTCACATGATCAAATACTAATAAACTAGCATCTTGTATATCCCCGTATATCATATTAAATAGATGAATTGGGTTTTTAGGAGCCAGTCCGTTTTAATCATGAGTCGGGCCAACGGACCATTAAAATTTTGAAAGTTGGGCCAAACAAACAGAAAGCGGATGGAGCTGATGACGTGGATCCCATAAGCAAAGAGAGTGATTGAAGGTGGGACCCATTAAGATCCACTTGGCACTAACGTGGCATGCACCATTCAGAGGCAAGGCCAGGGAGACCCAATAGAAGGCGGCTGCCACTCCCAACCCCACCTGCACTTAATTATAAAATTATTAAATTAAACCTAAAACCGCAGATCTAAGAAGAAACCCTAATCGGCTAAATGGGAAAGAAGAAGAAAAGAGTATCGTCCAAGGTATGGTGCTACTATTGCGACAGAGAATTCGACGACGAGAAGATCCTTGTGCAGCACCAAAAGGCCAAACACTTCAAGTGCCACGTTTGTCACAAGAAGCTCTCCACCGCCGGTGGTATGGCCATCCATGTGCTCCAGGTTCACAAGGAGTCCGTCACAAAGTATATCCTTTTTCCTATACTATTCCTCACTTTGTTTAATTGCATCTCTGTCATATCTACTGCTTTCTTTCATCTGTTTCTAGTATATTATTTCCGTTCATCTTTTCTTTTCTTTGGTTGGCGGCGGAGGGGCTGACGGGTAAGTAATTCCGTTCAGGGCTTTATTTTTCTGGTCAACAAATCATTGTTTTCCATTAGTTTTAGGGGGATATGATATCGCCTTCGGCAATAACAGTTTATGCATATTGGAGAAAAATATTGTGTTTGAAAAATAGTGAGGAGACCTAGCTAATTTAGATTCAGCTGTTTTTTTTGAATCCCTAATTAAGGTTTATATTTTGTAAGCTGTTCCCTTTTTCAGCTTATATTAGACACTTGTTGCCAAAAAAAAAATAATCACGGTCAAAGAAAGCAAAAAAGATGAGCTTGGTTCTTTTTTCACTTTGGTATTTCCTTGTTGCTTTTTCAGGTTTTTTTCTGTATGTCCGTAGCAAACAGCACATCTTATTTTTCAATGTAAAAAATTTTCTTTCACGAGCAATTGTTACTTTATAGCCTCTCGCTTTTGGACAAAAAAAAAAAAAAAACTATTAGCAGAAGCGGGAACCAAATGAAACCTAGATCTTGAGAATGGCACTCAGTTAAAGTACTATTTCTTTGCCCCAGTTGTTCCATTCCATTCACTTTCTATGGACTAGATAACTATAGTCATTTTGTTGTGTGTTTATATTAATTAATAATCAGAAGCTGCTCAAATTATTTTAAATTACATAAAAAAATTGACTAGCCTCTATCAAATCTTTGCGTGACCTCACTTCTGTAAATTTGTCCAAGAAATTTTATTCCCTACTTGTATCTAAAATATTTCATGGAGTACAGCTTAAAATTCAATTTGAAAAGCTACCTGTAAGCATGCTATGTTTTTTGTGTCAATGAATTTTGAGTGACACTGACACAGTAATTCTTTAATAGGGTTCCCAATGCAAAGCCTGGCAGAGAATCGACTGACATTGAAATATATGGAATGCAAGGAATCCCACCTGATGTGCTGGCTGCTCACTATGGAGAAGAAGGTATGCATGATGATATACCATATGTAACTATATTCCACATCCAATCATGATAGCTTTAGTTGTTGCTCACAAACATATAAAGTATGGGTATATGTACATTTGAACAATTGCTGCTTGAGTGTTTCCTGTTTGTTGTTTGCTTCTTCAAAATTTCTAATGCAGAAAAAGCAAGTAGTAAATAAAAAATCATATGTATTTGTAAATGAGCAACTAACCAAAAATTTACTCCCCTGCAAATATGATGAAAGTGCATTGGTCTAAATCATAGTTTTTGGTATTCGTAAAACATAATTTTGGTCTTAAATTGTTACTAAAAATACTTTTTCTGTTTGCATCCAAACAGTGGCTTTTCACCTTTATTATTATATTAAAGGTGAGTAAAATAAAGGACATTTTTTAAGTTGAATAGGATACAAGTTTTTGTATTTAGAAAACGGATATGCTCTAAGGTGATTAAAATCACCTTGTGGGCAGAAGTGATGTGAATAAAATGGGGATTGCAGTTTTCTGCATTTTTCTTGAATTTTCCTATATGTCAACTTGTATTTTATTGCAAATGTTATCTAGATGTACTTGTGCTTAGAGCATTCATAGAGTAATTGTTATTCTAAATTAACAAGTTTGGTGTTGTTGCATATTGACACTATGATTTTGTATTTGTTATTATGTCTTACTCATAAAATAAAAATTTCTTACAGAAGAAGAGGTTCCATCAAAAACAGCTAAAGTGGATATTTCGTCTACTCAGCTTGTGGGAGGTTTGGTGCCAGGGCCACTTGGTGCTGGATATCCTCCTCGAACAACTTTAGGAGCAGTGCAGCCAGTGTATGTTCTCTTAAGACTTTTATCCTAGCAAATTTTGTTCCATTTATTGTTTGACCTGTTTGTTTTGAAGCATAATTGTTGAAACTTAGAATTGGCATTATGTAAGAATAATTGGCTTCTTTCTGTCATCATTGCTTTCAATTTGGGGCATTTTTTATGTGTGCATATGCAATCATGCAAAATTTCTGTTTGCATTCACAAGGATACCCATCATCCTGAAAAGTTGTTTAACATAGTTCATCTAGCCATTTAATGTGCAGTGGGTTAAAATTGGTTAATAATTTCTCTTTGTGGTTGTTTGCCTCAGGTATAATGCTGCAGTGCCTATACCTCCTGCTGGTTGGGCAGTGCCACCTCGTCCACAGCCTTGGTTCCCACAGCATCCTGCAGTTTCAGTTCCTCTGTCTTCACCTATGGGATATGTGCAGCAGCCATTATTTCCGGTGCAAAATGTGAGGCCCCCTTTGGCAGTGGCTTCAACATCACCTGCACTCCAACCTTCACAAATTGCTCCACCTGGATTGCCTATATCAACGCCTACACTTCCTGTATCCCAACCGTTATTCCCTGTTGTCAATAACAGTGTACCTACTCAGAACTCATCATTTTCTACTTCTTTGCCTACAAGTGTTCCACCAAGCACTTCTGCAGAAGTAAAAGGCTCAATTGAAGTGCATTCTAATGTTAATACTTCTATGACAGGTAACTATTAACCTGCTAATATTCCAGGTTTGACTGTTCCCATGACTAGACACAAAAATTGTCTCTATATTGTTAAATGTCTACAGTGTTATACAAAGCTAGCTCCCGCACAATTTTAAAGTGGAAAACTTAGTAATAAAATGGAAAGAGCAAAACAGTCAAAACAATAAAAGATCTTATGAACAAGATGGTTATCGTCTGTGACACAACCCAACTTAACAATTACATATGGCAGGTGAGATAGCCCTACTGACTGCCACTGCCCATGTATTTACTAATTTCTTTAGAATTAAAAGCGTTTCTCTTGCTTTCACAGTACGCAAGCTTCCAGGCCACCCCTGCTTATAATAAAGGGACTTATCTTGAGTTCTTAACGTGCTTTGCTTTATTGCTTTAAAAAAAAGCACTATTTTTTCCTCCACAATTGTACTGCTTTGCTCAGTTGAGTGGATCTTGTTTTTAAATTTTTTAACAAGTTGGATCTTTCAATGTTTTTGAGATAATTTTTATATTCCTTGTCATTTTGCCCCGCTATTATATTTCTACATTTTAAGTTTACTTGCTTTTGTCCTGCTATTGTAACTTCTATTTTTTCTTTGGTTTTATTTACTTATAGGTGTAGCTGGAGTTAATTCTCATTCTTATGCTTCTGGTCCCAATACTGGTGGTCCATCAATTGGACCACCCCCTGTCATTGCAAATAAAGCTCCTGCTATCCAGCCAGCAGTAAACGAGGTTTATTTAGTTTGGGATGATGATGCGATGTCCATGGTCAGTTCCTAACTTCTCTCTAAATGCTTTTTGTATTTGCTCTATTCTAGATGATGATTGCAAAATGTTACTAAATGATTCTAATTTAAATACTTGCAGGAAGAGAGAAGAATGTCCTTAGCCAAGTATCAGGTGCATGATGAAACTAGCCAGGTAAGTCATAACTATCTCTCTAGTGTATGGAGTTGGTTAGCACATCTAATCAGATGAGTAGGCTTTATGTTTCATGTTTTCAGATTCAGTTGTTTATGCATTTGTTACCTATTTGATGAGGTAATTTCATGTGATTTGTTTTACTTTATTCCATATTAAAAAATAACACAATTTGTGAAGAATCCATGAGCCCTTTAATCAAATATTTCCATTGATTGATGGGCACATGCATTTATTTTAAAATATGATTTTCCGTTTGCAAGCAATTGCCTCCAACTGTTTGGGCGTCAAAAGATTCAAGTAGGTATTTACATTATTTTTGCTGGTAATTGGTAATTGCAACTTTGACAAGCTTGCTGCAATCTACTCAAGGATTTCTCCCATCTAGCATTGTACTCAGTTAAGAACAGAGTATGTTCATGATCCTTTAAAATTTGGATTTATTTGATGTTATTCATTCTCCCTATGCTTGATTTGGAAGTGTGGGGTTTGGGTGGAACAAGATGATACCCAACAGATTTTTGCTCAATCGTAGCTTCATTACAATTTATTTTATTGATCGTGAATTCAGACTTTTCCAGGTCAGCTTCTTTCGCAAAGTTTGGTATCTTATGCATTGGACCAAGCTTTAACGTATCTGTTTTGCCAAATGATGGATGGTGTCATGGTTCCTCTCTGTTAATTATCATATGGATTTTTGTTTTCAGATGAGCTCTATTGATGCAGCAATAGACAGAAGGATCCTGGAAAGCAGACTTGCCGGTCGAATGGCATTTTAGTTGAACTAGAGGAGGGGAATGCATCTTGGTGGACACATGATCAAATAATGTGGCATGGCTTGCATGAATTGGAATGAGGGCCTTGGGTTGGTTACCCCCAAATTTCTCAATCAATTTTTGGGTCTGGCAACCAAGTCCAGATGTGATTTTGTTGTATTCTTTGCAAAGTGAGGGAGAAAAGTGACACGATTGTCATTTATTTCGCTTACCTTTTGTTTCTTAGTTACTCTAAAACCTGTTAGGATATAATTTTTGAGCTTTTAACTCTCTAGATTTTATTCCAATTTGGGACCTATTAGGATGTTCATTTGAGTTTTACTATTATTATTGAATGAAGTGGAATGTAGGAGATATTTGAAGAGTATAAATGTATTTTTCCTACATTTGAAGAAGGCCGGAGGGGGGGAGTAGGGAGTTAAATGATTTCTTAAGCTCTCAAGCCACTAAGATTTGATTTGTTTATTATCTACCAGAATTCGAGCTCAAACGGTTAGACTTGTCATAGTTATGGCGGTTTACATTCTCGAATATATTTTGTTTACAGTTTCATCATGAGCCACAATGTGCGAGGGATTTAGTACTCCTTCCTCCCAAAATAATTGTTCATAATTAGTTTTTCGTCGAAGCAACACAATTTTGTCACTCATTTAATAAAATATTATATTAAAATTTTTAAAAATATGTTTTAAAAAATTTAAAACTCCAATTTTAATTTGCTGGGCCAGGCCTGGGCGTTGTTCAGAGGTCCGACGGTTCATTTTTGTATATTAAAAATAAAATGCCTTCTTTTACAAGGCCCTAAAAACAAAAAACCCTAACTCAAACACTCAGTTCTAAAACCCCAAAAAATCTTGTGCTATTCTGCAACCACCACCACCAGCAGCAGCAGCACCGCAAACAGCTGACAGGAGGCTTGCAGTATTACCATAAAATGAAAATAACAAGGAAATAAGTCTCCAATACATAGAAAAAAGTCCCAAAAATGAAGGCTTTGAGGGCAGTGACAAGTCTTTCTTCGCTTTATCTTCCCCAAGCCCACACTTTCTATCACCATCATCATCATCATCTTCTATTTGTTCGTTTATTTTCAGTCCAACCCCAGCAACGCCAAAATGACCCCGACGACTCCCACCACCCTGACCCCAATAACAGCTCTGAATCTGTCTTTGACAGTGCCCAATTCTCTATCCCCGATACCTCCAGCAGCAGTACCCCTCAACAACCCACCTGGGATGTCAACCACAGACAACGAGTTGAACGGATGTTCTTCAACAACGATTTCCACCAGGACAAGTTTAAAGAGGAAGAGGAGAGGAGAAGCAGGATTCTTGCAAGGGCCTTGCTTGAGGCAGCCTTGGAGGGCCCTGACGAGGACGCCGACCATGACCAAGAGGTCAAGGAAGAGGACCAGAAGTCTCTCTCCGTTGGGATAATTGGCGCCCCCAATGCCGGAAAGTCAGCCCTTACTAATTTTATGGTTTGTTCATTTGCTCTTTGAAAATTTTTTTATACTTTTTTTTTTTGCGACACTATTTCATTAATGCATATCACAACTAATTACACTTCTATTGTGTTTTGTAATAGGTTGGGACCAAGGTTGCTGCCGTGTCACGGAAGACGAACACAACCACTCATGAAGTGTTGGGGGTCATGACTAGAGGCGATACCCAAATTGTATGTTTCTTTTTCTTTTATTTCTATTACTATACTTTAGTTGTTTTGTACGCTTCTTTGGATTCTCAACCATCTTATGTCAGACATTTTATGCTGACAATAATATTATCTTAGCTAATATAATTGCCATTGGAAGTGTTTTTACCTCTCTGTTTACTTTGGGAATATTCATGCTATTTTGTGAGATACACCCTCTTTTACCATAAGAGACATAATAATATTTGTTCAATTGTGTTACTTTGGACAATATTACTGGCTTTCTATCTTGTTATTGGTACTTAATTTTGAATTGAACTTCAGAACTTGGGATTTGATGTGTCCATGTGTTCTTTTCTGGCCCTCCATGGAGTTCATGCATAGTGAAACTCATTTTTACTCTTGCTATGTTCTTATTGTGCTCTCTAGGAATATCATTTTACTAATTTCATTTATGCTTTATGCAGTGCTTTTTTGATACCCCTGGATTGATGTTTAATGGCCGTGGATATCTTTACAAAGATATGAAGGTTCGCGTCGAGAGTGCCTGGAGTTCAGTTAATCTATATGATGTGCTCATGGTTATTTTTGATGTCCATAGACATCTTACAAGGTTAGTGATCCGTTACATCTGATTTTTTTTTTTTACCTTTGTATACTTTTGTATTTATTTTCTCCTAGGACATGTGGCAACCTTATTTTTATGTTCTTTTGATTTGGTTTATCATTGATCGTCTCTTTTACTGCTCAATACATATAGTTGACCATTTAGCTTGATTCCAGGATTTCTAGCCTCACTTCTATCAAGTTATTCTCTCTCTTTATTTACTATTCTGCTTCATTTGGAGAGGTTGCTGATTATATAGCCAATTGGATTAACTTTTAGACTTCAGTGCATCCTTTGTAAACCAGCTTACTTTATAGCTTTATTTTTATCATTTCATCGTCATTATAGATTCATTTTACTCGGGGACTTTAACTGAGATCTATCATCACTCATCTGTCTTGTGTTATCTGTAGACTATATCTCAGTTTTTTTTATCTTTGAATGGTTTTCCGAACTTTCTTTGCAATGGAAGATCATATTCTATCTTTATGTTGTCTAAATACTTGTGTAATTTGTTGTGTGTTACTCTGACTTAGTCATTTCTTAATTTTTTGTCTAATGCTGAGGGTGTTTCGTCCTATATCTTGATTGCTGATCAGATTATCTTTCTAATGATTGACCCATTTAGGCCGGATTCAAGGGTGATAAGATTAATCAAACATATGGGAGCAGAAGCAAATCCTAAACAAATGCGGATTTTATGTATGAATAAGGTTGATTTGGTTGAAAAGAAGAAGGACTTGTTGAAAGTTACTGAGCAGTTCAAAGATCTTCCTGGCTATGAAAGGTAGATTTTCCTGCTAAAAGAAGAAGGTAGCTTCTTTTAGAATATAAACCAAGCATGCTTAAGTTAGCTTCTGATAACTCTTTATTTTAATTATTTTCTAGGGTTTTCATGATCTCAGGATTGAAGGGCTCTGGAGTAGAAGATCTTACTAAATATCTTATGGAAAAGGCATGCTACTATTCTGCTTATGCTTCTATTTAAAGTAAATTCTGTGATGTCTTTAATATGGCATTGTGTAATATGTTTTGTAGCTATCCAATTTGTTTTAAAATGCATATATTCTTTCAGGATCTTTTTAACATGACGGTAAAGATATTCAAATGACTTGTCACCTCTGGTTTCTTCGGAGGCTTAGTGTTATTTTTCTCTTATCAATTTGATTTGTCAAAAGTCAATATTTTCATCTTTTGTTGTTAAGTTTTCTTCTTCAACTTTATTGTTTTCACAAATAATTATATGTAATTTTCATTTTATATTGATTTGTAGTTGATTTACTCTTGAGATTATAGTTTATTTGTGTCATGTGAACCTTGGGTACTTAGTACATACATGTGTCTTTACTGGATGAATGGTAAAGAATAACATAGCTGGTGGTCATTGGTTACAAGAAGCTCTGTCGTTCCTTCAGTTCTCATTTTTCTCACTTTTGGATGCATTTTACCTTGAGTCTGTTAGGAAAGCCTCAGATATTCCTTTTAAAACTTATTGGCATTGATCTTAGCATGCTTCTGTAGAATGGTGCAACTTGCTGAAGTTTTGTTCCTGCCATTGTGTCTCCTCTTTTCTCTAGAAAGTATTACAACTTATTCAGGCTCAATGGCGATTTTTTTTCCCTTAGGCAGTTAAAAGGCCTTGGGATGAAGACCCTGTCTCAATGAGTGAAGAAGTAATGAAAAATATTTCATTGGAAGTTGTCCGCGAAAGGTTATTAGATCATGTGCATCAGGTAAAACTTGGGTGGTTTGTGTATGCTTTACCTTTTGTTTCATACTCTCTCTTTCTCTCTACAAGGGTTTTTCTGCTTTTCCTTTTCTTTTGACCGGTGGGTTGTTTAGGGGTTGAGGAGATTTGGAATCATCAAGATCAAAAGAATGACTAAAACCTTTTTTTCTTGCAGGAAATCCCATATGGTATTGAACACCGTTTGGTAGACTGGAAGGAGTTACGGGATGGCTCTCTGAGGATTGAGCAGCACTTGATTACTAACAAACTAAGCCAGCGAAAGATTCTTGTGGGGAAGAATGGTTCTAAAATAGGGTAAGCTAGTTCTATCTCCAACATTTAATTTCTTTTTTCTTTTCATGGTTCCACTGTTATTCCCCCTCCCCAACCAAAAAGAAAGAAAAAGAAGGATGATGGACAATGAAAAACTAAATCTCAGCATTGCAACAATGTAAGGACTTAGAGCAACTTGACCATAACAGATCAACTTTGTGTTTTGATTTTTGCTTCCTAAGATCCCTTGAGGCTCATAGGGCTTCTTCATTCTGGTTACAGCTTGGGAACCTCATAGGGATTTTGATTTTAGCTGGTTACTGTTGTGTTTTACTTTCTTTCCTAAACTTCTAAACTAAAATCAAGTATTGGAGAGCTTGCCTTAATGCAATCTCACAAAAATATATATCTTTGGTTTAAACACAGGAGAATTGGGATTGAAGCCAATGAGGAGCTAAGATCTATCTTCAAAAGGGATGTGCATCTCATTCTTCAGGTTAGACTTAAAGCATAAGTTGCATGAAAATCTAGTCATATGTCTAGGACTGCACACTTCCTGCAATACCATCTGATGAGCATTATAAAGAGGGTAGCCAATGTACTTGTAGCATCGTTTCCCTAGGGTCTTATCTCTATAAGGCCAAAATGAAGTCAGCTCTAAGTGGCCAAAATGAAGTCAGCTCTAAGTGGCTAGAGATGATTTTTTTTTATTGGGAGGAACAAGTGGGGTAACACAATTATCAAAAGATCCCACTTTTGCGAGTAAAACCCCCATTGTTTTGTCCTTCAATGTGCCATTTGTGCTAAATTTTTGTGTGAAATACTTTTAATTTGAATTTCCTCTCTCGTGGTCCTTTTAAGTGTTGTATTTATGTCCCATTACATGAAAGCTAAGATGTGGCTTATTCGGTTATTCATTTGAAACTAACTTGTTGTTAGAAGATTTTTCCTTATTTATACTCATCCTTTTCTCAATATCTATGTTAGTTTGTAAATTGTTCTTTTATTTTATTCCCCTCAATCTTTTGTTGTGGAATTACCAAGAATGGTGGGTTTCTGATTGGGTGAAAACGGGGAAGACAAAATGATTTTCTCCTCTCCAGCAACAAGTGGAAGATGTCTGTCGGCCACCTAGAGTGCTCTGCGTTGTCAAGCCCAAGCTTTTTGGAGGAAATTGAGAAAGGAGACTTCCAACTCCAAGGCCTCGAATCTGGCTCATCTCTTATAAGACGTCCAATAATAGATAGTTACGGATTTTTATTTGCTTTGATTTAAAACGACATTCTACTCCGAAGCTAACATTTGGCATTAAAAAGGAAAAATAGAGAGAGAGAGAGAGAGAGAGAGAGAGAGAGAGAGAGAGAGAGAGAGAGAGAGAGGTCATCTCCTCTAATAACGATTGAAAAGTTATAACTCCATACGTTTTGTGCTAGTAAACGACTGAGTTAACATGTGCCTTGAGCTGTCAAATTCACTCGCCAAACCCATCTCGCCTGTTTAACTAGTCGTTAAGAGAAATTTATTCACTAAATGCATTATTGGACACAGGAAAGCAAAGAGCAAAAGCTTCATACATATGGGCATACTCGGTACTAATATTACTTACGACTTGGGCAGATAGCTAATTTAGAACATTCTATCATCCATCATCCATTAAAAGAGGGAAAGGGAAGTGTCAAATGGTCGAGAAGGCTGATAACTGGCGTAGCCAGTCTAGGCTCATAAGCCAAACCATGCAATTCGGCTTCCCCTTCGTTGTTGTCACTGCCACTGACAAGGTAAGGGCATGGAGGAATCCACTGCCACCTCTTCCTACAGATGTCAAACAGCAGTGCCCTGTCAGATCCTCGAATCATGATCACGATAAATTCTCCATGCCCAACACAATCAAAACCATTACCACCTTCAACTTCTGCAAACTGCATATATAGTTGCAGAGGCATTCTTTCAATTTCTACCCATGTTGTACCACAAGCTTGCAAGCCCCAAAGTCGCAAACTCTTTGGTACGTTAAGCTTGCTTTTCTCGACAGCAGCGACTAGGTTAAGCTTTCCCCTGCTCTCCACCAAGCTTGGTGATCGAAGGAATCTTCGCATGGGAGCTTGAATCTTGAACCAGTTATTTGCTGCGATATCGTAAGCTAGGACACTGAATGGGCTATAATTCATGCAATAAAACTTACCATCAACATACACCATTCGACCGGATTCAAGGCTACAAAGCCGTGGCAGGGAAGAAGTGCTGCCCCATATGGAGTAAAACCCACCTGCATCAATATGAAAGCTTTCTGTGGATAAATTCTTGACCGCATAAGGAGAAATCAAGTCATCTCCAGCTACTGCGACGTCTATAGATGTGGGGCTAACTGTTAACCCTATAGAAGGAAAGAGGCGGGGCCTCAGTGTTGGTGGCAATTGGCTTAAAGAACCAACTAGAGGATTGCATAAAATAAGAGTTTTTGTGCCAGCCTCATCAGAAACCCAGCAAACCAACCCACCAGAGGAAGATGCTGGAGAGAACCCAGAAGGAACCGAGTTGAAGGAAAGGCGGTACCATGCAATATCATAGGGATCAAAGAGGTATCCTACAAAGTTGGTTCTGTTGTCTCCGTTGCCACCACTAGGGGTGGTATTTCTATAGATGTAGCTCTTCAGTGCCTTGTGCTTGAAGAACAGAAACCAATGGTGTCGTGGTGATATTTGCATATACAATTCCAGAAAGCTGCTGGAAAACAGGAGCCCATACCATCTCTTACAGACGGAACGAGCTCGGAAAAAGGCTGGTGGTGGAAGAAAGGCGATCACTCGATCGAGCAGCCTTTGTGGTAGTTTACTCCATATCCTACTGTCCATCCAAGGATTGCTGATGGTGTCGGTGCTAGTTGTACAGCTACTGCTGGTGATAGTGAAAGTGTAGGAAAAAGGTAACGGCATAGATGTGTTAAAGGCGTCCATGAGAAACAGATTTGTTTTAGCTAGGTTGGATACAGCTGAAACTAATCCTGATCTTCTCTCCTTTCTTTTCTTTTGATTTTCTTTTCCCTGCAGAAAAAAAAAAAGATAGACTAGGATTCAGATGTTTTCATGAAGAAAGGGTTTGCATTAGTGGCGTGATGAAATGCTCTTTCCACTTTCGAGTCAAAGGAGAGGCTTTATCTAGCTATTCCAAAACAGTTTTGTGAACCGAAATAGGAAAGGAAAATCTGAAGATTATGGTTTTAAGGGACCGTCCACTTTGGATGAAAAAGTTGTTTAGGGTATGGCAACTGCAAGATCGAGAGGCCGCTCGCAGTCTTCTGGGCCTCTTATTTTCAGTGGAAATGGAGAGTAGGACTTGAAAGAGAAGGAGCTAACAAATAACTAAAAAGAAATGACAGGTTGAATTCTAGGAAAACAAAGTTACTACTTAAAACTCACGAGGGTTGGTTACTCCTTTTGAAAAATCCACTTTGCAATTGCAAGTTTTTCTTGGAATGTTATTGTTTTGGTTGGGAGACAGGTGTATATATAGGAAGAGTTGAGTTTCTTTTTATTTTCTCTTTTGCTCCTGGTTTCTCACGTTCCTCTCTTTAGTGAGAGAATGGCAGTGATTCGGATGGTTCTATCTTTCAATTCAGTGTTTTCTTGTCAAGGCCGAGGAAGGAAGGACATTGCAGCAGAAGCAGACAAGTTCAACTCAGATAGAGTGATAATGTCAAAACGAGTGTCCTTTTCATTGATTATTCACACTGCACCAATCCTTTTTCAAGACCAGACCAGACCATCTCCAACTTCCAAGTTTCAAATGCAAGTTATTTGGTCATTTTCATCATGAATAACGTCAAAAACTGCTTTTGAGTTTTAAAATTTCATGGCCAGGGATCAGGGTTTTTCTGAATGCTACTAAATATACTCCCTAGAGTTAGCATTAAGCACGTCTATTCAGAACAAATTTTAAGGTAAATATATATAGTAACAGTAGTAGTATAGTGTTTTGATCAGAGCTTTGTTTCTCTTCCCGGGCGTACAGATATATACACTGTATCAACAGTTATGTCATGTCCTAAACCTAGGTTTATGATACTACAAATGTGTTCCAGAAGCATCATTTTCTTGGCCCTCCTCATGATCATTGTGTCCTGATTATTACACTTGGACAAAAACATAAGTTTAATCTTATATACCTTACTGTTTCATTGGAAGCATAACTATATGATTAAACAAATTAAGCAAACTTTAAATTGATCTTTCTTAAATGACCTTTTCAAATCTTTAATGTAAGACCTGTACTTTTAATCATTTATGTTTGTAGCACTCATCGTGGCTAGAACCATATGCAAATATAATTCTTTTTGGGTATTTTTCTTTTTCTTTTATTTGTATATAGACTATAGAGTAAAAGGGAAAGGAGACTGACATGATTGAATAGTGCTGCAGAGCCATTAGCCACTCAGCAAGGCATCATAATCGTTTCCGTGAACCTGATCAAAGGATTAAATCAATATAATTTTGCAGCTAGAACTTAAGGTTTAGTTTAACCATGAGAACATTTGTTCCAAGTTGGAAGTGCAGTGATTCAATTCAACCTTTTGCTTGTCATGTAAAAGAAGAACGAATAAAAGAAAAGGTCAACCGCGAGGAAATACTAGTACTATTACTTTTTCTCTTTCTTTAATTTGTGTTAATTCCTTGAGAGTTGAGAGATAGACAGGATGCTTTGTTTCTTCAACGTGGCAGCAGTTTGTACGATTGATTCCAGAACATCTTGAGAAACAGGAGTATGTTTTCACAAATAATATTAAACACAAAAAAAATCTTTAATTTTTTATCTGATAATTAAAAATTTTTTTAAAAAATATATAAGTCAAGAACTCGAATCCTGCCATCCTTCTTTTTCATCCCTATTCGATGTAAAAAAAAAAAAAAAGGGAGTCATTAGCCAAGCGGCTGAGTAAGGCATGAGGGTAAGGAAAGGAAGATATGATTTTATTAATGTGATTATTAGTAAAAATGGGAACATATTGGCTGGGCGAGCAACATGGGTTTGTTGGGGTTGAAAGTGGATAGTGGTGGTAGTAATGTTTAGGGTTGAGACGTTGATGTGGCAGTGCAGTCTGTTTGACGCAAATCAATAATGTCAGATGAAAACATACGTCCAATCCCATCGTCAGTCCTCTGTGCTCACTCATCAGTGATGGGTTGTTGCACTGTTTGGCGTGAACTATAAAGGCAGAAAGAAAGAAAGAAAGAAGACTGCTGCAGCGCTGCCCTCACTCTCACTCCTACTTTCTCTTTTCTCTCAGTAATAATATTCTCTTTATGTAACACACTTGGCTCTTGTTTGGTTTTGTTATAGGAAGCAAATCTAAGTCAGAACACTAAAGAAACAGAACCTCGCTCCCAAGTCCCACCACTCCTCCACTCAACTTCTCCGCTGTCTTGTTTTTGTCAATCTTCATTTTCTTCTTCTAGTATTATCATTGTCTCAGAATCTGACCTCCAAAAATGAATAAGTCTAGTGATCAGATTTGGAAATCCTTTTCTTCCTTCAAGAAATCTCCTTTTTTAGTAAAAAGATAACCCCCTCATATTTGGAAATTGCGTTTCCCTTCAAGCAAACCCAACCCTCCCTCTCTCTCTCTCTCTCTCTCTCTCTTCACCTCTGCCAATGCTCTTCTTTTTTTGCCACTTGCCAGCCTGCCTTGGACTTCCTACACTTTTCTTTTTTTTTTTTCTTTTGACACTTCTCTCTCCCACTTCGTTTAATCCTTGCTGCCTGCTGTTGCTTCCTTCTCAGTTCTCGTTCTCTTCTCTGCATTACATTTTATATACTTGCTTTGAAATTGTCCATAATTTCAAGAATTTCATTCATCGGCCTTCATGCCCCCATACCCATATGCATGGTTAAAATTTCTCTTGTGCCTTTTTTTCTTTATTTATTGTTTAAAAAGAAGATTCAATATTTACTGTAATGTGTAATGCCATATTAGATTATATTGCACAAATTAAAAAAAAAGAATAATATCTATTGTAGTCTCCTCTCGGTCCTCTCATTTCATTTTTAGTATTACTACTATTATATATGGCAGGCAGAGAACAGTAAATACTAGTAGTAGTATGTATGTGTTATTCAACTACTAATATATTGCTCTTCATTTATGCACTTTAACTTAATTAATAATTCAAAAAATAATAAGAGTATGATGATGAGGCATGAGTAAAGATGATATATTTATTCAAATGATCAGTAATTAATGCTTCAAAAACAACCATTATCATTCCTTAAACTAATACTAATAATGCTTATTTTTTAGAGAAATTAAGTAATCAATCTTACTATTTTCTGTCTTAATTTTTTGTACGAAATATATATGTGGTTGCTTCAGCTGGCTCCATTTTGTTTTTCCTTTTCTTTATTTTTTTCTTTTTTTTTCTAAGTGTTCAATTACCGATTGAATTTATATTTGACATATTGTTAATATATAAATTTTATACACTGTCAATAAATTAAAAAGTAATATTTTATTAATGAGTAAATATCAACGCTTGAAATAAATATATACAAATTAAAATATTTTTAAAAATTTATTCATTAATGAAGTATTATCATATGATTTATTTCATTAATAAATTATCATCATTTGATTCACTGATAGTGTATAAAATTTATTACTGACAGTGTATTAAATATAAATCCTTACCAATTAGTCATTAAGTGTTATAATAATAATAACCAATTAGTCATAACACAATATCCCATCATATGCATTGCAATATCAATTCATCTAATTAGGCATCACCAAGTCATCAACTAAATATGCGAGTAGCAGTACCTTACCAAACTTCTCTAATATTTGTACCTAAACTAAATGTGCGAGTTTGAAGCGAATATGATTAGATTAGTTATTACAAATCTATGTTCGAGCCATAGTTATCATAATTGAACTAGATCATTGATCCAATTAGGTGAATCGGTGAATCAATGATGAAAGCAATTTGATTTTGTAATTAGATTAGTTTTGCAATTAAATATTTTAAATCGTTGTGAATCAACGGTTTACATAATAAACCAATAAATCAGGTGATTTTTTTTTTTTTGAACTGAACTAATTCAATACAAACTAATAAGTTTTACAAACTAATAAGTTTAAGTAAAATATAAAAGAAAAACTCTTTAAATATTCAAAATAATCTAGTTAAACTCTTATACTACTATTTCATCTAAATAAGCCCCCAATTCTTATTTTCTACTATTAAAGCCTTTGCATCCTTTATATTAATGATATGTTGACATATTTTGAGATATGTAGATAATTATATTTAAAAAAACTTATACATGTATAAAAATAAGCAATTTTCAAAAAAAGATGATCTAACAAAAAATTTATTAATTGATACCATAATTAAAAATAATTATAAAAATAATAATATAAAAAATTAATAAAAAATGTTAATAAAATCATTAATTATTTGACAATGATAAAAAATAATTAATAAAAAAATTTATATATGTAAAATTAATAAAAAAATTTACATTCATATAAAAAATATAAAATGATTTTAATTTCCTTTTTACTAATTTTCATTATAAATATAAAAATTTCCTTTTATTAATTTTATATATAGATGTTTCTTTTTTATTACATAAAATTAATTATTATATATTAATAATAATATTTAAATTTAATAAATATAAATAATAATTATTTATTACTTATTATTTATTATATTTAGTAAAATATAAATATTATTTCTAACTATTAAAAATAAAATATGATTTTAATAAAATGTTAAGTGATTTCATTTGTAACTAGTAATTAATTGTTCTATGAATTTTATATTTTAAAATTTATAATTTATGATGTACTTTAAATTTTATAATTTTATGGTTGAATTATTAAATTATAATTTAGTTAAAAATTTAAATTTTATAATATTTTTTATTGAATCGATAATTAATTCATTAATTTGATGGTTGAATCAATGACATGAAACTTTGATCCGATGTGATTATAATAACTATAGTTTGAACTATAAGCATTAGGCAGGCAAGGAAGGATACACATTGGATTGAGTTTTGAACAGTGCAAATTGCTTCGGGTCCGAAAATATTTTAGATTGAGGGCTGAGGCGGCCCACTTCACAGCTTCACATAAATACTATAATATCACACTACTTGCCGATTGGTAAATTACAAAGAGCTACGTTGGAGAGATAAAGACAAAGACTTCTTTAAAATAATGCCAGGCCCAGCCAGCCAGATTCCACCATGCCAAGCTCAATTATACACTCACTCCATGTCACAAACTCAAAATATCTTATACACTGCTCTTCTTAATAATTAAAGCCTAAACAAAACCAAAACCTGGCCGCCATGAACAAACATCATGTGGTCTTCATCTCCACTCCTTCCTTCGGCAACCTGCTTCCAACCATTCAATTTGCCCGCCACCTTACTCATCGTGACCCTCGCCTTTCTGCTACCCTCCTTATCATCACCGTGCCCCAAAGAACCATCGTCAACTCTTACATCCAATCACTTTCCTCATCTGTCACTGATGTCAACTTCATCTACCTCCCTTCCGTCCAACCTCCCTCCCCTGATCAATGCCAATCTTTTTTGGGTTATCTTTCCCTCGTTTTAGACAAGCATAAGGTCCACGTCAAGCATGTCATCTCCGAGCTCATGTCAAGTTCTACCAGATCCACACTTGCTGGGCTATTTGTTGACATGTTTACCACATCCATGATCGATGTTGCTAAACAACTTGGCATTCCTTGCTATCTCTTCTTTGCTTCTCCAGCCAGTTTTTTGGGGTTTATGCTTCATTTGCCAGCCTTAGACACACAACTTGCTACCGACTTTGTTGACTCCGACACTGGGTTAATAGTTCCCAAAGACTCCGCAATTGAGTTGATCATCCCGAGTTTTGAAAAGCCTTTGCCCCCCAACATGCTGCCCACGTCAGTGCTAAAGAGAAACAAAGATGGTTATTCCTGCTACTTAAACCACGCACGCAGGTATAAGGAAACGATGGCCATCGTAATCAACACGTTTCTTGAACTGGAGCCCCATGCGATTGACTCGCTTTCCGTCAGCGGGTTACCTCCTGTTTACCCAGTGGGGCCGATTCTTGATCTCGCTGGAGCAGCCCAATGGCACCTGGATGGAGCCCAACAGGATTGCATCATGAAATGGCTTGATGAACAGCCTCCCTCTTCAGTGGTGTTCCTATGCTTCGGCAGCATGGGGAGTCTCGACGGACCCCAGTTGAGAGAAATTGCAATTGGGCTAGAGCGTTGTGGGCATCGCTTTTTGTGGTCCATCCGTGAGCCACCCAAAGGTAAATTAGATCTCCCAGGTGAGCACTCTAATTTGGCGGCAGTTTTGCCGGTGGGGTTTTTGGATCGGACGGCTGGGTTCGGGCTTGTGTGCGGGTGGGTTCGGCAAGTGGATGTATTGGCCCACCGAGCAATTAGAGGATTTGTATCACATTGTGGGTGGAATTCCATATTGGAGAGTCTATGGTACGGTGTTCCAATAGCCACATGGCCAGTTTACGCGGAGCAACAAATGAATGCATTTGAGTTAGTGAAAGAGCTGGGATTGGGCATGGAGATTAGGTTGGATTACAGGGAAGGCAGGGATTTGGTGTTGGCTGAGGAGTTAGAGAGAGGATTGAGGCGTTTGATGGGCGGTGAAGATGATGAAGTGAGGACAAAGGTGAGAGAAATGAAGAGCAAGAGTAGGGTGGCATTGATGGAAAATGGTTCCTCGTATAAATCATTAGGATCCTTGATTCAGGAAATCTGTGGTAGAATAGAAGGTTTGAACTTTGAAGACAAATAATTAGCAGCTGCTACAACAACGAAGGAAAACAAACAAATCAAATATCTTGTCATTTGTTTTGTAACATAAACAATAATGAAGATATACATGTCTCCTTTTGGAAACTTTCGACACGTTCGCTCGCAAACTCATACATGTCTTCCACCCTTCATTCTTTTCCTCTAACTAGGATTTCCCTTTGTTTTTGAGGTTGGATCAGAACAACCAACAAGAGCATCTTCCATGATCATATCATATTATTAATTGCTCTCTAACAAGGGATCCTCATTCAAAACTTGTTCTTCTAAAACATCCACATTTCCTCCATTTTGTGATATTGCTTCTCGTCTCCACCTTGATGGCAAGTACACCGCTGAAGGGATCTCATACCAATCTTTGTGAAGGAACACACTTAAAATATACCCGACAAAGAATCCCAAAAAACTCAAATTGCTTATAACCATAAGAAGCCAAATTAGCATTTCACAACACTATACTATGTGCTTTTGACTACTTGTTTCCTAGTAATATTGCACCAAAAGTTCACATCCATTTTCATGCAGTATTATATATTGAATTGCTGGACCAAACTCTTTTTGAAACAATTTAAAAGCATGGGATCATTCTCAAATTAGAAGAACTCTTATATACATATATAACTCTCTGACATGGTATATCATGAGATTGAGTTTGTTCAATATCAAATGTAATTTTAAAAACCATATTAATTAAAGACATTATAATGTTTTGAGCATATATTAAACACAATTAGAGTTACATGTTTGACAAAATCTTTTAAAGAAGTGTGAGAGGCAATGAATCTGTAGATAAATCCATTTATACTTTCTGACCTTCCAGTCGTTTGCGTTAATTCCTCCAAGACAATGTCCACCAAGTAAACCAACCACTAAATTTCCAAGTTATACGCCAGCCATATGCACAAACTATATTGAATTCATTCAATAAAGAAATTCAAAATAAAATTATAATATAAGTTAGTGGACCAAATTCATACCTTTATCATCAACCATTATAAAGCAGTCGATCAAGTGCACGCCCCAATAATAGTCTCTTCTGTAGCACAATCTTTTTGCTCAAATCACTGCAATGGTTCCACCAATTAATGTTCAATGGAAGTTCTTCTTCTTGCAGACAAGTGGTACTCAATCTTTTTCATACAACAAAAGTTGATTTATATCAACATAATAAAGTCTATAAGTATATCTCAGAGAGAAAAAAAAAAAAAAAAGGAATGTTCCCACGGACCTGGAATTTTGCAAACTCGTCAAAACCCGGGGTATGTTGAGAGTGGCAAATTCGTAACTTCAAATAAAAAGTGGTCCCTTTTATTTCGAAAAGAAACGATGACGTTTAGACACGAGGACAGCCACTCCAATAAATTGTGTTTGTTTTTCCTTTCTTCGTTTGGTTGGTGAAGAATTACAGAAGAATTGGAGGGAAAAGAAGAGAGCAATGCCAGTGTCAAAACCAGAATCGTGTGATTCCAGGGTGATTGCTCATGTCGACATGGACTGCTTCTATGTTCAAGGTTTTAACTCCTTTTTCCCTAAATACTAGTTCTATTATTAGTAACGTATTCTGTATTTATGTGTTTACTTTTTTTTTTTCCCAGTTACTTAGGTTTCCGTCCAATTCTGCATTGTCCCTTTCGTTTTATTGTGTTCCAACCTCAAACGTTGTTGAATTTTGTCGCAGAAGTGTAAAAACCGCGGCAATTAACTTTTCTTTTTATTCTGCATTATCCCGTTCTAGACTAGTATGATCAGTTACTCCTTATTATGATGAGGACCGAAAGGCCCATATTGCTCTTTAAAAAAAAAAAAAGAAAATAAAGAAAAGAATCAAGTTTATATTTGTAGTATAATCGGAAATTAAGTGAAGTGGTCCCTTTATGTTCATCGCATTTTTACCCCCTCCTTTAAGTTGTTATTTTCTTTCTCTTTAGAATTATACAATCAGTTGCGGTCTAGAATCTTAAGTTGTGGGGTAACTTAGTTTTATACATTACTCTTTGTAGTGGAGCAAAGAAAGCAACCGCAATTACGGGGTTTACCTACTGCTGTTGTACAGTACAATGAATGGAAAGGAGGGGCTTTGATTGCAGTCAGCTATGAGGCGCGTTCTGCTGGGGTGAAGCGGTAATTACAATGTTAAGTAATCATTTTCAGGGTTCTCAATTGATGATCAATTGTTTCTTATTTTCTTTTTCTATCTTATGTGTGGTTTTCAGCTCAATGCGTGGCGAGGAAGCAAAGGAGGTTTGCCCACAAATTCAGCTGGTCCAAGTGCCTGTAGCCCGTGGTAAAGCTGATTTGAATGGATACAGGAATGCGGGCTCTGAGGTGTATGGGATTTAAAGAACATTTCCAGTGCTTTCAACCACATTGTCAGTACTTAATTTAAAACCCATCTTATGCTGAATTTTAACAAAATTTGCAGGTGGTATCTATTCTTGCAAGGAGAGGTAGATGTGAAAGGGCTTCAATTGACGAAGTGTATCTCGATCTTACTGATGCAGCTGAGACAATGCTAGCAGAAAATCCTCCACAAAGCTTGGAGACGATGGATGAGGAAGCTCTTAAGTCACATATTCTAGGGCTCAATAATGAGGTTTGCAGCCATACTTTGGATCTTTTGACATAAGATTTGATAATGCTTGGCATTGGAGTTGATCATGGATAAATAGCACCTTGTTGATGGACAGATGCCAATGTAATATGATTTTAGCTTAAGTACAAAGTTCTTGGAAGCCTTCATCGCTACTTTAACAATAAATTTAGTAGACTTGTATTTTTATATGCATCCTGTCATAAATTCTGCTCCCTAGTTGGGATCATTGTGTACGTTTTTGCATGTTTGGATTTTGCATCATCTAAGATGTTATACTTTATATGCAACGGGGCAGGATGGAAGTGATGTGAAAGAAAACGTTAGGAAGTGGATACTTAGGTGCAATGCTGATCACCGTGATAAATTACTAGCTTGTGGGATTCTCATTGTTGCAGAGCTTAGGATGCAGGTTTTAAAGGAGACGGAATTCACTTGTTCTGCAGGCATTGCTCATAATAAGGTGGACAGAAAGTTTTTTCTCTCCCTTGTATTCTTTCAGCAAGTTCCATAAGGTACCTCATAAAGATAATTTTTACCAACCTATGTTACCATCATGTCACTAACTTTATTACCAGATGCTGGCCAAACTTGCTAGTGGTATGAATAAACCTGCACAACAAACTGTTGTGCCTTTCTCATCTGTAGAAGGACTGCTCGATACCTTACCAGTAAGGAAAATGTAAGTTTGTATAAATTTCTGGGTTGAGTTGAAATGCTGAGTGAGAAATTAGTTACTTTCCTTGAGGAGTGATAGTTAAACATCACCACTAACGTATGAAGGAAGAGCAGTTACATGCTTACCTTCCATCCTAAGATGTGACACATTATTTTGACTAAAAACTTTCTTTACAGGAAACAGCTTGGAGGCAAGCTGGGGACTTCCTTACAAATTGACATGGGTGTAAACACCGTTGGAGATTTATTACAGTTTCCAGAGGAGAAGCTGCAAGAACGTTATGGCATAAATACTGGGTGATCACCTATTATTAACAGAGCTTTTGCAAATGTCTTACATTTTTCGGATCATTATAGCTCTTCCTCCTTAAAGTTAAAACTTATGCATGTACATTTTGTACATAACATCAAGAGCTCTTATCTTGCATTTTCCAATATTATTTTTATAATGTTGACTTCTTGTTTTAATTTTTAGACAGTATAGATCCACCAGAAGAAATTACTATTGCAAATCATGTGCTTTACCATTTGCTGATTCATTTAACAGTTATCTGGTATGGTTCCTAAATACCTATGTTATGCATGGACTCCAGTACTTGGCTGTGGAACATTGCAAGAGGAATCAGTGGAGAAGCAGTTAAGGGACGCCTTCTCCCCAAGAGCCATGGTTCTGGAAAGACATTTCCTGGCCCTCGGGCGTTGAAGACAGTTTCTGCTGTAAGATTTTTCTATTAATTAAATGGTTCTTATAAAGCACTATGATCTTTTCATGTCATGAAGTCAGCATGTCATTATACTGGGTGTGATTATCTTAGAATGTAGACTTTGCCCAAAATAAAGAGCATATTTTGTGATCTTAATCCCCAACTGTTGGAATTTGTAACTTATCCATACAAATTGCAACACTATGTTGTCTACTTATGCATTGCCAGCCTACAGAGCTCTGCTTACAGCCTATAGTTCCCTGAATTTTGGCATAACATATTGATAATGGTTCCTATTTCATATGACCATATATATTTTTACATCATATTCAAGAAATCAAACTTTGTAAAGTTGTTAAAAATGTTCCAATTGTCGTAAAAGTTGTTAGGAAATGGTAGTCTTAGATCTATTTTGCAATGACCATAGCTTTATACACTGTTTGAATTATGGAGGTTGAACAACTTCTGTGCCTCCACTGACTTGTTTCTGAGTTCACTCTTTATGTGAGTCACGATCGTTATTTAGTGGGATGCTTGATAAGGGGTGGCAAATGGAAAGTTTTCTGCTGCCAAAACGGGTGCTGAAATGGGAGCAATAGTTTTATCAACTATGAATCTGTGTAAAAAAAAATGATCGTTGGTACAAAAGGGACTTGCTTTTCTGCTTTTGTTTCTAAACTTGCTTAAGATTTGCAGTCATTATCTAGCTCTTACATCAATTGATCTACTAGCTTCCATCATGTTGTGATTCCTACGAAGCATTTCTGGGACATATAGCAACTCTGTCACTGAAGTTCATTTTGTTGTAACTTGCCTCTATATCTTTATTACCAGGTGCAACACTGGCTTAATCAACTTTGTGAAGAACTCAGTGAACGACTTTGCTGTGACCTGGACCAAAACAAAAGGATAGCACACACTTTAACTCTGCATGCTAGAGCATACAAGGTATCCATATTTAATCCTTTAGATCTGCAATTATATGTGCCTGTGGCAGCTTCTTTCTATAAACCAATCCAGATTCTTCTATTTGATGTGCTAACACCAGCATTCTGTTGTGCTGATAATGAGTATTTTTACAGTCCAGTGATTCAGATTCTCAGAAAAAGTTCCCCTCAAAATCTTGTCCACTAAGGTATGGGACTGCCAAGATCCAGGAAGATGCCTTCAACCTATTTCAAGCTGGATTGCGCGAATACATAGGATTGTATGGTGTGAGGACTCAAGGAAGTGATCACAGTGGATGGGGAATAACATCTCTTTCTGTTTCAGCGAGTAAAATTGTTCCCATACCATCTGTAAGTTCCAATTTACATTTGTTTGTACTAAATCATGACCTTGACATGTTTTATGGATGACCAAACATTATGTATTATATGTTACTCTATAACTATTTTTGGCAGGGCACACGTTCAATTGCAAAATATTTTCATGGCCAATCTACATCCCTGTTTTCTTCAATGCAATCGCCTGATAACCTCAACATTGAGACAACACTTTTGTCACCCCCTGGTCTTCTTTCTTTGCTGATCATTTTCTGATCTTGCTTATGATTGTAATACATTTGCATCATCTAACTGGGGCTTGGTGCTCATTCAGGTAGTGAAAGCTACTTGGAGGTGAATTCACCTAAACCAAAAATTCATTTTCCTGGTGAAGAAAGCTGGACTGAGGATACCATGCCTGGTTTGGATCTGCAAGAACAGAAAGTGAATGTCGTGAAAGATGAGGTTTTTAGTTTTTGCAGATTCTTTTCTAAATATTACACAGCAGTTTTAAGATGATAATAGGTTATTAAAGAATGAAAATGCACAAAATTCATATAGCTTATTTAGAATATTTAGGAGTTTTTCAATGAAGGTTTGACAGTTAATTTTCAATGAAAATGCACTGTTGTACTTTTTCCTTGATTTTAGAGAGCAAGATATGTAAAAGTTTCTACATGTTTGTAATATGCACTACCTGCTTTTGATACATTCTATCTTATTTTCATTCTTAAATGATTCTGGTTGTGAGCATTTTGTGTTACTAGTTTAATCTGTCTGCAGGATCTGTCTTGCTCTCTATTAAAGAAGACACAAGATGGCTTCACCCAGGATATTTCACCATTGTTACTCTCAGGTAATAACTTCTGGTGCTTGCCATTTCTGTTGGCTCCCTAATTGCCCTTTCTAGTTCTGATTACATGGTTTTATTGAGGAACTGAAGGGTGCTTCGAACAGAACCAGAATAAACAACAAAGAGTGTTCTCTAAGGATGAAAGTCAGTTTAAGTCAGAACACAGGGAGCAAAAAGGAAAAAGATTGAAAGACAAGGTTCAATTATGAATTTTCATGTATCTCTTCTTGTGTTATTGCTATTTAATGTGTTATAATGCTATCTTGAGAGTACTTATCATGATTTTTATGTAGAGAAGAAGTCCCTTAAAGTTTAAATATCTTGACAGTTTGTTTTGGTGGAGAAAATTAATATCTTGAGATTGTTATCGGATGGCTTTTCAATTTCAAAATAATTATTTGAGTACATTTATGTTGGAAGCAGTTGGGAAGGTTCCCAGCTGTTAGTTGTGATACTAGAGTTGAAAAAGAAAAGGAAAAAAATGGAGAATTTTTTAAGTTTGGTCTTTGAAAGAATTCATGATGCAGGTTATTATATGTTAGGGTTGCTCATCTCGAATTATGGTAGGGTTGAATTTAGGAAGTAATGTCTGCAGGCTATTAAAATAATAATCACACATTTTACAATTAGCTCCAGTTTCAGTTTATGCCACCGATTTTTGCTATATGTTTGTTCTTTATTGGGTGCTGTGGACTGTCATAGCTTCTTTCAATATGTTGACAGGGAACATCTTCAATTTTGAAACTTTTTAAGAGCTACAATCCCTTGGGCTCTTCTTCTTCTCCAGAGCACAATAAAACTGTCCAAAGCACTGATGCTCAATTAACCACCGGTAATTCTAAGACTCCACTTTTAGGGGCCTATATAATTACCAATTCTCTGAATGTTTAACATTTGGGTGCAGATTTTCAGGCCAGATGTCATAGCCTTGCAGAACTTAGTGATGTCAAACTGGTAAAGGAAAGTCCTACAAATAGTTGCAGTTACAGTAGAGATAAGGATGAACGAAGAAGGGAAGCATGGAGTTACAAACTTGATGAAATTGACCCATCGGTGATTGATGAATTGCCACCGGCCATCCAAGATGAAATTAAAGCCTGGATGCAGCCTCGTAAGCGGCCTAATAATATAGTCAAGCGAGGTTCTATAATCTCTCATTATTTCTCACCGACCAAAAAGTCATAAGAAAACAATGATGATAGGATCTGCATCTTTTTTAATCGTAAACAATGATTTGAGAACAGGATGAGATCAACACCAAATTAGGAGGTATGATATCTTCTGCCAAGTATATGTTTAACGATAGGCCCAGACCATATATGTCATCCAAATTTGAATCATCCTATTGAACGGCACCTAGACCTTATTGATGGTTAATGTGGCCGTCCTTTAGGTTGAGGCTGTTGGTCAGCCAGGCTTCTGGATTCTCTATGCTATGGTCCTTCCTTGTACAAAGTAGAAAGCCACTTTGTATATGTTCATTTGTTAGGTAGGGGGGAATGGTTTGTGCACTCTGGTGCATTTCTTCAAGCTCTGTAAAGTTGTACCACTATTAGGCTTATCATTCAAAAGCCTGAGCATGTGTCGTTCTCTCAATACCAATTTTACGAATTTCTCTTCAATCTATACCTATGAGCCGGAGCTCTGAGAGTCTGAGACTGCAGACCGAAAAGTAATACAAGTAGTTAGTAGTTGTACTAGTATTTAAGATATGCGTGTTGCAAGCTGCCATGTAAATGTCACATGCACCATGTCAGCTGACTAAAGTGGTAAATAATTATTATTATTTATGTAGAGAAATCGTAGATATATGCGAGGCTGCCGCTTCATCAGTCATCACATTCACAATTCACATGCATGTGAACGTAGATAATTAATTACAGGGTGTTTTCTTATGTTTTTGTTTATGCCTGGGACTCGTAACTGCAAATGAAGGAATGTCTGCTTCCACTTAACCTTTCCATGAATCAAACACGGTGGAGCTGGCAAAATGCCTTGATGCCCTAAAAGCTCAAAGCACAACGGGAAGACTGATATTCTAACTTGTATGTTGGATTTGGTCGTCTCGCTCTAAATTCCTCCTTTTTTTGGGGGGGCGCGATAAAGGTATAAATGAACAGAGTTTTTGATGAACTGTTCATGAACATGTTCGATTTTTATTTGTTTATATTTGTTTATTAAGCTTAACAAATGATCTTAAACAGTATTTTTATATTTATTTATTAAATGAACTGAACATGAATTGAGGTCTGTTCGATTCGTTTATGTTTGCGAACAAGCTCTTTTAATGTTCAGTAACAAATTTGATTATTAAGTTCAATTTTTATAAGGTAAAAAACGCATTGAATAATTTTTTTCAAAGTTTTTTTGTGAATTATTCAATGCGTTTTTGCTTAGAAAACACATTTAATAATCATTTCTCATTTTTTTTGAGATTATTCATGATGTTTTTTATCAGAAAATTCTTTGAATAATTTCTTAAACTTTAAACTCTAAAAATTAGAGATTATTCAACAAAAATGCCTTGAAAAAACGTCTTAAATAATGTCATAAAAATTAAAGTGAATTATTAAATGTATTTTTTATTATAAATGTACTGAATAATCTAATTAAATTTTTTGTAAAGAATTTTTTAAGGAGTTTTTGGTAAAAAACACTGTGAATAATTTCTTTCAATTTTTTTTATTAGAGATTATTCAAGGTATTTTTAGCTAAAAACGATTGAAATAATCTCTTTTAATTTTTGTTTTGATTATTCAAGATGTTTTTTTTTTTCAAAAAACGTCTTAAATAATCATTTAAATTTTAAACTTTAAACTTTAAAAATTTGAGATTATTTAAGACGTTTTTGATCTTAAATATTTTGAATAACCTCGTAAAAATTAAAATGGATTATTGAAAGCATTTTTTACCATAAATGTCTTGAATATCTTCATTAAATTTTTTATAAATGATTATTCAAGATGTTTTTGAGTAAAAATGCTTTAAATAATTCATTTCAATTTTTTTTATTAAAGTATTATTCAAAACGTTTTTTATTAAAAAATTTCCTCGAATAATTTCTTTTAAATTTTTTTTTAAAATTATTCAAAGTATTTTTCTTAAAATAATCTTAAATAATCCTTTAAATTTTAAAAATTGATGATTATTTTAAGACGTTTTTTATAAAAATACATTGAATAATTATATCATAAAAATTAAATTAAATTATTGAAAACGTTTTTTTATTATAAACACTTTGAATAACTCTGCATCGATTATGAACCAAAATGGATAAAGCTTACATATTTCTATTCTCTTCTTCTGCTAGACTTCTGTTACTATTTCGCATCCCCGGCACACTGGGCTTCATCCCATTTCATCCTACCAACTCTTAAATTGGGACAATTCAGGAGGACGGAAATCGCCAGTTGATTTGGTCCAACCAAAAAAAACATGGAAGTTTTGGGCGCACATAGGTATCATGATGATTTCAGCATCCATCTGGCGTGGCATCCTCTCTACAGTGATAATGAGGACGAAGAGTCAGTGCAAGTGTTCCGAACTTAAATAAAAGTTTTAAATCTCACATCGAATATAATAAGAAGGTCATTGGGATATAAAAAAGTTCACATCATTTTTTTCTTGTGAGTCGCTTTTTGTTGGACAAAACCGTGAGACCAAAGAGCGAGAGTGGATAATATTTCACAAGGAGATGAACCGTAACGGTTAGGCTAATCTAGGACGTCAGATGAATGGATATTCGGATCTCAAAGTCATACGGGTTCGGAGCTTAAGTCTCGACCCGTGACAAATGGTATCAGAGTTAGTCATAAACCATTCGATCCACGCCAAACATCTCGAAGGAGGTAGGTAGGGTGATCAGCCTCTATGACGAGATCGTCACAAGATTAGGTGGGGGAGAATGTCACGAACTTAAAAAAAAATCTTGAATCTCATATCAAATATGATAAGAGGGTCACTGAGGTATAAAAGAATTTATACCACTCTTTCTTGTAAGATATTTTTGTAAGATAAAATTATGAAATCAAGAAGATCAAAACAAATAATACCTCACAAAAATATGAATCGTGACGATTAAACTGATCTGAGATGTCGAATGAATAAATATTTGAGTCTCAAAATTACATAAATTCAAAATTTAAATATCGACTCGCGATGCAAACAGTTACCAGAAGTGATGGAATCCTTCCTCAGATTGACGGTACCAAGACAAAAGAATTTAGGACTCGGCATTCACTTCCTGACTCGATCTATTCTAGTTGAGTAAGGGAAGCCTCTTGTGACAGACAGCTTTAGCAGCTCTTTCCTTCTGATCTAGGCCCAGCCCAGCCTTGTGTATTCTTCTACCTAGGAGAGATCAAAGCAACCTATCTTCATCAATCTTTTCCTTCTCTTTGATAGGTCCTGAAGGGCTCTCTTACGCATTTAAACTAGACTTTAGATATCCTCATTAGTCAAAAAGGCCTTGATATCTTTCATTGCCTTTCATTGAATTAAAAATGATTTAAATGAACCGTGGGAGCGATCGAGCGAGAGAAAGAATGAAAACTATTGCACACGCCCTTCGTTCGCCCTTTACTAGTCTAATAGAAGGTAAGGCAAAAGCAGCTTAAGCCCTTCCGATCACCCTAGAAGCCCTCGATGAACCGCCTATAGATATATACAACCAACTATATAAATAAGAATTTTGAGCTAGGACTAATCTGAGGAAGAATCGTAGTTCCTGCACCTTTCGTGGCGTCTCCCAGTCCACCACGGCTTTCACGCACCTTCTCTTGATCCAACCAACTCATGCCGTCGCCAATCCAGTGCCCAAGGAACTAGACCTTATGCAAAGCACCTTTTTCACATAGAGCTGTGTTCCAGATCATAAGGGAGGCTACTATCTTCTTCACCCACCGTGATAAAGGTCGTTGGCTTAACCCTATGCCCAACATCTTGACTGATCACTTGACTCTTTCTCTAAGACCGTGGTTAAGAAGTTCCGTCGCCTTACTCAGATATTATATTAGATGCGGCTTAACGACCCTTTTTGCTTCCTTCTGGAGGCCTTTCTTACGAGTGAACTCCCTTGTCTTAAAAAGGTTGCCTCTCTTAAAGCTAAAGCATCAAAAGACGAGTTCCAGTAGTCTCAGTCTCAAACCCTCATTTGATAGAGTTTCATCCAACGCAGCCCCTTCTTTTTAAAGCAAATCGTCCGCTCGGGCCTTGATGCATCGAATCGCCCGGTATTAACCAGCTACTACAAATCCCACTATGAAATACTCGCTAGCAGTGGCCATATTAATCACTCCTAAAGAAAGATAACTTAACTTGCAGTGGATGGAAGTAAAAATGAGACTAGAAAGAGATTACCCACTGTATGTAAGGGCGCAAAGTAAACGGTTAATTGCATAAGAGTTTTCCCTGAGAGGGATAGGGTGGCTAAGAGTAGGCTCTAGCCAACTTCTCAAGATGGGAATGATACCCGACTCAAGGATTTTTTCCTATCTCTAGAACACTGCCAATAGCAAGAGAGACGAGCAAGATATATCGTAGTAAAGGCTCCTAGGCTGACTGAAGACTGGCTTAAAAGACAACCTTCCCCGTGGGAGAAAGAACCTTGCTTACTCTAGCCTTTTCACTTCAAAGTTGCAAAACTATTTTAATGATGCTGATCAATACCCCTGTAAGAAAGTTGCAAAAAAGGTGGCACTCTGGGATTACGGAAGCAAAGGATTGCAGGATGAAAGCTACTTCCGAGGCTCTAAAGAGCATGAAAGTCTTGAAGTTCTATGCTTGGGAGTCCAGATTTCTAGAGAGGATCTTTCAACTTGGAGAAAACGAAAGAGGTTGGCTTAAGAGCTACTTACATACACAAGCACTGGTAGTATTTCTCTACTGGACTTCACCATCAGTCATATTAGTGACCACCTTCGAAGTGTCTACATTGTTTCAAATACCACTAAATTCAGGATCACTTCTCTCAACTTTAGCAACAATAACAATCTTGCAACAGCCAATAAATAACATGCCAGAGCTTTCTTCTCTTATTGCTTAGGCAAAATTTTCAATTGATCGGCTGCAGGACTTCCTAAGAGAAGAAAATCAGGATATGTCCATATCCAACCATAATGCAGAAGCTTCTGATCTCGTGATTGATACAAGAAAAGGAGAATACGCTTGGCAAACAAGCAATTCAACTTTGCAGCAACCCACAATTATAATTGACAAGGATATTCAAATCAAGAAAGGTTGCAACTTGCAGGGTTGCTGTATGCGGTTTAGTAGGATAAGGAAAATCCAGTTTGCTCCGTAGTATTCTTGGTGAGATCCCCAGGGTATAAGGCACCAGAGCTGAAGTTTTTGGTTCTAAAGCTTAAATACCGCAGACAGCATGGATTCAGTCTGCTAAAATTAAGGACAATATATTATTTGGGAAAGAATTGAATGAATCATTTTATGATGATGTTTTAGAAGGGTGTGCCTTGAAAGAAGACATTGAAAGTTTGGTTAATAAGGATTCAACTAAGGTGGGAGAAAGAGGCATAAACTTAAGCGGAGGTCAAAAACAAAGGCTACAACTTGCCATGACAATTTATAGTGATTCAGATGTATACTTCGTAGATGATCCTTTCAGTGTAGTTGATACAAGTCCTGGAGCACATTTGTTCAAGGAAAGCAGCTTTCACCTGTTTAATATTTTTGTTCCTACAGTTATTTTTGGTTGTTTACTTGACTTGTCCATGAAAAATAGATATCAACCCAGGAGCTCGTGCAATTAGGGTAATCATTTGCCCACAACTCAGAAGTTGCTAGCATAATCATTTATCTCACAGTACAGAATCATACAATTAGAGTAGCATAGAAAATAAACTCCCCACTACCATGAGCTCATACATGAACTTTGCATTTTCTTTTGCAAACAATAAAAAGGATATATTTATATGTTTTCAACAATTCTAACAATTTGCAATGTTTTTGCAGAGCTGCTTAAGAGGACTTCTGTCTCTTAAGACAGTAGTTTATGTCACCCATCAATTGGAACTTCATGCTGCAGCAGGCAGTGTTATAGTAAGCTTGTATCTCTTTTTCCAAGGCTGTTTTCTTTACAGCCAGAAACTATTTTTCATCATTAACATGCAACATGCAGGTAGAGGGTAGGTTTGTTCAGTAAGGGGCGTACAGGGACTTGATAGCCGATCCCATTAGTGAACTTGCCTTGTTAATATGCTCTTAAAGAGTCCCTAGACCAAGTGAGCCCATCTCCACAAACGTTTCAGGCCAGTAAACTAGAATTAGGGAAGCCTGCAATCGATAGAGGAAAGAACACAGCACCTATCAAATTCTAAGTGGTATTTGGTTTTCATTTGTATAGGCAACGTTTTTTGTGTCCATTTTTAATGTCGTTCAAGAGACAACATTGTGCTAGTCTTTGCCGCTAAATTTCTGCAATTCAGTATCACTTTCCTTTGGGTGAACATTGTATATTTGTACTATATATATATTAGTGTATAGAACAGAAGTGAGTAGTCCAAAGTAGAAACGTGCAACCCAAAGGCTCAAATTAACTATGCCTGGACAGAACATGAACCATGGGTGATAGGTACAACTCTAACGTAACCATTCATCTACTTGCTCACGGCGTCGATGTATGAATATGTAGTTGGGTAATAAATGATCATGTCGGCTACACAAAAGTAGATGTAAATCCCATCTAAATAAGCTCATTGTTTTGACAAGGCAGCTTCTCAATTATTAAAAACCTGAGGCTGTTTATGATGGTTTGAAATACCACTGGCCAGCGTCCACGGTTTCTTTTTTTTAATGTTTCAGGTTTCGCAAACTTTCTAGCTTTATTTTGCACTATTTGCAATCTTCATCACAATTATACCATATTTATTTATAAATTCCATTGGTATGCATTATTCATTCAATTTTTACTGTTTTTTTCTTTATTAAAAATAAAAAAAAGGTTAAAGTAAATAAAATTTCTCATTAGATTTTGAGAGTCATTTGCTAAACGGTGGTGATCACATCATCCGAACTTCACCTGTAAATTCAATTCAAGGTAAGGCGAGAGCAATTAGGAATTAGAGAGAAGAAAATGTAAATTAGATGAAGAAAGGACCTAATTACAAACACAAAATATATATAAGTAGTAAAGGTAAATATTCCTTTTTTTTAATTCAAAAAATAAAAATAAAACTGAAAAGACGTGTCGATTCTGTTGTCTGTCGCTCTCACAATCACATGGACAATTAACAAGGAAATGTGAGTATTGCTTTGATTAGTTTAGTTGAGATTTGAGATGATATGATGCAACTTCCTAAACAGAAGGAGTCAGTGGCGATGAAAACCCCATCGGACCGAACCCAGTATCCAGATTCTCCTTCCAATTGTTCCTGTGGGTTTCTAAATATCTCAATCTCCTTCTATAATTCCCAATTCAGCTAGCACTTTTCGTTTTCGGTATTGACTGATTCAATTCTTAAATCTTAACCCAACTCTGTTGCTATTTCGCTTTTTTCCCACCTAATGCATTTATCTTGATGCTTTCTTTGACCTTTTCCATCTTTAGAACAATTAGTGTATGGCCTTTTTTTTTTGTACTAATTAGGATATAGTCTTTTTTATCAAAATAAACCCCCCCCCCCCCCCCCCCCCCAAAAAAAAAAAAAAAAGAACAAAAAAATAATCAAATCTTGTTGAAGCAGAAAAGAGCTGAATTGGGTTAGCTGCATTGTTGTTCAAGGTCCTGGCGTTGCTGATATTGGTTCAAATCTTTCTTATGTTTTTTCCTTTTTTTCTTGCCTAAGTCTTATTTGGCTCTATATATCTTATGGGTTGGATTTAGATTCTTTGTTATTTTTTTTGTTGTCACCACATCTTGCAGTTGTGCTGAGTATATTGGTCTCATATATTCTGAAAGTGCAATTGTTCTTTGCTCATTGCTGAATGCTGATTTACTTTCCCCGTTTCAACTCCACGTCTTTTTTTAGCATAAGAAAGTTGGATAGAAAAAGGGATTCATATCTTTATAGTTTATAGCATATAATTCTATCATGTGCGGTTAAGCGACATTTGTAGCCTAAAATAACGGACTGGAATTTGAAGTTTTTTTTTTATTTTTTTTATGGTAATTATGACCGCATACTCTTTGTGCTCTTCCTGAGGTTCTTGCCTAATTAGTATGCAACATTAAAATGATAACCATTATCACTATAGAGATAGCAATGCTTGATTTAAGTACTCAAGAGTTTACATGGTAGGACTTTGGTCTCTTCGAAGATCACTTGTATTATGCCAAGGAGTGGTGTATTTTGTTTATAAATTTTCAGGCTGTTTTAATGTAACTCAGATAGGTGTGACTTTTTATTCAATTCCTAGTAGAAGAATGCATCTTAATTTTTGGACTATGATTGAGTTCATTGTTAGTAAAGCATATCTGTACATTTTAGGCATTTAATCGCCATTAACTTGCTGGGAATCTGACATTCTCTTTATCTTTAGTTATGGAAGCTCCTTCTTTTGACCAATTACAACCTCTTAATATTTGTATCTAGTTGCTTGCTTGACCTGGTGCACTGTCTAACTGGATCATTTGAATATTAAACTGTCTAATGCTTCTCCCTGCTGTTGAAGTAGTCTAATAGTTATTTGTTGGTCCCGGATAAAGCTCTGAATATCATTGATAGTTGTCAATCCCTGTACGAAGATCTGCCATTGTCATTTCAATTCTTGTTTTGGATGTTTAGTTGTTATTTTTATTTAATTTTTGTTCTTTTGTTTTTTTACTCATAAACCTTTTGCAATTGATCTTCTTTGTTCCAGCAGTGGTTGATGTATTATCGACATTTATGTGACATTGTCCAAATTTAAAAATTATCATAAACACAAAGTAAAGCATATGATCTGTTCTTTGTATAATTTCTTCTTGACTACCGTTAAAATTTTTGTTTCTAAAAACAGTGATTGATGGTGGAATTTTGATTATATTTCTATGGTTTATTGTTCATGTTGCATTACAGTTACAAACTTTTGTTGCTAAGGATAACCCACATTTTTCAATTACGCAGTGTGAAGATTGATTGAAGAATGGATCAATCCATTGCATCGCGGAATACTTAAAGATCTTATAAGAATTATAATCTTCTTGTTTTACATTTTTGGCTTTGGTCAATTCTGAAAACCTTGTGCACAATTACTATTGCAATGTTCCTATTATCCAGATTACGCTGTATCACTTTGGATGTTACTGGTACTCTCATAGCTTACAAAGGGGAGCTTGGTGACTACTATTGCATGGCAGCCAAAGCTGTTGGACTGCCATGTCCTGACTATAAACGTGTGCATGAAGGTTTCAAGCTTGCATATATAGAGATGGCAAAGAAGTATCCGTGTTTTGGGTTTGCAGCAAAAATGCCAAACATTGTATGGTGGAAAACTTGTGTCAGAGATTCTTTTGTCAGGGTAAGATATTAATATTAGGCTATCAAAGAAAATCTTGCACACTTCTATTACATATGTGCATACACAGAGAGAGAGAGAGAGAGAGAGAGAGAGAGAGAGAGAGAGAGAGAGAAGGATTACTTGTTATGACATGAGTCTTGTTTTGCTAACAGGCAGGGTACGAGTATGATGAGGAGACATTTGAGAAGATATTTCGACGCATATATGCTACCTTTGGCTCATCTGCACCATATACGATTTTCCCGGACTCCATACCCTTCCTAAGATGGGCTCGTGAAAAGGGTCTTAAAGTGGGGATTATAAGCAATGCAGAATATCGATATCAGGATGTGATTCTTCCAGCCTTGGGTTTGAACCAGGTAAACAATTTATTGAAATTTGGATTGATGAGATCTAATTGGACTGTGATTCTTATTATATTTAGTAAATTTTTATCCAGTTCAGAGTGCGGAAATTAGTTTGATTATTATTGGGTTTGAAACCCTGTTGACTTCATATTAGTTTTCCCTTGTTTAAACACTTGGTTACACAATGGGCGATAATCCACTAACCCTCCATATATTTCCATATAACCTCAAGCATGCACATGCAATCTTGGGTGTAGTATGATGCTGCAAATCTCAAAGTGTACTTGAGAACCAAAGATTTGGAATAGGTTGCTTGTTTTGATTTCAACAACTGTATGTCGTTAATTAAATAATTGATTTGGGTAGGTAATTTGATCTAGGTGTTTATATTTGAGTCCCATCTCTTTGGCATTTTAGGGGTCCGAGTGGGACTTTGGTGTGTTTTCTGGTCTTGATGGTGTAGAAAAACCAGACCCAAGGATTTACACGGTTGCACTTGAGAAGGCTGGAAATATTGCACCAGAAGAGACTCTTCACATTGGTGACAGTATGCGCAAAGACTATGTCCCAGCAAAGAGTGTGGGGATGAATGCGTTGCTATTGGATAGGTTCAAAACTCCTGATGCTGAGGAGTGGAGAGAATCCGGTGCTATTGTTCTTCCTGACTTGGTGGCGGTGCAGGAATTGCTGTCTTCAGAGAAGTCAACTTTTTAAGGGGCTTCTTTTCTGCTTGAAATGCTGTCATTTGTATATTATTTTAACCATTTGGTTGATAAAAAAGGTGATGATATTACTTGCCAGTTACTAGCTGGTTTCTTCCCCAGAGTTATGTTCACCTGTCCTGTTTTCACACCCTATGAGCGTCTAGGATTTTGCTGCAATTTAGTGGGAAAAAGGGTTGCAATTTGTTTTGTTTTTTATATCGTTAACAATGTTCTAAAGACTGTTTTCTTCCGGCATAGTGGTTGGACGGGGCTATTACGAGGATCCCGTATCCAGCAACCCAACCTATAAAAAGGGCGTCAAAGCCCTTTGTATAGGATGGAGCTATGAAGCTTACGCTATTATAATTAAAAGGGGTCTGAATATGGAAGATGCAATTTCTTTCTTCAGTATCTATTTAAACATTTTCCTCGTACGGAAAGAAGAATGAAAGCAGGATGCAATCTTTATCTAAAAATGGTAGTAGTAGTCGCGTAACAAGCTTGTCCCAACCAGGTAGGGTAGTAGTATGGCAGGGTACAGACATCTGTTCCTCGTTTCGAGTTTTAAATCCCTTTGCCCGTAAGCAGAAAAGCAAGCCCACTCAGTAGGCGGGACTGGGACTATAATAATATAGGCTGACAAAATTTTCTCTTACCCGGTTCCTACTACTTAAAACTCTCAAAAGTCTTAAACCCTCATGCCTCACCATTCACCTCACTACTCCCAACAGTCAATAAAAAATCCTAGGCCTCGTAAAAAATTTATTAGAAAATGCAAGCCCATACGTCTTAAAAATTTTTAAAAATAAAAAAATAAGTGGACCCGTTAAATTTAAAAATTAAAAATTAAAAAAATATAGATCAAGGTGTACACCTTACACCAAAACAATAATAATAATAATAATAATAATAAAAAAGAGCTTGAGGCCTACATTTTTAAAAAATTTTATAAAAAAGTAGGTGAATCTCACCTAAAAAAATAAAATAAAAATCAAGAAATTTCCAGGTGATGAATCACACGTGGCAATCTTTGATTGAAATTTACGAAATTAATAAAATGGATGGATGAAAATATCGTAAAAAAAACACTAACATCCAACAATTGCTTGGGAAACTCTGAATATGTTGAAAATTAGGCCAAGCGCATGACTTCGGTTTTGAATTTGAGACTAGTATTCTTATTTTCCATTAGAATCAGACAGCAGGCCCTGTCATCTTGACGTGAACCCAATACAAATAATGACTAAGACAATGCAGACAACGGATGCCCATAAGCAATTGACTCTATCAGAGTAAATATGGCTGGGCTCGTATGCCTCACTTTTTTCTTTTTGGATATATTCGATTCAATGGCATGCTGGCAACCATGAATAGGCTAGGTAACAACGCGAACGAGACGGCACGTAATATAAGATTCCATAGCCTTACGTCACACGTTATTACTTTAACTGTCTAAAATATCTTTGACATTGGATCTCCTCCTTTAAGGCTGTATGGTAATGGACAAAATGGAGGCCTCACAATTAGTGACAGTCCAAAATATCAGTACCTAATCAGGTAAGTTGTGGTAACAATGGCAGAGTATGTAGGCAGAGCAATTTTGTCTCAATATTCATCAAGCCAACCACTGTGCCACCATGGCCGCATTTATCAATAACTAAATTTTAAGTTCATAAGACACATCACTACATCATAGTATCAGTAGTTTACACCAAAAATTGAAAAGCAATGAGTTACATAGGAGAACAAGGTGATGACGTCCAACAAAGAAGTTACTGGAGATGGAACAAAGATGATTTCTTACCAGAAGAATCATTCCAAACCTGGAGCACCTATCGATCAGCACTATCGCAAATAGGTTTCCGATTCAAGGACCGCCTTGTGAGCCGCTCTGATGATGCCAATGAGATAACAGAACTTCGAAAACAAAGTGAGAATGACATGAAACGTTGCCTCACCTGGTGGGATCTTACATGGTTTGGATTTGGGTCGGTCATTGGAGCAGGCATCTTTGTACTCACTGGCAAAGAAGCTCATTATCATGCTGGACCAGCCATTGTCTTGTCTTATGTTGCCTCAGGTATTTCAGCAATGCTTTCTGTATTCTGCTATACAGAGTTTGCAGTAGAGATCCCAGTGGCAGGCGGATCATTTGCTTATTTAAGAATTGAATTAGGAGATTTTGTGGCGTTCATCACAGCTGGAAACATACTTCTTGAAAGCATTGTTGGAAGTGCAGCAGTTGCCAGAGCATGGACTTCTTACTTCACCACTCTCTTAAACCGTCAACCTAACTCACTACGTATCCATACAAATCTCAGCAAAGGATATAATCTCTTGGACCCAATTTCAGTTGCAGTTTTGGCAATTTCTGCAATCATTGCAATGATCAGCACAAAGAAAACTTCACAATTCAATTGGATAGCAACTGCACTGAATACTGTGGTGATCTTGTTTGTGATAATTGCAGGGTTTGCTCATGCCAACACATCAAATTTGACGCCTTTTTTGCCGAAAGGAGCCAAAGGGATCTTCCAAGCAGCTGCTATTGTTTACTTTGCTTATGGGGGATTCGATAACATTGCCACCATGGCTGAAGAAACAAAAAACCCATCAAGAGACATACCATTAGGATTACTTGGATCGATGTCTATCATCTCTGTTATATATTGCTTGATGGCACTTTCCTTAAGTATGATGCAGAAATACACAGAGATAGATCCAAACGCCGCCTATTCTATGGCATTTCAGAGTGTAGGAATGAGATGGGCTAAGTACCTAGTAGCTGTTGGTGCCCTTAAGGGGATGACCACTGTCCTTCTGGCAGGGGCACTTGGGCAGGCACGATATACTACTCATATTGCACGAGCACACATGATTCCACCCTGGTTTGCACTTGTCCATCCAAAGACTCGAACACCAATAAATGCCACGCTTTTGATAGCTATTCCAAGTGGTCTCATTGCTTTCTTTTCAAGCTTGGATATCTTAGCAAGCTTGCTATCTGTGAGCACTCTATTCATATTCATGATGATGGCTGTAGCACTTCTTGTGAGGAGATACTATGTGAGGGAAGTCACACCCGGAATAACCTCCTGAAGCTTGTAATATTCTTGCTGATTATTATTGCTTCCTCAATGGGAACTTCAGCCTACTGGGGACTAAGGCCTAATGGATGGGTGGGATACATTGTAACAATTCCACTTTGGTTCCTGGGGACTATGGGAATATCAATACTTCTGCCCCAGCAGAGGACACCAAAAGTTTGGGGGGTCCCACTGGTTCCATGGTTTCCGTCATTGTCAATTGCAACAAATATCTTCCTGATGGGGTCTTTGGAACCTCAAGCTTTTATAAGGTTTGGAATCTGTACAGGGGTAATGCTGGTTTACTACATTTTCGTTGGTCTTCATGCAACTTATGATATGGCCCATCGACAACAAAAGCTAGAGGCCCTGAAGGTTAAGAATGAAGATGGAGGGAAAGCATAGGCTTAGTTTATCGTGTTCCACCATCCACCAGTCCTTTTGTCAAGTTGATTGTGTTCCACTATCTATCTCTAGTCCTCGTGCAGGATTTTTCAGCATGTTCAATGCCTCTTCAGCTATAAGCCCTCTGTTTTACAGTTAAGATAAAATCATTATTAATGTGATCCCCAAAAAGAATCTACTTGTATGATGCAATGATTCTATAAGATATATATAATATAATGGCCAAAAGATATATCATATATTCAGACAACAAAAATATAGTACTTAGCCTACAAGGCACTGGAATCATTTTCTGCATTCGGCCACGGAAACAATAATTTCATGCCGTCTTTTATTTAGTCAATCGGGGCTTCTGTTTATGCATTTGTGCTTTTCTTTTTTTTTTCTTTGGGGGGGGGGAGGGGATGCAACAATGAATTTGAACTCACCTATGCAGTTAACCTACAAAGCAGATATAATTCAATGTTATAGTATTATAGCTGTTCGTTTCATTTGATTAATTATGAAGCACAGTATGTGCTTGAGGCACGTTGCAATGCCTAGCAGACAACTAAATGTAAAGTGCTTCAAGATTTACCTGATTTTAAAACTCCTTTGATGTGGCTTGGCTTGTGCACCTTGGGCAAAGCACAGCTGGAGCAACTGCCATACTATGCAGACATATGTCACCATACATGTTCGAGCTATGTCAAACCACAACAAGTGAATACTTGTACATACAGGCGCCATAACTTGTTTACCTTGCATTGTCAACCTCCTCCAACCTCCTTTTTCAGGTATTAAGCATTCTGATTGCCAACCACATTTTATGTTTGAATAGTATAGTCAAAGAAATTAAAAGGGGACTAGACACTCTCCTGTTCAAGATAAAAGAATATATGAAATGAATTTCAAAAGTGAGTTTCGAAGCATGGCAAGAAAGGACAGTTTGCAGAAAACAGATTGAATTGCATCTTGAATAATATTTTGTAGGTAAGGATAATTGTTCATAACTACAATTGGGAAAGGAACCGCGTGCTACTCAGGGATGAAGAAATCTTTAGTAACCACTAAAAGATATCCCAAGTCACACCAGAAAGAATTAATCGTCTAGGTTTCTCCAACACTTGTCAATGGCAGCTTGAATTTTTTTAGGTTTGCAGAGCTCTTGGACAACTCTTGCCCAAGTAGATGCCTTTGGAGGCAAAAATTTCTGTAGCATCACTTGTACAATTTTGCAAGCACCAAAAACTCTTTGCCTCTTAAATAACCGGATGACAAGCTCATCTAGAAACTTCCCCCCATCTTGAGGAGGGTCTAGCTTCTCTCTCAAAGTTCTCAAAAATATATTGCATGTTGCTATGTCAGGATCACAGGCCCGATCCAGCATGCTATTTAAGAGATCAATGGCATGGGAGATGCTGTTTTGGTTGCATAAAGCATTTAAAAGTATATTATAGGTGATCACATCTGGCTGAGATTCAGTCGCCTGACAAAGCATCTCATTAAAAAGTTTCAATGCTTCTTCTAATGAGCCAGCATTACAGAGGCCCTGAATCATTGAACTGTAAGCCACAGCATCAGGTTTACAACCTTTGTCTAACATGTGTCTCCACACCATCATAGCTTCGCTAAGATTCCCGTCCTCACAAAGGCCATGGATTAGTACACTGTAAAAAACCTTATTGTGAATACATTCATGTTCTTCCATGTCCTTCCATAGTTGAACTGCCTTATGGCAATTGCCCGTCTTGAAAAAACCCTTCATCAGGGAGCTATACGTATAAGCATTAGGGATGCAACCGTTGTCTATCATTTCAGATAGAATTTCCTCGGCTTCTTTTGGCTTTCCTTCTCGGCACAAACCATCTATAAGAGCACTGTAAACAACAGTGTTTGGTTTACATCCTTTTTCCATCATCTGCGTCCATAGTTTCATTGCATCCTCAGATTTCCGACCCTTGAACAGCCCACTAATAAGGGCTGAGTAAACATATTCATTCACTCCATACCCCCTTTCCTCCATAGATATGAATAACATAACTGCATCCTCAGCCCTCCCTTGCTTAACAAGCCCATTAATGATGGTTCCATATGTGATATCATTAGGAATACAATTACTGGATACCATGCGATCCAAAAGACTAACTGCCTTATCCAACTTCCCCTTTAGGCACAAACCATGAATGAGTGTGTTATAAGTGACTTGGTTAGGAAGACAACCTTTGAGAAACATATTGTCAACTAGCTTTGCTGCGCGAGCCAAGTCACCCTTCTTGCATAGCCCATTAATCAATACATTAAAGGCAACATGAGTAGGGAAGCAACCCTCAGTTTGCATCTCATCTAATAAGGAAACAGCCTCATCAATCCTATCCTCCTTGCACAATCCATCCATCAATGTACAGTAAGTATAGACATCGGGCGGACATTTCCTGAGAGGCATTTCTCTAAACACCTCAATTGCACAATCAACCCATCCCAACTTACATATGGACTTCAGAAGCAGATTAAAAGTGAGAACATTTGGAGAGATATTGGTATTCTTGGCATTAACAGAACGATTATAAAAGTCCAAGGCTCGATGATAAAAACCCTCTTGTATAATGACGTTGAGAACAGAATTAAAAGATTTAACAGTGGGTATGCAATGAAATTCATGAGGCATCCTATGGAACAAGTCCACAGCTTCATCGGGTAAATGGGCTCTCCCATAGGCCTTGAAGATGACTATAAAACACTTCTCAGTAAAGACTCGGTTTTGGAGCTTCATCCGACATAAAACATTGTGTAAAGAAGTAAAATCAGCGTTATGGGCATAATGGTGAATGAGGGAATAGAAAGTGGAATCGCCTAATCTAAAAGAACCGGATTGGGGAGCGGAGTTGAAAAGTTGATCGGAGAGAGGAAGGGGCTGGGGGGGTACTTGCCCTGACCCAGAGTAAACCTTACTTGGGAATGAAGAGAGGCCGCTACGACTGCACCTGCAGATCGTGTTGAAAACAGCGAACTTTGTCATTGCTGATTGTGGACTGAGCATTTCTAATCAAATGATGTTTGGCAATGGCATCCGCATGGTTTCAGAATTCAACAACCTTTTTCTGATTCTCCTCTTCTCCTCTTCAAGTCTAAGTTTAATTTAACTTAACAAGCTTTGAACCCAGAGCCGATCGGGCCACAGACCATGGACCCTGTGTATTGGTCCTATTGGAGATGAACAAAGTCATACGACTTAAAAAAAAAAACCATAAAACAAAGTAATAGCTGGCATTGGATTGGATTGTATTGTTTGGTTTGGAGCTTCCTTTCAAACAGCCCAAAACTAGTTCTACTTAAGCAAAGGCTACGTTTTGGCTGTACAAACTTTTTATTTATTTTATTTTATTTTTATTTTCTACATTTATTTCAAATTGATAGATTTTTATAATTTTTTCAATCTAATCGCCTGTCCAAATGGACGCTAAGTCTTTCCTTGCAAATCAAGTTCTGCCCAAAGTAAATCCGCCATAATTTATTTACACATCATTGCTGGACAGGAGACACAAGGATAGAGCTGAAATTAAGTTCTGAATTTGCATCTTTTACCTTCCCCTGCTGTTTTCAGTTAGGTCACAAAACCTTATCTGGCCTGACTTTCATAAAACTTTCATTGATTGATTGCAGCTACCTACTAAGTGCACAATCGTCTGTTTTAACTCTCGGGTCAGGTTAAAAAGGGTGATCTCAAATAACAATCTTGCACTTGACAAGTTGACATCACCATCTTTGAGGAGAGGTTTGGCTACTCTACTACACCCAAATCCTCTGTTTTCCCATCATCAATATCCCTTATCAGTGCACTTGATGTCCACGTGAGTTACAAAGTAGACGACTCTCCACCCATGCCGGGCGTTTGCAAACCCAATCAATGCACTTAAAGTCTTATTCTTTGAATTGAAACAGAATCAAACCAACTTCATTAAATATCGAACTAGCCTGCTGCCCGCTGGGTTTCCCAAGATAATTCATAATCCATTTGGAAGCCTTGTCATCACACTCGGAGCCAGATCACTGGAATGCCATCTGCTTTTCTGGTGGTTTACTGAGTGGAAACTTGAGCAAATCCATTCCCTTAGCTTTTATTACTGTATAAATGAACGTGAGTAATGGTCATGAGAGAAAATTAAGGGAAAAAGAGAAACGTGATGTAAGAGATGGGACCTAAAAAGAGTAAATCCATCATTTCAGGGATGTAAGATGTTCTTGGGAGTTTATAGATGAAAATTTTCCCAAAAGCACTTTCCTTCAAGAGGAAGATTTCTCGAGGCAGTATATGCTATCTAGAAAAATCCTCTTTAATCTTATTTTCTCCATTCTTTCATTTGTTGTATGACTGAGCAGTAGCATGTATCACTTCCGCATATTAAGGTTCTCTTAGGTTTGTATATGTGGAAAAAATGGTTTAAGGAAAAAGCTGTGAGTTTTAACCAATGAAATAAGAGGTAAGAACTCATACAACTGTCAATGCCTTTTTCAGGCCAAAAAAGAAAAAAAAAAGTACTGTCAATGCCTTTCAATTAAGAATCCGCATCGGTATTTGTTTCTATTAGTGCAATTATTTTGGAGGCTTTTTCAGGGGCTCTTCTAATCACAACTGTATAGTACAGAGAGGGACGCTTTACAAGCGCTTAGTGGGTGACCAATTTGAATATTTCTTGGAAGAATATTGATCTCATTCTAAGCTGTTAGAATTTGGGGATTACTTTTTGCCTTTTCTGGTTGAACAAAACGAATGTATAATCTTAATTCAGACCAGAACTAACATAAACACCAATTGGTGGAACTGGTTGAAAGAAGAACAATTGTTTGCTAGGGGCCAATTGGCTCTTAATCATATTCTACTTGGTGAAAATCCTTTTGACAATCAATATTAGTTCTTTCCCAACTATTTACTGTAACAGACCAATTACTTAGGAAGATCAGATGAATGAAACTATACTTGTATATATCCAGTTAATCAGTTTAAGCTTTCTATATCTACTGCTTCTTTATTCAAGTATGAAGTATGAAGATAAGAAGAGAGACAGATCAGACAGAACGCAAGAAGAAACTGAAAAAATAAAAAGGGTATCCTTATCTTTTGGATACATTGACATGATATTTTCTGCATCTCATAAAACTTTCCAAATACTCATCATTCTCTTTTTCATGCAACCTTACTGGCTTTTTACATCAGCTATTGAAAAAAAGGGTCTAAGATCCTACATATCCTATCAAGTCCAAAACTCATTTAAAACAATAGACATAGATGTCCAACGCCTGGAAGAGATGAACTTGTCTATCAACAATTTCTGGTGCAATATGCACCTGCATATAATGTAAAAATTAGAGTGATTTCAACTCTCTCCCTTTACTTTAGAATTAAAACCTAAATGCATGACAAAAGGTATGTCATGTCAGAATCACATACCTGGTACTAGCTAGTGTGTCCAATTTCCGATATGGTGTGATCCAACAAATCCAACACCTTGTTGAGACCTCCAACAAATCCAATACAAGGCAGAAGCTCCTCAAATGCCTTTGCCTCCTTAACCCTTGCCTCTCTCAACAAACTCCTAACTACCTTTTTTCTGAGACCTTCCCCTGGCAACAGATGGACCCTCAACATATCCCTCAAAACCCTCAAGCCCTCAAGAAGCGAGCCACTAGCACACAACCCACCAACTAAAATCCCATAGGCAGTCTTGTCTACCATACAATTACAAGGAAAGCCAGGCCTCAGCATCCAGCTGTATACTTTGAAAGCATCTTTAGGCCTATCTCTTTTGAGATATGAAGCAATGAGCATTGTGGAGATGGGCGTTAGATGTGGGTAAGGGTGAGGTTGTGGGATGCGAGTGAGGCGGGTGAGGAGTGACATGGATAGTTTCATGTCAGGCCGGAGAGTGAGGGAGTGGATGAGAATGGAAAGCGAGAGGGATTTCGGATTAGGGGGAGAGATAGTGAGGAGGGCCATGGTGGTTAGGTGGACTGCGGTTGTTAGGTGGTTAGAGAGGCAGAGACGTGGAATTAGGAGGTTGATTTTGCAGACTTCTTCCAGGGTAAGTGTCGGAAACTTTTTGGGTTTTGTGTTTAGATAAGTATCACTTAGATTTGGTATAGCAGAAAAGGAAGATGAAAAAATGTGTTGCTTAGATGGTTGGGGTTTTGAAGCTGTTGAGATGAGGAAGAGGAACTCAAATTGTCGCAATTTCAAAGTCTTCATATTTCTTCACTACTGATTTCTTGTTCTCAGCCGCGCCATCAACACTCCCATCCCATCTTTCTTTTCTTCTCATACCTTTTCTCACTCTCTCTGTGATTTGATTATTTGGTCTTTCAAATACATATCTTTGGCCCAAAGGCTACAAAAAGCCCGGACAAAACTTAGATGATTTAATAAAAAAAATCCAAAATTGATAGAGCTCAACTCATTAAAAAAAATAATTAAAATTATTATTTAAAATTTAAAATTTATCAATATAATAATTTTATTTACATTTTTATTAAAAATATTTATCTAAAATATTTATTAATTTTTTTAATTTTTTTATATTTAATCTATATAACATTTTGATTTTTTGATTTTAATTTTTTAATTATTTCTAAGGGTGAATTTCACAAACTTCCTTTAAAAAAAATAGTTAAAAATTTTTTTTAAAAAATACTTAACTATAATTAGAAAATCATTGTTCTCAAACCTTTAGTCTAGTGATTAAAGACGTGTGAGGAAACATCAAGGGCTTGATTTTCTAGTCAGGCCTTTTCTCTCCCTCTTATATTTATATTAGAGCTTTGTCTTGATGTAACAAAAAAAAAAAAAAAAGATCATTCAAAATTTTATTTTTTATTGAAATCTATCAAAACCTTTTAATATTTATTTATATGCAATTAAACCCTTATTTAGATAAAAAAAATAAAATTATTAATTTTTTTATCAATTAAAATTATTAATTTTTTATGTGATATTAATAAAATAAATAATTTTTTATTGAAATATATCAAAACCTTTTAATATTTATTTGTATTCAATTAAACCCTTATTTAGAATAAAAAATTAAAATTATTAATTTTTTATCAATTAAAATAAAATTTTATGTGATATTAATAAAATAAATAAAAATTTATCATGTGATGTTATTAATATATATATAAATTAAATAAAATATATTTTCTTCTTTATTTTTCATGTCTCTTTGTCTAATATCATTTTAAGAATTCAATTAATTAGAGTTTGAAGATTGATTAATTAAATTTTATCATGTAATTAAATTTCTTTTATTTAATAGTTTAATTGAATCAAAACAAAAGATTAAATGCTTGATTAATTGTAATAAAATATTAAAAACTTAAATAATTATTAAATTATAATTAAAAAGTAATTTTACCTTTAACTGTAATTTTTCTGTTCGCAGAAGAGAAGAAATCGTTTTTATAGCTCGGCTGGTCAAGGCACCCGGGAGAACTTGAGTTCGTTTCTCAAGGAAAGCAAGGAGATTAAATTGTTCCCTCCGAACCACCAAGGTCTACTTAGCATTGGATGTGGTAAACTGGTAACCATATTTGAAACAATGCGTTTGCACTCCTCCACAGGATCACAGGACAGGAAGAAGAAGATACAAAACACACTTTTTTTTTTTTTTTTGGTACTAAGAGGTCAAGACCGAAAAGAAATTAAGAAAAGAAAATATGCAAGTGTTGAGGATCAAACCTCACTCTTGCAAGAATCCATATTTGGGTGAATCATTTAAGCTAAGCCTTGAGTTCAGATACAAAACAAACTTAGTTTAGTTGCTGAGCACTCTTGATGCTTGCATAGGAGCAAGGTCTAACCGAATGAAACTGATTAAATTACAATAAAATACACAACTTCAGTTTACCTTAAAATCTGCTTACACGCTACAACAAGAGTTGGTAATGTTCGGAAATGAAGGAATTAATTAATTAATTTTACAACAACCCTTTTCTCTTATTCTTTTACTTTTCTTACTTCTATAGAATGTAGATCATGATTCATGAGTCCTCACATGACATTCAACCTATGTTTACATCTCAACTATTTTATCCACAAACAACAACTACAAAGACGAAAAAAAAAAAAAAAAAGATTTTGTTCTGTTCTCACTTATCTGTAAAGAAAATTTTCTGTATAAAGATAACTCATGGTGGCTGTGCCAGTATAGCAGTAAAGGAAGTGCCTTTTTTGTCATCCGCATAAGAGCTGTACAAATATGAATCACTCAAATTTCAGGGCCAACATAAAGCACAATGCATATTACTGATTGCTTGTAACCTCCTCCATCTGCAAATAATGCAGGTGTTCACAGCGATAGCAACAAAACAAGCTGAGTAACAGATAGCAAGCAAGGTTTAGTTACCTTTATTTATGCTGTTGAACTTTGTCGCAAAGGTTGCGCCTCACTAGGAACTTCATTGTTATTATGGTGATTGTCAAGCGGCATGTATTGTGACATGATAGCCATGATTTCTGAGTCCATGTAAGACTGCAGGTAGAAATCAATATGTTACCAATCAAAGATACAAATAAACCAACATACAAATTAATAAACCATAGTAGTTTAGACATACCCGGAGCCTATATTTGTAGAATATATACCCAGCTAACCCTGCACCTGCCACAGCTGCCAAGACCAAGAAGGTGAGGAACCACCCAAAGCGTGATCCATTTCTCTCTGTAAGGAGGATGAACAAAGATCAGAATATGTCTTTTTACAACCATTCTATTGGGCCTTCAATCACTCTTTCACTAATATGCTTCAGAGAATAAAATTATTGCACTTTTATCTATGTTTTATCTTTAATTCAATTAAGCCTATGCACTTAGCATATCTTCCTCAATATGACTGCAAAATTCTATATCAAAGGTAATGAGATGGTTTTTGGCCAACGAAAACCTCAACCCTAGTTTCAAACTTTCCATAGTTGTGAGTTTTGATATAATGCAGAAAATAACTGCTAGTACATTTAAGTGGTATTAATCTACTAAGGTCAATGAATGCCATAGGAATTCACTGCCAAACCAAGCCATAACTTGAATTCATGGTCTTACCTATGCAAGCATCATGCTCCTTTATGTACAGAAGATCACCTTTACACTTGCACTCATATGCACCCCAAGTGTTTTTACAGGAGCAACCATCACACCGGCAAGCACTCTCTTCCTTGCATTCATTGATATCTGAAGCAAAAACAACAGATGGGAATGAAGAAATTCCAATGTAATGGAAAAAGACATGAGGGGTTAAGAACAAAGTTAAAATGATCTTTAAGCTGTAAAACTGGAGGAATAGAGCACCTTCACATTTATGACCATCCCCTCGGAAGCCTTGTGGACACTGACAACCTCTTAATTGGGTTTCCTGCTTATGCAAAGGAGTGATTTTGGTCAAAAAAAAAAATGAAATTTACAGAATAGTAGAAAATCATAGGAGAAGGCACAATATAAAGAATAAATCACTGAACTGAGCAGGCTGAGAAAGTTAATCCATTTCTTGCTTCAGACCAACAACCTCCATTGTTAATTGTACATCTCGCAGATCCAAAAGCTGTAAGTAGATGAGAAAAATTAAATAGCCATTGGATGGGCAAGATATCAACTCCCACTGGGTAGAAGTTCAAATTTCATCCAAATGCAATACACTCCCTCCTACAAACTCCCACCTTGCAGCCGATGGGGAAAACAATGAAGAAATAAACAGAAAGGATGGCCATTAACATAAATTTGCAATGTCACCTTATTAATGGTGTGGCTAACGTAACTGGGACATATCCATGTTGTTCAATGTTAGGGCCTCATACCATAAAAGCTAAAGGAGAATATTATATGACTGGATGGGGAAACTAAGTGATAAGGAAAGATCACATTGAACCTGCAGGGGCTTAGCCCAAATGGCTCACCCACCTTCCTTAGGAGGTAGATTCCAGAAAGGCTGGGATTCGATCTCTAGCAATTTCAAATTCCCATTCCCCAATTTTCTTTAGGCCTTGACTTGCTATGTACCAAAAAAAAAAAAAAAAGAGATCATATTGCCTTCAAAGTAAATTTCCAGTCACATTGCCAGTAACCTGAATCATTCATGCTTTCAGAAGTATCTGTAGGTAATCATGTGATTGAGGTAGCAACCACATTGGATTTTCGCATTCAACATTTGAAGGACTCAATCACTTCAAAAGGTTAACTAAAGAATTTGAAAAGCCAAAAGCGTGATACATAAATGTATTGCTATTATGTTAGCAGAATTCAGAACATTTGAGGCATCATATTGTCCAACCACAGGAGAAGCATCATCATCTATAATTGTCCAAATTTCATTAAGCAAAAATCTCATTTAACAGAAGGGAAAAGCTGCACCTTCACAAGAAATGTAACCATCTCCTCTATATTGCACGCCCTTCACAGTGGGGCACTCACATACTCTTCCCCTGAATGTGTCCTAAACAAATTCAACAACCCCTTTTTTAGTAAAATTAGCCCTTTTGTGGAGCTACAGTGTCACTGTTCAATTGCAACATTACACTGTAAACTTTCTATATTTTACCTTGCATGCAGTTATGTTAGCTCGTTTATCATGCCAACAACCACCATTTCTTTCAAGGCACTCATTAGTTTCAAGATCTGTCAAAGTAAGATGAAGCCAATATCAAATAAGAGATGCAAAAAACCTTTCCTGAATGTAAAGGTACTGCATCTAGTTTAGACTGTAAACAGGCCCAATCTACCTGCACTTAAACAAACTGAAGGTTCTGTGGTCTCCTTAAATCCAGCACAGATGGCCTTAAGCACAGCAGTTCTCTCCAATTTTCCTTCATAGAAAGTAAACTAAGAACTTCAGCATCATTTAAGTGATTCAACAGAAATTAACTCTGAAAGCATTTTTAGGAAATTGCTAGATGAAATTGGATTCCTTTGAATTTTTTTAAATTCTTTGAGTGATTGATGAGGGCAAGGATAAAGCTAGTAGCAAGATGGGGGAAAGAAGCATCCATGGAATAAGTAAGTAAATGTAAAGTAAAAAATTTAGGCAACAAGTAATGCAAACCAAGCATCCATGTTGCCTTTTAATGTTTTTCAGCCGCTCCTTTTACATGATGCTGGTGTTTCAGACATGATTAACTTGAAGATATAGAAAGAGACGAAAGAAAAGAAAGAGGAAATGGATGTCAAAAAGTTTTCCATTTTAGCCTGGTTAGGCAAACTGAAACAGGCTAACATTTTAGCATTAGCATAAACACTTAGTAGAACTGTAACTTAGATAAGGAATTAAGATCAAATATTGCACATGCAAAAGAAGTAAAGTAACATGAGAAAATCCAAAGAGCTGCTTGGAATTTTGCAATCTAATCTCCAACATGGTATGTAACGAACCTCGATATTGAACATTATTGATAACCAATGTTGGCAAAATGGTAACATCACCACGAGAACCTTGGCCAACCTAAGTTCCGCACATTGTGGCAAGATAAGAAAGTTAACATTTGCTTCCTTTTGAGATCATTAACTTAAAATATTAACTGTGTTATTTAATATGGACAAGAAAAAAGCATATGACCTGAAGTTCTTGCTCGGTTTTCAGGACTTCATTCTCGACATCAGCTTCAGGATCACCCATGCACTTTTTGATTTTCTCAATAGGCAAATCTGGTTAAGCATATGAAGCCAATCAAGCAAGAATGAAAGAAGATATGATAAGCAAAAATCCCACCAAAAAGGGCACTTACCAAGTGAGCTCATGACATCCTCGGCACATTCTTTGCTATATCTCTTCTCCTTCATTGAGCACCTGATATGGAAATCTGTCACGTAGTCCCACCAAACCCAAGACCTCTTGCTCTCATTGGCAACTCTGTGCACACAGAGCTGTCTCAAGTTCTCAAACACCACATCCTTTCCTTGATATCCCTGTGCAAAATCTTGTTCTGGATCAGGAGCACAATATCTTCCATGGTTTATACACTGAGACTTGCACTGACTGCTAAAAACAAAAGCCTGAGGACAATACCAAGTTATGTAATGTGGTGTGAACAAAGTGTAACCCCCTTTTTCAAGTATTTGTGCGTGGCCCTTGAAATTCTTTACAAAATTCATCTGCTCATCACAACGAACCCCGCACTCGTCATTGCTATTCGTCCAAAGCTCATATTCAACTCTTTGGTCAGGATGGGGCATTGACTCCCTCCAGTCTAATTTTACCACTACATCTTCACCCTTCTTGAGGGCCTCCTTCAGGCTGTCACCAAATGACTTCTCTATCAAAACTGACGGAATTCCTATTTTCTCCACAAACTCATTGGCATCAGTGCTTTCCTCAGGAGAATCCATAGTTATTAGAGGTTCATCTATGCTATCAGCCACCAATACTGCAGCGGCTCCAGCCTGTTGGCCATGCCATACCTTCAGGGCAAAGTAACACTCTACAGGTGCAAGACAAGAAATCAAGAATGATTCGGTGATGAGAATGATATAGAAGGCTCTATTTGTAAATTAGAAAAGAAAAAAAAAATCAATAAAGGAGAAGCAAAATGAAACCCATACCCATTAATAAAATTTCTTACTCTGATGCATATGCACATACTATTCATCAAGGGCAAATTTATTTATTTATTTTTTAAAAAGACTCAAAGCCGTTTAAAACATACAACCAGCTGCACCTAACTGTTCTAGGAAACGTTTCATTATTTCATATGCAATCAATTATGGAAACATTTGCGTAGCCAGTAAGAGTTAGGAAAAGAAAGAGTCCCATAAAGAATTACATTAGAAAATATTTGTAAGGCCAAGCAATAGTATAATAGCAATGGTAAGAGTAAGAGGCCCCTTACGAACCAAATTCTTATGAAAACGAGTCAAATTAGACGAATTTAGCATAAAAAAGATATCACCAAAAAATTAAAAGGAAAAAAAAAAAAACAGGAGTTATGACTATATTGCTGAAGAGAAATGAATGGAGAAATACCTCCACGATCAAGAAGGAGAACAGAGGGGCGAGGAAATTTGGACTTGAAGGGCACACCATCAAAAGGTTCACAGCCATTAGCCCCTTTGTCTGGATAAACCACTGAGCCTATAATGAACCCTCCGTAGTCTGGTGTTCCAAAGTTACCTATCGCACCATCATGCTTTGCTCGCAGATTCAATGGAGACAGCACTCGGATTCTATTTTTCTCTACCACAAACCTTGCAGAGACTCCGGTCAATAGAAGGGTGGAAGCAAAAAACATAGCAATGAGTTTGTTGAAATATCGAAGCATGCATATGCATGCCATCGTCCTAAGAACTTGTGCTTGTGCTTGTTTCTTCTGTTTGTTTCTTCAGATACAGAGACGAAAAGAAATGAAAAAGATATATAGTTAAATAAGATGTGTTCTTAGCATGAAGGGATAGTGAGTGGCGAGAGATGAGAAGAGAGAAAGTCGCTGTGAAACATACTAGTAGCTTTATTTTTTATTAAATAGGTATAGATATATGGTATTTTAGCTATAGGATTAGGGAAGGGAAGGAGAGTCTAGGTTTTTTTTTCCCCTGATGGGTGGCTGCCTGGGTTGATGGCTTAACTAAACTTTCTCAGTCTAACTGTGACGTAAAAGAAACGACAGAGCAAGAGAGAGGAAGAGAGGATGTAATTGGAAGGAAGGTGGTGGACAAAGTCAGCAGAACTACCATATTTTCATTGCTACTGCTACATTTCAACTAATGATATCACATTTAAAAAAAAAAAAAAGTTTATGCTTCCCTCTTTCTGATGTAATATATTGTACTGTCATTGTTAGGATTTTTTATGGGATTACTTCATTGTTAAGGGAAAAGGACCTTTTTATTTTTTATTTTAATTAAATTAAGCATTTTTTTATATAAAAAAAATGAGATAGAGAGTTGTTAACTGGAGCAAGACTTGCATTATTAGCTTACTTTGGTTTTTTTATGTCCAGAGAATTTCGCTCGCTCCTTTTGCTTGTGTTTGGTTTGATTTATCAAAAACAAGCCAATTTTTATCATTAAGGACAAAAGTCCTTTGTTGCTGTCGGGAGCATGCATGCATACGTATATACATACATATAAATTCTAATTAATTAACATCATTATTTATTGGAAAAATAACAACTACTAATAAACAAACAAATGCGGGATGGTTGGGAAGATAACTGTTGACTTTGATCATGAATTCATTATTCATGAAACGCAAGAGAAACTTCAATGGTAGCATATCAAATACTCATGGATATGCTTTTATTATCAGCAAGTCTTTGTCCTTAGATGGAGTCAATGTGGAAGAAATAGCCTTGCTCGCGTTGCAAGGCGGGTCAGTTGTAGTACTCAAAAGTTTCAAACACTTTAACCGGATGGGTTAAAAGCATTACTTTACAATAAAACCAGCTTATGCATGTGTCACGAATCCCGAGGGTAAACAGGAGATTTTAGTCTCATTATAAATCATGAGTTATACTTCAATTAATAGCATGTCTTTTGGATTGGAAATATAAATTCCTAATAAATAAGATAAAAGTATATTTAATTTTTTATTAACATGGAGCTCTTATAAAAGATACCCATATTAAGATACGTTCGAACAAAAGTGAATCTTTCTCTTTGTGGCTGAAAATGTTAGTGCAACGAAAATATTACACAATTGAATTAAAAAAATGTCATAAAATTCTATATCGATAAAAAGAGAGTGGTCTTGAGTTTATAAATTCCTTCACCTAATAAACATGATTTTTGAGTTGAAAATATAAACACATGACACATGCATTACATCCAGCTATATTTATTAGGATTTTGCTAACTGGTTTTTTATTGGAAAAATTTTTTTAAAGTATTTTTTTAATGCATGTGAATAAATTTTCACAACAATATATGATCAATTATTACATTCAATACAAATATATTACTATAAATAATATATTAATTAACTTCAAAATTGTTTAAAGATCTTCCTTAGCAAAATTGTTTTTTCGTTTTAATTCTATTTTAATAAAAAATATATCAAGTCCTCTTTTATTACGTGAGGAAAAATTATGAAAAATAAAATCTTGGTGTGATGACAAATGATACGATAAAGGTTGACTTGGTGCATGTTTGAAGTAGATTAAATCCCCTTTCTCCTATATTTAAAATGTCTTTTTCTTCTAAATTAAAGTTCTTATACGAAGTAAATTACATCAAAAAAAAAAAAAACCTAATAAACAGTTCTTTCTTTTGTAAATCTTTATATAGCTTTCTCAAATTCTTTCACTTCTCTTACTAAATCTCTAAAAACACTTTTAAAACCAAAATACCAAGTTTCAAAAGAGTATGTTCAAGCCACAAACTTTGATTAATGTATTCTTCTAGCAGGAACTCAAAAGCACTTTGTTACTCTTCAGATCCCAAAAGAATTTTTTCAACAGCGGTCAGAACAAGGATACATTCACATTCACTTTGCTACTATCAGAGTAGCTTTGACCTTTCATGTCAGAAATGATATTTTTGTCTATACCAGAATGGCCTTGTTAGATACAAGATTCAAAGAATACAAACATGCAGTACTTTGCATAGTTAGGATGACGCTCAATGCAGAAACTATCTTCTTCACATTCTTTCTAAATTATAATATGTCTCTTCATGATCTAACATTGTTCAATATTTTAAAAGTTCAAGTACAGATTATAAGCACAGAGATGAAAAGACTCCAGGCAACCCTTCACTACCAGATGGCATATAAAATTCAAGATCATGCTATTAACTTACCTCTTCCTTACTCCAATGATGCTGCCTTTGTAAAAAAAAAAATAGTAGATAAAAATCTTAGACATGTTTATATTCCAAAGCAAATCTCAAATGAAGAACTTGTTACATTTCTCCCAAAGTCATGGATGACAAGTTATCAAAAGATTTGGAAGAAAGATGAACCCATTCAACACTTTGATACCGTTTCAACATAAAGAAATATGGGTTCTCCAAACATAAAGTCAAGATCGATTTTGTCAAGTGGCCTCTATGGGTACCTTAGATAAGAGTTTTAGATAAGCCTCTCAACTTATCAATTGCATAAATGGCTAACCTGCCTTGTCATGTTAGGGTAAGAGCCAATGCTTTACCATAGATCATACTGTGAGAACCTCTAATCATGATTCTGATAGTTTATAGCCTTCTTGTTAAACTAGCTCTGACACCATTTCTATACAGTGATAGGTAATATGTGTTAAGATTCTGGTAACTAATGGCTTCAATTTCGGGCTCTCCGGATAGTAGAGTCATGGCATCAATATTATCTGATACTATTTCAATAGTGTGTGGATCAGTTACCCTATTAAGATAATACCAAACATAAGCAGTCCACAGATTAGACATATAATCGGGGTATTCTAGTCGATGTTCAAGATTTTAGTGTCCTTTTGGCTTAACATCGAACTGGTGGTCTGATTTTATAGAGATATATTTTTCACTACAGTAGCTTCTTTCAGTAAAATCTTGGTATAGTAACTTTTCTGTGGCTAAGAGAGTGGATCAATGATCTGTTTGATAATTTTACAAAAAATTTTTATGTAAAAGATCCATAATACTATGACAATTACAGAGCATACTCAACTTGTATCACTACAAACTATGAAATAGATAAAAAAATACAAATCTAAAACTTTATCTATGAAATAAGGTGAAAGAAATTACCAAAAGAAAAAAGAGTTTTTTAGCCAAATATATTTTATAAAGAAGGATTTCTTACAAGAGAATACGTGATTGGAGAAAACTTTAGAAATTTTAGCTTATTCCTTCTAACAGAAGGAGCTTACAATTTATACAAGAAAAAAGTAAAGAAATAATGACCTAATAGGACGAAGTCATGATCTTACAAGTGATTTGACATAAAATTACTTTAATAAAGTTACTTTTAAAAAATAGATATTTACTTTTCTAAAACTACTTTAAACAAGTAAAGATGACTTATCAACAACATAAAGTATACTTGACATAAAGTAGATTAGACATAAATAGACTTGAAGGCTAGTGAGGCATTAACATCAACTTTTAGAATCTTCTGGAAAGCATCATCTAGAAATTATCATTACACATAATTATACATGATTAGATTGAAATAGAGAATATCTTCTGGAGCATCATGAGTGAATTTTTGATTGGATCATTATCATTTGTGAGAACTATGAGTGTGTTACGAAGAGAAGTTGAGGTGAGAGTTGTCTATTCCTGGAGAAATCATAGCCTATGTTTTCTAACCATTGATTTAGGTTAAAATCTTCATATAGGTCCTGTGAATCTTACCATTCCATTTCTTTAAGAATTTCAGGAGGCTTCCAATAAGGATTCCAATCAATTAGGCCAATATGGTCAAGTTCATATCTTATGGTTTCATGAAGAGGTTTTATCCACACACCATAAAATCTGATCTTATAAATCTTTTTATCAATCTTGAGCTAATAATTGTATTATGAATGATAGTTTTCTCATGAAACATCATCTTAGAGCTTTGGTCATTTTACTTGAAAATTTTGTGATTCATTTTACAAATCTGTCTTTGAAATTCAATATATTTAACAAGGTGATCAAAAAATGATTTTGACAATGAATAACCTTGTGAGCTATAAATTATCGCATAAGAGAAGTACTAGGGTTTATTTTCCAAATAACTACATTATTTGTGAAAAATCAAAATAATGTGAGGATTAAGAAAAAGTTTTGTGTATCTCTCATAGGTTTTTATCCATTTAATCCAAATTGGAAGGGGTCTGAACCATTGGAAGAAAATCTTAAGATGCTAATGACTGTAGTCCATTTAGTGTCTTGTAGGGTTGATGGTTGACTGCTGAAAAAGGTGAAAGAGTGTTTTGAGCTATAAAAGTGAGAATTTTACAGCAATGTAGTAAAAGTGACAAAGGTACCACATGAAACAAACTATTTTTTTGGGAACCAAAATGGGTCAAGGAATCTGAAAGGATGGATCAAAGGGTATTCATAATGTATATCAAGAGATTGGATATAAACATTTCTAAATTTTTTGAGCATTTTAGATTGATATTTGAGCTGGAGGTGTAGGGCTCTTTGGTTTAAGGATTCAGTAGTAATAAGTCTTGATAACTCTAGAGGAAGACTTTTCACTAGGAGATTAAAAAGTCATTAAGTAAGTCAAATTCATCATCAATGTGAGGTTTTTGAAAAAAAAAAAAAGAAATTTATGGAAGATGAAGCTTGTAAAGAATAATGTGTCGGGTTCATCATGAAAATGATTGAAATAATTTATAAGGAGTTCGAAGGAAGTTTGGGAGGATGTCTGGTTAGCATGTTTGAGAGGTTATTATCTCTATCTTTTATATGTGCTGTGGTGAATGAATATTATGAGAATCACTGAGAAAGTCTGAGTAATTATGCATTTGACATCTGTTTTTTTTTTAAATTAAGCATTTGATCGAAAGCTGACATATCCAATTTCACAAAAAAATGGTATCCAATAAGGTAAAATTCAAATATTTGAATTTCACACTTTACAGCTAATTTTTTTTAATGTAAAATGATAATGAAAATTTGAATATTTGAATCTATCAATTTTATAATCACATATTTGTCTGCTTACATCTTTTTTTTCTAAAAAGATTGTTCACCAAAATTATTTACTTGCATCTATCTGCAGTATCTTTTTTTTTTCATCTAAAGGAATCTTTAAAGTTGAAAATAACTGCACTTTTATCTTTAACGTCTAAACTACTTTTGTCTACTTCTGGGACCACGTGAGGGATTTTTTCCTTAATATTTATCTAAAAAGATGAGTTAATTGTGCAAGATCTAAGAAGAATTTACTCATATAATTTACTACATCGAAAAATTATTGTACTTACTTCTTGAAAAGATTTTTATCAAAAAAATCTGTAAATGTCTTAGCAATGTGAGGCTGAGCTATGTACTATCCATATTTCAAATACATGACTAAAAAATCATTTTTTGAAGTGCCAATGATCATCTTTTTCTCTGAGAGCATTATCACATACTGTTGAATAATTTGCTAGAACTTATCCAATAACTATGTACAAAATATGATATCTGAAGAGAATAGTAAAATATTATTAATGTAAATAAATGTATTATCAATAATGAAAGTAAATATCTTCGTCATTGCTTTTTGAAAGAGTGAAGGAGTAACATTTAATCTAAAAGATATAACTATCCACTGAAAGTGGTGTTGGAGGATTCAAAATACCATTTTATATCTGTCTTATGAATGTATTCTTAATTACCAAAATCTTGCTTTTAGGTCAAACTTGGAGAAGACTTTTGCTTGAGAAAGGTTTGCAAACATAATTTTTCTATCTGAAAAAAAAAACTTATTATCTGTAAGAAAAATGTTAAGACGTTTATAATTAATTACCAATCTTAATTTTTCATGAACTTGTTCTGAACGTTTATTGACATAAAACGTTTCACATGCCCATGGAGAAGAGGTTGGCTCAATTAATCCTTGAGCATAGAAAAAAGAACATTTTTAGGTTGCTAGCTTGAAGTGATTTATGTTCATGCCTAAATGACTAGCTTTTGTAGGATTGACATTTTCATCTTTTTTGAAAGGAAGGATAATGAAAAATTAAGGATATTTTCAAATAGGGTGGTTTTATTTTTGAAAGAATTCTAAATGATTTTTTGCATAGAAAAAGTGAGTGAATTTTTATTTAAACTCTTAGAAGATATCTGGTTAAATGGTTAAGGTAAAGAGGTTAGAAAGGTTTTTTCAAAGTTTGAAATAACTTTCAAACTTTATACCTTTTTCACTAAGTTTTAAACCTAGTATATTGGTTATGACATCAAAACCAATAATAAGGTCTTTTTAAAGAAGTGGAGATCTTAAAATCTTTTGCGTTATTTGACAACCTGAAAAAATATAAAGGGTAACAACGTTGCTGATAAAGTCTATAGAAAATACATTCTTATCAGTGATTTTGAAGAAGGTTTTTTTATTTTTTCTAAAGGTGTTTGGGTAAGATAATGAAATTTGTTATGATTTGGGCTGCACCAATATGAAAGAATGCAGTAACTATTATAAGAGGAGAGTGTTTGTGAGTAAAAATCTAAACTGGGGCTAGAGGTAATTTTAGAGGTTGGAGGATTTAGATTTTTTGAAGTTTTTAAATTGACATGTATTTGTAGCATTGATCATATATAAATTCATCTGAGTCTAAATCTAAACTATCATCATCAAACTGTTTGATTATAAATAGTAATCTTTCATTTTGTTCATCATCAAAAGAGAAGATTGATTCAAGTTCATCATCAGAAAGATTAATACCAAAGATATTAGCAATATCTTGGATCATTTTGACTGATCTTTTGTTTGACTTTGGGCAATTATTTACAAAATATCCTAATTTTTCATAGAGAAAATATTTTTTACTTTTGATCTTTGGGTCTTTCTTCTTTCTTATAAACTTGAATCTTTGGAATCTTTTAGGCTTTGTTGATTTTCTAAACAGTTTCTTAAATCTGGAAAAAATATGAGTTTCTGGGAAGTCTAAATATTCTGAAGTGTTTTTTTTTTTAATGGTTGCAAAGATATGTGGAGTTCTTGGAAGAACATTTGATTTAGAGTCAAGAAAAAAAGTAGGAGCATGGTTTCTTTAACTTTTTGGAGTTGTTTACCAAGTTTTTATTGTATCTGTGCTCTTTGCAAATCTTGTGAATTGCTTTTAACATCATTTTATACATATCTCTAAGGTTCATGATTCTAACATCAAGAGATTTGAGGTTCAACTGTGCTCTTATTTGCTATGCAAGTTCTTCTGAAACAGAGTTGAAAAAAGCTTGCTTCAGGTTGACATCATCAAATCCACCAAGTATGTAAAAATATTAGGAAAAATGCTAATAGTGTCTGTCAAGATCTTTTGGATGAAGGGAACAACATTTTAACTTGAAAAATTGTTCTTTGATCTTTTTCAATCTATGAGTTTCTTAGTCATAAAATATTACTGAAAACTAAAATACAGCTTTTGCGATGGTTGGGCATTGAAGAAATTATAGTTATCTGTATTCACCAATATTGTCCTAAAAGTGTTTCAAAGTTCCAACTAATCTGAAAACAAATTTGATCAAGACTATGTTCATCGTAACATTAGGATTGGAGTTCAGTTCAACTAATCCCCATGCTAAGAATTCTTGGAACCTTAAGGGCCATTTGAAGGAAGAATATCATTAATTGTAAAGACTGAGAACTTTGATGTGGAGGGAGAAACATGTGTTAGTTGTGAAGGAGAGTGTTGTTCAGTGTCCATTACATTAGGGTTGTGTACTTCTAGGTTTTCTTTTGGAATTTCAACTGTTGGTTCTGTCATGAAGATCTGAGGAAGTTCTGACTCATTTGAATCATTAGTATCATCTGTAATAGCTGACTTAATAGTCTCCATCTGAGATTTTTTTTCAAAAGTAGAGGAAAAATATTTTTAAGGGAAAATGAAGGGAGATTTTCTTGTGCCATCTAGTGAATCATTTCTGGAAGGGTTTGTGTAAGAAAAATCATAAGTTGTATATGTTTTTGGTTTGTGTGAGGTGGAAGGTTTTGAGGTGTAGAACTTGAGCTTGATTTTGATTTTGGAGGTTGAATAAGTGGTTGTTCTATAACTCTTTTGAGTTTTGGATCAACTGATTGTTTTTTTTAGAGTCTGAATTTATTTTTCAGTTGTTCCAAAGAAAGATTGTTCTGGTTGGTTTGAGATATAAGTGAAGTATTGTTTTGGTTAGGAAGATATTGGTGTGGATGTAAGGGGAGGTTTATACTGAAATGGTGTGAAGAAAGGTTTTGATGGTAAGGTTGAAAGATTGTATGGTTTGTAAAAAGAAGTAGTGTCGGCTTGATGAGGGGTGTCATGCATGCCGGTGTTGAGTGGAGTGAAGATATTGTAGCTGGAGGCTATTTTTTGTTGTTATTGTTTCTGCCTGATTCTGAAGATCTGCAAATTAAATCTTGAGAATTTTCATCTCTTTCTCCTTTTCAGTGAAAGCATAAGTGAATTCAATGTTAGTTTCAACCATGTATCTGAGTTCTTGATCTAAAGTTATTATTCTTGATTGAATTACAAGAAAATATTTTAAAGATTGACAAGGCTTTGATTAAAGTGATGACTGATTTGGTTTAACTTGTGTTCAATTCTGTGTAAATATATTTTTTGTTGGAAAGAATTTTTAGTCTGTCAATTTAAAACTGTTTTAGTATAAAAAACACTTTTCTTATTCTCATATTCATCTTTGGTAATGAGATTTAGGATTTTTGGAATGAGTTTGTATTGGCCTTTTTTAAATTATTGGAAAGGAGAGAAATCTGATCCTAGGTATTTGAGGTTATATCATAGATATTTGAGGTAAGGCTTTGATAAAATTTGATTTTTTAGTAGCTTGAATTTTACAGGTTTGAAGAAGTTTTTTTTTTTTTTTTAAATAGATGACATAATAATCAAATTTTCTTAAAGATTTACCAACGAAATCAATTTAGGATCTCCATTCTCGTATCTTTCTCTGAGTTCTTGCTGGGAGTATTTTTTCTTCTTTTGCTTCTTTGAAATATCATCTTCGTCAGGGAACAAACTGTTCACAAATTAGTTGAAATACTTTTTTATTGGATTGGAAGAAGAAAAGTATTTTTATTTTAGAGTTAGGCCAGGGCCATTGCAGCTGTGGAAAGTAGATCAACATGAATAAGCGACGGCCACTGCTTGTTAATCAGTTTCTGCCAAACCCTATAACACAAATTAAAGCATCTTCTTCTTTCTTTCTAACATAGTGTGATTTTAGTTTCTCTGCACAAAAACATGCCACAAGGTTCCCAAATTTTTTCTTAAGTGTCTCTCTTTTGATTAAACTGTTTAAAAGCATAATAACAGTGATACTAAGAAGAGTTAGCATTTTTATTTGACTGTGATGTAGCAGACCCCCCTGGGTTGTACTACGATGCTGAGAAGAACAGGTACTTCCCCATCAAACCTCGGATTCCTGGCTCTTCTTCCCTCTCCCATGCTTCACAATCCCAAAACAACCACCCACTTTCAAACTCCGTCCAGGTAACCCATTCCTGTTCTTCTTCATAATTATCATCAATAATCACGCTTCTCCACCAAAGGGGTTTGGTTTTTCCTTTTTATGATTCACATGACATAGTTTTGTTTGAAACTCGTAAAAATAATAATTCAAGTAGGTTCAATTGAATTCATTCTTTGTGTTTACTATCTATATATACATCAGGTTCTCTATCCAATCTGTTTAGACTTTTTGAGTTTTTAATTTGGAACACTTTTCATCTAATAATCATAATAATAATCCTTCCTCAATTTTCACTGTTTTTCACCACTAAGTTTTTAAACTCTATTAGACACATACATACAGCTCCATGTTTTTCCTACGTTAAACTTTTTTTTTTTTTGCAGGCAACAAAGTTATGTCCACAAACCAGGGCTCCCACCTCTAGGCTACTTCATCTTAGAGAGTTGAACGGCGATGCTTTTAATTATGGTCGAGGGAGGCTTAGCTTTCAGGAGGAATTCCACAAGTTACATGCTTCTAAACCTGCGGTAATTTACAAGTTGCCCAATTCATTTTCTTATTATCTAAAATTTACGAATTATTCATGTTAAACTGCAGTTTTTTTTTTTTGCTATTAAGAGTTAGTTTTAGTTTATCTTGCGGATAGATCAAACCATTTCTCCTTTTTCCTTTGTGATCCTTGAGAATATTTAGGGAGGAAACTAGAGTTATACTCTTTTATATGAATTTATGTTGTCTGTAATAGGGTTTTTTCTTTTTGGCGGCATTAAGTCATTATTTAACATCTTAGAGCATTATTCAGAATTCTGCATCCCAAAAATTTCTTACTAAGAATCACATAGTTTTCATAATCTTATTTTACAATTTTCTAGATTTATTTCAGGTTTGGAGCTATGGGACAAGCACAAATTTATTAAGAGTTAATATAAGTGATAGCTCGTTGGAACAGACACAAATTGGTGTACAGACACTAGAGGGTCAAATGGAAACTGATGTTCTGCTAGTAGGCAGTATAGATGGCTCCTTGAGGTATAAACAGAGTTGTAAATAGACATTGATGTAGCGGCATTCTCTTCCAAATACAAGATGCCTCCAAAATATTTTTCTAAGGTTCTACTATAAATTCTACTATTGTAGATGGGCTTACAATAAATTAACACATAGGGTGTGAGTTGTTTGCATTTATAGGCCTTTATCACATTTACTGGTGGCAAAATGCAATTTGCTGAACTGTGTCATTGGTTACCGTGTTTTGTGCGATGACCTCTTATTTTGAATGGTGGTGTCATATCATCTGGTGATAATAAACCCTGGAAGGACTGGACGGTTGGTTTATCTAAACATGTCATTGTTCTTGCAAATTACAATGAAGTGTTGTAAAACTATGAGGAACTCAATGCATAGCATGGTCTTCCTATTGGTGCTACCATATAAATTAGGTCTCCTTTTGAATTTCGTTGCGACATTGGAACCTCTACATAACTTTAACACCTTGTCTTCCTCATGATGAATTGTTGTTCTTCTTGGTGTTACCATCTAAATATTATGTATCCCTCCCATTATTGCATTGGAGCTTTTACATGTTTGTGTTGCATTCTTTATCACATGTGGTGCATTCTCCTACTACTGCAACATACACACACATGCACTCATTATTTCTCACTTCCATTTTTCCATTCAAGTTTATGTTACACTGTATTTTCAAGCTTTATATTTGTCTCATCAATTTGTTATTATCTTCTAGCTGTTGTTATGGCATAAGCGTAGCTTCTTTCAATGGCATTGCAAAGCAACTTATATATCATCCTTTTCTTTTTTGAAATTTTCTATCAGTGCTGTGGTACTTCATAACATTTGGATAACGTTAGCTATTGCTTTTGAAATTCGGTGTCTTGCAGTTTCTTAACGGTTGGAAAGCTTGGACAGCCTTTTGATTATGGGGTAAGATACATTCCGGATCATGTTTGGCCTTCCACCAAGGTGGAAGCAGAGAATAATGAACCACCTCAATATGTGTGGTGGCCCACATGTGTTTCATTTCATATGTCATCAAGAATCTCTTGTATAAGATTGTGTGAAAAGCAATCTTTTTGTACAAACAATGATGATTCTAAGCTCCAACACACTGTATCCTTCAATGATTGCTTATTTTGACAAACTCTTTAACATTTGGCTTGTCTTAGAATCATTTATGTTAATGGCAACACTTAAATGTTCCTTGCATCTGAATAGGTTAAGTTATATTATTCAAATCAAAATATTGGATGGGAAAAACAAAAAAAAATTGTTTTGATTCTTGATTAGACTTTTAACTCTGGGATATGCAGACAATGATTGTGGTCCTCTAGATTTAATCTGTTCTAGAAAGGCTTTAGTCCAAACTGCATGTTAAATCTAGGAAAAGACACTTTTCCCTTCAACTGAAGAAATTAATTCCTGAAATATTCAAATCTTGGCTGTGATCCAATGCCCTAGAGTTTATCATGTTTTATGAAGCATTGACCACTGGAATCTCCCTTTGCCTAATGAATGTGCTACCTAATTCATGGTTTGTATAATTTAATATGCTGCAGTCTCCACTCCTGCCATGAACTCCTCAAATTTTTTATGTATTATCTTTGTATCTGATGAAGAGATTTGGTTTTGCACTTGCAATATCTTAACTTAAAAACAGGATAACTACACTGGGATCTGAGACTTCTTGTGGATATGTTTATATCCTTAATCTCCTGGAACCAGTAGATTTTACTTCTCGATTGGATCAAAGGTTACATGCAGTTGCTTCTTTTAATTATACCATTTGGGCTGCAGATTATAATTCTCATAAAAATCAAGCAGTGATTGGCAAGTTTTTTCTTTCCCTCTCATTTTCTTTAAGTTTTTGATATCTTTAAGTTGTGCTTAATTTAACTTTGATGTTGTCTTTCATTTCTAGCATGGAATTAGATGACTTTCCAAAATTTTCTGATATCTCAATTCCTCTATTATGCCATCGTCCTCTAGATGGAATCATTAACCTTTCATCCCTAGTCTTTAGTTTGATCAGTAATGCTAGGTCCATTGCTATCGTCTCCAGCCATGTCTTCATCAGTTTCGTTTAGAGTCATTGAAGTATATTTCCTTGTTCAGTTTAGGTTGCAATTACATGGTATTAGACATAAATTTGTCTACTTGGGCTTAGTTCCGATCATTTGGTCTAGCATTTTCTGTATTTTCTATATTTTTCTTCAATCACAAACTGCAATCATTTGGGACTTGTCGTGATAAATTATGTTGGTGTAAAATTTCTGTTGCTGTATGTTATTTGAACAATTGTCATTCCCACTCCCTAACATTATAGATAAATAAATAAGATGGGCAGTGACCTTTACCTGCTATTATCCTTCACTCTGTAATGTTCAGATACTTATATATGCTTGTTTTGATCATTATAGGAACCAATCATGGAGCTGCCTTGGTTGATGTGGAAAGAGGAATATCAACATGGGTGTGCCATAGTAAAAGTGATGTCTTGGCACAACAATTTGATCGGACTGTAAGTATTATATACTTCAATGTTATGGTCAATGATCTAAAATTCCCCTTTACTTTAATTGATGAAACTTTTAGTAATGTATCAGTTTCTGAGGGGAAAAATAAGTTCTTTAATATCGATATTAATCAATCATGCTTAATAAATTTTGTTTCACCCATTACCCGCTGGGAGCCAAATAAATTCATTTTTGGAGGCTCTCTGGACCGGCTTTCTGGACCATTTTTTTTGTCTGGTTTCAAGCTATATGTGTATATCTTATTCATAGTAACTAGTGGCTTAATGTGTTTCATAATCATATATTTATGATATATGCTCTGAGTCTTGCAATGCAGCATTGATGCTTGCAGCATACCTATATCTTGAAATTGATCCTGAATATAACTTATTTCAGGGAAATCTTGTGCTTTGTGGACTCAGAAATGGAGCAATTGTCACTGTGGATGTTCGCGAGAACCAGCAAAGCATTGCTGCTGGACATACTAGGCATCGAAATCCTTACTTTTCATCAGGCAGAAGTAATCAGAAAAAATGGTTTGAGGTATCAAGTATATTTTAGAGATATTAAATTGTAGTTTTTATGTGTGTATGTGATGAAGATGATGAATGATGGTGATTGGTAATTCTGAAACCCGGGTTGTGGTTTTAAAATTAGATGTATCTTCAATGTAAATATTGGTCTTAGAAGTGTGGCAGCTTTGTAAGTTGACGAGCAATGAGCCATAAGGAATTTTTTTCAGAATGGAAAATCTTATTCTCTAGTTTGACACAATTCATCATATCTTATAATCTTCATTTTCTTCCTCAACCTGATGAGGATCTATGATTGAAAATTATGGATACTGCAGTTGTTTACCATGCTTATTAGTTTTTGCAGATGATCTCATATTTCCATTTTTCTGCTTGTAGTGTCAACTTGCACAATGTACTTATTACCGCCTGCTAATGTCATGGAAATATGTTGAATTTTTAACTTGGAACTTCTTCTGTTGAATCAGAGGTTAATGTATCTGGTCGTCATGTTTTACAGCTCAAAGGAAACATATCTCCTTCTCATATCATTTATATGCCATCATCTATTTCTAGGTGAGTGAGCTGTGATGTTTTTATTTAACCTGTTTCTAGTCTTCTTTCTTTGTTTTGAGTTTATTAACTCCTGCTATATTTTGTACCACAAGTTTGGTATCACTTCAATCCTATGATCAGTATTTCTTGGCAAGATCGATGGATGGTTCAGTAAGTTTCCTTTATTGCTTTAACTCTTTTACAAATTGTTGCTTTGCTGACTTCTCACCTCTACACTTAATTTTCATCCCTGTTTAATTTTATTTAATTATATTGAAGTACATAGTTGTTTCATTTGCCTTGTTTATGATAGCTGTTGTAATTTTTGTGATACTGGTTATAGATGTATTGGGGCATGTCTAGATGGATTGTCTTATGAATATTCTTTTCTTTTTAATAATTTTCTTGATAGATGAAGCTTTACGATCACCATCTAACTAAGAGAAGGGCTGTACAATCTTATGGAGGGCATGTGAATTCTCATACTCGTATACAGATTGGAGTTGACCAATCTGAGAGATTTGTTATGTCAGGTCCACAATTACCAACTGAATGAATGTCATACAATCTTTAGCAGATGTAGTGATTTGAGAGTCTGACAACATTTTCATCTTAGGTGGAGAAGACTGCTATTTACGACTCTGGAGTGTCAAGTCTGGTAAACTGCTCTTTGAGGACAAATTTTCTAATTCTGTGCCAACAACCATTTGCTGGCGAAGAGCTGAAAGTACATTCATCTTCTTCCCTACTTTTACTGGGTTATTTTCCCTCTGGGGGACCGGAATATATAATATGACTTGTTTTGTCCACTTTATAGTTTATGTTGTATAAACCTTCTTAAATACCTGCAGGAGGCATTGGAAGGGAAGCTGAAAGACAAAACCATAATTCTGGGGCATGGCTTGGATCACAAGAAGGGCTATTCTACATGCACTGGTCCTGAGTTGGAAACCATGATTATGGTGAGAGACTTGATACTCTTGAGTGGAATGCTTTCTAATGGTGCAAGGCATGGCCACTATAGGCTTTAATAGCATAGCATAGCATAACAAAACAAAATTCTACAGGATGTTTCCCAGACAATCTACTGTTAGGCATCGGAAGGGTATAAAGTAACTGTCTGCTGTGAATATTTTATCATTTTGGGGGGGTTGTATAAGGTCAAAATGTTGGGTTGGGCTCGTATGTTGTTAAGTATTACTCTCCATTATCTTAGGAATTTGGGCTTAGCGGTTTTTGAAGGTTGAAGTAGTTCTCTGCCAGTTTGTAGATATTACCACTTGGACTTGCAGTGGAGAATGCTATTCAACTGGTTTTGAGAAAGGTTTCTCTCATTTCGTTAAGCCTCTGGCTCCTCCGTGTACGCATTTTTCACCATGGTAGTGACTAGTGACTAAGGAATGAGGTTGATCGCCGCACCTACTTGTGTTGATTGAGAAATGAGAAATGAAGGCAAATATTACTAGTAAAGTAAAATGACATTTATTCATTCAGGTTACGTCGATTGTGAATTGACAAGTGCGATCTTGTGCTATCCTCCATTTTGCTCGCCTCCTTTAAATTTATAAAAAAATATATTATAAGTAAAAATGCTGTTGGCCGTCAATGGTCAATTCACATGTAGAATCTTGCCCTGTGTCCTTGGTCTGGTGCGGGTGGGCGGTCATGTTATAATGATTTTTGAATTGCAATAAATTACTTAACATGATATTTAAATTTTAAAATTTTTTAATATAATATTTAAATTATTTTAATAGTTAAATGACTGTGTATTTATGTTAATATTTAAAGTTAATCATAACAAAAATAAATATTATATTAATTAATAAATTTATATTTTAAATAATATACTAAAAATTTTTAAAATTTATATATTAAATTCAACATTATATTATAATTTGTGGTTATTCATAAAATTAAGTCTGATATAGTATTTTCTTTCAGCGCAGCATGCACGCCATGTGTGACAAATGTTGCCTTAGCTAGCCAATTGGCAAATTGATTTTTCTCTTGTTTCCGCGCACAGAGCAATGCTCACTACCATAACCTCACCTAGCTTTTCGAAAAGAAAACCTATCCTAATAAAGCAAATACTTCAATTAACCATCACTCTTAGTTTTTTCCGACAAGACAAGCACTTTTGGTTTTGTCTTTCCCTGGAATATTCAAAATCAAATTCAAAAGGGTTGGTTCTGGTTCTCAGTTTCATTAGCTACAGTATTTCCTGGTTCAGGCTAATATGGGCTGGTGATTGATACATATGGTTTAGCCATTGCTACAAAAGGGTAAAGTGATGAAATTGAAACATCTCAGTCAAAATCAAAAGCCAAAGACCAATGAATGATGCTTTGATTGCCAAAAGCGAACAGGCTCCTTGGCCTAACTCCTCGATCCTCTAAATCATAGAAAATATTTGGTGTCTTGAGTCTTGACTTAAACTACTTTTCAGAAAGTTGTTACATTAATCATAGACAGTCGTGGAACAAAATCTAATGCCCATATCTTTATCAGTCTATCATCATTCTTCAGCAGTGAGAATTGAAATTGTACAAGTTAGAACTTGACACGTGAGGATATCTTCAAATTTTTAGCAGGAAAACGAGGGTTCTATTTTTTAATTTCTGTAATCTTAAAACATTATTTATTTTTTATTTTAGAATAAATATCAAAATATATATTAACAAGCGATTAATTTAATTGATTAAAATTTATTTTTTTAATAGAATAATTTTGAATTTAAATTTTTGTTAATAATTATTTATTGAAATTATTTTAAATGTATAATTTATAATCATTTATTTTAAATTATTAGATACGATATTTAAAATATATATATATATAGTGTTATTTAATCGTTGATGTATTCGGCTTTTCCTTTTGTATTGCAATTTCCCTCTTGCTTGTGATCTAAGGATGCACAGGCATTTCTTTTGTTAATGGTTAAATTAGTTATTGCGGAGAAGGAAAGTGGCCCTTCAGGCCTACACAAATCACCACTGCTTTGGATGCCATTTCCAGGTCCGTGTGTCTATGCATGACTTTACAGGAGGAACGATGGGGTTTAGGCCTTTCCTTTACCTTTCATTATTTAATTAGGACAATTTATATTTTACTTTACCTTACATTAATCCAGAGCCTCTCTGTCTAAATTGAAGACAGATTTTGTAATCATTATCTCTCTTTCTCTTCTTTTCGTCACTCTTGTCTTTTTCATCTTTTTATTTGCTCCATATTTTAATCCCAAATTGCAATGCCGACCTTTTTGCATGCTTTCTGATATTTGTAGCATTTATTGTTCATTTAAGTCTTTCATAATATAATTAGCAGCTACATATATAAATCTAATCTACTATATACGTTCCTGACATATATCAGCCAAACTTTTTTTTTTTTTTTCCGAATATCGAACCAAGTGAAAATAGCCATTTCTTTTATTAGCTGCATATACGCTTCCCTTTGAACTACTAATAGTAATATATATAAAAAAAAAAAAATTAACTCATCCCTTGTCAATATTTTGAAATTTTGGAAGTTCTATATTAACTCAGTTGCAGCCCTTTTAGGGAGGGGTATGGAGCATAAACATAATCATGACTCCTGCATATATATATATATATATATATGATTAATTGTAATTGATGACTGTTTCGGGAAAAGAAAGAAAAATTATATCATCACCAAAATCTCATACACAGTAATCTTGTCGTCAAATGAGGATACATAAAGAAAATATGCATGGTGCCTTCCCTCCTTGATCTTGCACTAGGGGACTTACAAGCTAGCTGTACATATGTAACAAATTAATATAAGATGGATGGAACAAATTAAACATAGACTATTTGACAAGCAATCTACAGCTACTACAAGCCCATAATATATATATATATATATATATATACACACACACTTAAATCCTTTCGCACCCACAATTTTTTGGGATCTAACTAATATGCATAACATATTAGTTAATATTCATTACAACACATTAATTAATTAGTGGAACAATATAATATGAATCAATTTTACCTATTTGAAATGGGATTTGGACCACTAGGAACTTCATGTGCACTAGCATTGAAAATGTTTTCTGATCTTCTTCGCTCTGCTGCTACTGATGCTGATGTTGTTGGAGGAAAATGAACCACGTTGCTCTTGGAACGGTTGTCGACGTTTGGCTGATCTTCTTGTAGAAAATTCCATGCTGTAGTGTTTCCTCACAGTCGACGTCCCATCCCTTGTAGTACTAGTGTTGTTATGTGGGAAGTTACTGGACTGAACCGTAATAACAAGAAGGACGAAGAGAGTGATGCAAGTGGCCGTATAATTAGGAAGTTACATGAGTACCAGCCACGCAAAATGAAGAATTATATATATATATATATATAGGGTTGTGGGCATGTAGGTGAGCCAAGGTTAGCTTAGTTACCTGCTGCAACTGCTATGTTGAGAGAGATAAGCTCAAGTTTGCATATAGAGTTGATGAGTTTTGATGATGAGGGAGGATTCCTTATTGATCTTAAATAGTACATACTAATTTCGAGGGGAAAGAGAAAGAGAGAGAGTTGAAACTTGAAAGACCAAAAAGAGTAAAGCAAAGGTTCGTGAAACACACGCCTACGGCAGATAGAACTCCCAAGAGACAACAAGAAGCATAATTAAGAGACTCTTGTAATTACTTGTTTCTTCATATTCTGGCCAAAGAGCCCAAAACACAAGATTAATCCCAAATAATTAAAAAAAATTTTCTCCAATACATATTATGTAGATAGATTAGGTCGTCTGCTTGTAAATTTAATTGATGAATCTAAAAGATCAAACTATAAAATTACCGATCTATATAATTCTATATATAATGATAATTGATACACTTTCAATTATTATTTAATTTTGTTGATCTATATTCTTGTTTAATTCTTTTTTTTTTTAAATGCCAAGCTTAGGTCACAATATATACTCATAACTTCCCTATTACAAATTATTATTATTATTTTTGGTCAGAATTATTGCTAATTAATTAACATGTGGGTTTTATTTTTTGAATTCATGTTGATGTTATCTCTAATTAAACTTTAATTTTAGAAAGACCTAGAGAGGCCAAATTTGTCAAGTTTTTGTTAATTAAATAGTATTCCAATAAAAATAAAATTGAAAGGACTGTTATATACATACTGTTTACAAATAAATATTCTTTATGATTAAAAGATATTTTGAAATTTTACGCAATTTGCTTAAGTTACATTTCCCAATTGAAAAACTAAATAGATAGATTATAAAATTTATTAAATAAATAAAGTATACAAAATTTTAAATAATTTGCATAAGTTTTATTATTTTTTTAAAAATTACAAATATAAAAGAAGTTACAATGACAATCAGTTATTACATCTATATATAATATATTACTGAATAATCAACTAACAAATTAAATATAATTAGATAATCAAAATCATACACAGTAGAACGTGAATCTAAAACCTTAGGATTCTTGGCATAAATTTCATTACTTAATGTAAATATATAAAAATTTTATATTAAAAATAAAATAAATTTGATTAATTATTCAAATATTAAATTTCACGCACTTAAAAAGAAATTTACTCACAATCGCTTATCAGGATATAACTTCTATGTCTTTCACAGGTTTTAATTTATTTAGGTAAGGTTTTTGTTTTGTCCACATAAAGGTTGTGAAAAGTCTAAATTAATTAATTCAAGATCTAACAACGGAAAAGAAAAAAAATATATGTAGGACTTATGGAGTTAATGGGAATTAAATTCATAAATGTTTCATGCAGGGATAGCCATAAATACGAAAAGTGACACAACACAAAAATATATTCATGAGCTTAATTGAAGCGTACAGTAATTTCCACGTTAATTACTGTCAAAACAAGAGAGCGAGCAAATATGTAGTTATTGTTTTACTACCAAAATATAGATAAATAAAAAAGAGTTTATATTTTAATGCATTGATAATGTATAAAATTTTATACATTATCATTAAATTACATATTATCACATTATTAATTAATGAGCAAATTATAAAAAATTAAAAATTAAATAATAAAAGCTTACTTCAGTTTATTTTTAAAAAAAATGAAATCAATTAGAGTTGACAAAATTGCAGTTGGTTCGAATTTCGCCTTCATTCTGACCAGTGGGGACTTGAATGTTTCCAAGCTTGAGCATGGAGACCGAAAACTGGTGTCTGAAAATAGAGGGGCTTTGAATTAATGTGTTAACAATAGGTCTAGTCCTTGAGTCGGAATATAGAATTTGATCCGTGGATAAGAGTCCCATCTTGTTCTGAAGATTTGCATAAAATTGGGAATCAAAAGTGGATGGGGTGGTAGCATCAAGATCAACATACTGATCTGATACACATTTGCATTTTCTTTGCAAGAAGTCCAAATAGTGATCATCAATAGGTGGATTAGGCATGCCAGTTCCATTCAAGCCATAGACCCGATGTTGAATTGCACCACACGATGTCCTTCCAATGGTATGTGCTCCTGGACATACGGATAATTATAATTAGTAAGAAAGGAGCCCAATTATATATTTGATTTATATATATATATATATATATCAAAAGATTAATTAATGCTGCATCATCATTATCATCGTCATCTTTACTAATTAATTAATTGATTAAACGAAAATGCATCTTGACGTACGTAGCTAGGCTAATAAATAAGAGGAGAAGATTTGAGTTCTGAGAACAAGTACCTGAGAGAACAACCAAGTCAATAACATTTAGACCCCGAGACTGGAAAAACTGAAGCAGAGTGGTAATGGTTTCTCTACCACTAGGCACCATGTCAGCATCTTTTGCATTTGAAATTCGGGAATCTTTCCTGCCATAGGGAACCATCCAGTATGGACCTCCCAGTGAGACAGTGGCATCCCTGGTGGCGGCCGTCAGAATGTCTGCGCAAGAAACTGTTGCTGGGCACAATTTCTCCACCTCCGCCTTGATGTCGTCTATCACTTGAAACCCTCTCAATGTTTTGCTGGCCTCCGCTGTCCTCTCACTTCCCTCGTAGTTTAAAAGAATGGAAGCATCGCATCCCTGAATCGCAATTCACATTAATAATTCCATCCATCCTCAACCTCAGCTAAGGTATACATGAGCATGAATGACACATTTATGGCATTAATGTATGCATTGAAGGTGGCAGTGTCTCCAAATTAATCAAGCATGAAAAATTACAAGATTTAAATATTACCGTGACAGCGCAGTCATGAAAATGCAACCTCAAGAGACTGGCGGCAAGACTGTGATCCTTTGCAATCCATTCTTTCACTTTTCTACTGATAATTTCTTCAAGCATTGGGCATCTCTGGTGGTAGTAGGTGAAGGATAGGAGATTATCAAAAGGGGATGTCTCTGGCAATGTGGAAAATTTTGGAGAAGAGTCTTGTTCACCACTGCCAGAGGCTGCAGATACAATTAACACAAGTAGTGTGAGGAGGTAGAAACAGGGAAGGGAGGACTTCATTGTTTAATTTCTAAGGCCCAAATTTTAAGAAAAATTCGGATTTTCTGTTCTTCTTGATGATGATGGATGAATGGTTTCTTGAGTAACGTTCTTACCAATTGCGTGTATATATATATATACATCTCTCTATTAGTAGTAATTGATGAATAAGATAATTTGGTTAGCATACCTCAATTAATAAATTAATTAATTACAAAAAACGTGGGACGCACCCGGGCCAATATTATTAATCTAAGACGACATGGTACCATGTCCGACTATTAATTAATGCTAGCTTCTGACTTTTACTAATGCTATTACTTTCTTTAAAAAAGGAAACTGACTTGCATTGGCTTTTCTCTTTTTCAGAAGCTATTGCGTTGTGATTACTATAAGGATAATGAAATCTTATTTTAATAGTCATAAAAAATTTTATCCCATCTGAATATATATGTGCTTCAATAGGTTAATACTGCATAATATTTTTAATTTTGATTAAAGAATTGAATTCCAACCTCTCTATTCTCTATTAATCAAAAGTGATTAAAAATAATAACTTTAACATAAGTAAATTCAATAGGTTAACTAAAAGGTTTTTTTTTTTTAATAGAAAGAACAAAAAGAAAAATATTATTAATTTTTTTTATAATAAGTCTTACTTAGGCAAATCTTGGTCTTACCCATCAAATTAGATCCACCAGATTAGATTGATAGCACGATCCTTGGATAGTTTACAAATAGAAGTGATTCAAAGACGTGGTAAATAATAAATATAATATATATATTATGAGAAATTATTTAATTCATTAGAGGTGAAGTTTTTAAAGTTCATACTTAGAATTAATAAAATGATATATATTTCCTTTAAAGTATATTAAAAAAATAATTAAAAAATAAGACATAAAGTAAAAAAATTTACCCTGTTATCGTATAAAAACTAACATATGCAATATGGATGGAAAAAGTAATTGGAAATTTTGAGCAAACTTGGGTGGGCTACAGATGCAAAATTGGGGGTGGCCCTGCCCAGCCAAGTTTAAGCCCATGTAGAATTTAGGTTTTGGCAGATAGACTTAAAAAGTGGCCGAGAAATGAACAAAATACGCAAATATAGATATTCAATTACAAGATCGACGACGGCACCCAACGTATCGAAAAAATTTTCTCTAACTCAACGGTTACTTTTGATCAACATTTCCAATTCCAAGGATAAATCATTATTAGCAAATGATGAGGCAATATCCAGATCGGCTGGTCTGAGCACAAACCAACTATACTTTCTTTTTGGTTCTCCCAACCCAAGCCCTCCACCCTTTTATCATCTGGCGAAAAAAAAAAATGAGAGAGAGAGAGAGAGAGAGAGAGAGTAGTTGGATTTGGTTGACGGTTCAAACGAATACGGATAGGTTTTTTTTTTTTTTTTTTTGGAGGGGGGGGGAATTAAAGAATACGGATAGTTAGCATCATCTGTTCGGCGCTGTCTTCGTGAGTGACCATCATTGGGAGATTTTAATTTCTATTATTTAATGAAAAAAAAAGTTTTTACTATATATGCATGTTACTTGAATTGTAAACGAGATGAAAAGTTATACATGTATGATCCATTTTAACTCATAAATATGTGGACCACATATATATATCCATCAGTTGGGTTTCTTCTACGTACCTCAATATATATATATATATATATATATATATATATATATTGGATTCCTCAGTCATATTTGGTTTTAAAGCTTATATAATCCACTTCTAGATGAATCGTCACTTGACTCCTTATTTTTTCATCATCATATCATAAAAAAAAAAAAATTACACCTCCTTAATTTCTCATAGCGATCATATGCATATGCATATCTCTTGAATAAAACTAATTTCTTTTCCTTTAAATTTTCTCATATGTATCATATGATAATGTGATCAATATTTCACGAAATTATGCAAATAATTGCACTTGAAACAACATCATGCATCAAGCTGCACAAGCCTAGGAAACAAAAACAATATAATTTTATATATAATTATAATTTAACAATATAATGATATTTATGATTTGATTTAAATTAGTGAAAGCGTTAATAATCATTAGGTAATTATACTTTTTATATTTTAACAATGCACTATTACTAAAATCAATGGCGTGAGATTGAGATATCATATGATTTTTGAAAGAAACGTGCATATACATGTATAGAGCACTATTCTAAGTAAGAAATAAATCTTCTACTAATTATACTACTATTTTCTTATCATGCATTTAATTTGTTGTTAATTTTTATACTAATTATACTCATATGTATACGTGGTCAATAGTTGTATTATACTTAGAATAATTATACTTATATGTATAAGTGGTCAATAGTTGTATAAGTGGCCAAAGCATTGTGCTCTATATAATTATGGCCAAACCATATAATTATACTAATTATACTCGTATGTATAAGTGGTCAATAGTTGATTCCTTAATAAATTATTTGATATATTCATATTTGATTAAATATACAGATGTTATTTATGTATAAATATATATAAAAATAATATAATGATTTTATATATTTATATAAGATTGATGATACATTATAATGTTAGATTTTTGTTTTTGTTATAAAATTAATCATACATTATAATGTTAAATTTTATGTATACTAGTTGTGATCAATAAGCCATGTATCCTATTTTATATAAATATATAGAAACCAAAAACTTTTGGTAAAAAAAATCCAATGTAGATAATCTATTTTTTTGACATATGGATTGTTTTGAATAATCATCACGTATCTTGTATTTAATTATTTCAATTTGACTTCATATACATTTTATTAATTTAAAATATATTTCTTTAGCTAAATTAGGTTATTTATTTTCTTATAAATAATCAATTGTCTTGCCTTTTATAAATGTATTACAATTAAATTATCTTAAATCATTTTCAACCAAATTCAGTTCTTAATCTTAAACATCTAATGTGTATACTATAAATAAAAAATTTACTTTGAAAGCATTTACTATTTAATAACCATGATTTTAGTATTTAATTAAGAAATAATTTATGTAGTTATTAACCTTAATGAATATATAAGGCATATAATGCTAAAATTTCAAACCTAAAAAAAAAGTCTAATTAATTGGAAACATATTTTCATATTTCTTTCTATATAACTATTAATTACAATTGATATAATTTATTATCTTACAAGAATTTTTTAAAATATTAAAGTGTAGACTTTTCAAAATAAAAGATATATTACATAGATAATTAATAACTCATTGTAATGTTTTGCATAAATTACTCTCAATTTATAAAAATTTTTCGAATTCTTATTATAAATAAAGAATCCTATATGCTAATTACTCTTCAAAACCCTCCAAATGCATTGATTTCATTATGATCAAGAAAATTTTGATCACTAAGTTACATATTTTTTATGTTCATAAACTTTTTTCCTTATCATGCTGTCGATTGACTTTATTTCTCTTTTCTTCACTTTTTTATGCATGTTCATACTCTATTTATCTATTCATTTTCAATATTAGCAGTTTTTAAAACTTTTGAATGAAATAATTTTACATGTTTTATCTTTTTTTAATTTTTAGTCATTAGAGATTTTGTCAGATTTTTCTTTACGACTAATAATAGATGTGAACAAGGTAAGATTTTTTTTAGTTAAAGATGGAGTTTGTTAAAATTTGATAAGTTTTTGCTCTTTTGTTTATCTTTTATTTACAATTTTATCCATATTTAATATGTAATATATGGTTTCAATCCCATTCGCTAAAGAATGCAAATTCATTTTGAACTACTTTGACCTTTGTGAATACAATGCAAAAATGGACACCACCTAGTCAATGGTTAGTTGTTATTCTGAGTTCTAGATGTCTTGCACCAAAGCAAGAGGCGCACTATGCAAAAGTTTTTACAAAAAATTGATTTTAAGTGGAATAAATTTTTATGGTTTGAAATAAAAAATTATTTTATTTTGTATAAATATCACTGTTAGATGAGATATGATACAAAACTTTTTTTATATTATATAAGTACATATTGATCTATAATATTTTTATTTTTTATTATTTTACATTGAGATTTTTTTTTATATATAAAATTTATTAGTTATATTATATATAATTGAGTTATATATATATATATATATATATTTGCATATCCATGCATCGCACAAACTTAAAATTAATTCTCAATAAGAAATTAATCTTTTACTAATTATACTCATATTTTCTTATCATCCATTTACATATGTATCATAATATTTTATTATTTTAACATCATTCTTATTTATCTAGTATTACTTTGATTTTTCTTTTTTCAAAATCGTATAAGAGAGTACGATGTATCATCAAGTATAGATTTTTTCTTTTGTTTTAAAAAGTTAGATGAATCAAAAAATTAAATTAAAAAAAGGCATTCTGCCTGAAGAAATTAGGGATATATAAACTCAATGCATCATAATATGTATAAAGTGTAGTCAAATATGCTTAATTAGTGTACTTATCCTGTCTTCTGTTGTAAGGTAATATAAAAGCCGCTTGCAGCATATGCGGAGTAGATATAATTAATTAGACACATGGTGGAAATATACTAATTAAAAGCTTTGTTCTCAAGCTGTTTATCCTTGGTTAAATATCTTACAAAAATATATCTAAGCAATCAGTTCTTCATTTGTCAACTATTTATTCCTTGAACACTCTATCACATTTGTTAATAGTGCTTTGAGATGTACGGTGAAAACAAGAAAAATTTTCGTGAACGCCTTTAAAATTTTTTTATTAATAAAATTAATAAATTTATTAATAATATTTTTATTTATTAGAAATTAATATTTGGAAAAAATTATAAATCCATCACTTGTCGGGACAAGTAGCATGACTCGTTATCAAAATTAATTGACGTTCTTAAAATTTAAATTTTAAATTAACTCTCGCCTTCAATTGTACTTATTTCATTATATTTATATATTTATATTTATATATTTATATATTTAAAAGAAAAGTAATTATTTGACTCTACAAACTGCAAAACAATAGTTGTTGATTATGTTGTGAAGGGTCAGGAGTAGGGGTGGGGAAAAATGAATTTCACATGACCAGTCGACAACACTCACAATAAGCCTCCATTACCTGGAAATCCATGAAATCTGTCCAAAACACTCTCCAAAAAAGAATTAGATGGGTTGTTAGAGATGGCTGCCATGTTAATTTTTGGCATGATAATTGGACTGGTCTTGGCCCCCTCCAATCTTTGCTCATTGGCCCTCTTAACCCTAAGGAGGATGATCTCACTGTCAAAGCTTTCATCTCCCAATTCCAAAGAGATGCTTCCCTCCCCATCTCCTTCGTCCTCCCCTTGGACCTCATTAATACCATCCTTGGTATGCCTCTTCCTCACCACCACAATGCCCCTGACACCATTTGTTGGAACCCCTCAAGAGATGGCCGTTTCTCTCTAACCAGCGCCTACAAGCTAGCTCTCCAAACCAACCCCTACGCTGATACTCAACCTGAGACCGCATGGATGTGGATTTGGAAGCCAAACATCTTGCTAAAGCTCAGATTCTTCCTGTGGGAATGTGCCCACCAAATCCTTCCAACCTAACTTCTTCCTGCCAGGAGAGGTATCGTAACATCACCAACCTGCCCTCTATGTCACAATAATGAAGAAAGTCTCGCTCATAATCTCAGAAGCTGTCCCCGTTACGGTGCCCTTTTGGCAACTCATCATGGTCCCGCGACAACTCACCTCCTCCTTTGCATACCCAATCCACGTCGGGATTTTCTATGAATCTACTCTGATATATAAATGAAAATTTAATCCTACGAGTTACTTTTTATAAAATAAAATTAAAAAATTTTTGGATTAAAACGGACAATACTTTATAAATTGAACGTAAGTCTTTCACAAATGATATTAAATAGATTATCAATCGAAAAAAAACTAAATGTTACATTGTAAAAGACACTTCTAGAATCCTACAAGAGCTAAGTACTATACGATAGAAGTTGTGTGATTCTATGATTTGTGTTGTGTTTATTCACAATTTTTTTGTATTTTATTTTGAGCTTAACATAAACGTTAAATTTTAATGAGAGGATTTTGTGACACTTTAATCTCACCTATATAAATAGAGATTTAATTTTAAACTTGTAAAATTTTTTTTATACAATAAAATCGTAAAATTTTTGAATCAAAATAAATAATACTTCGTAAGATGATACAAATCTCCACACATATCCCCTCTCATAGTGCCTCGAGACACACATTACTTCCAAACTGTCTTACCATGCCCACCCCATCCCTTGGAAAATCGTGGTCATCCACTTCATTTGGGAACTTTGGCTTGCTAGAAATGCAGCCATCTTCAAAAACGTCAAACCTTCTCTAGCCACACACATCGCGCCACTTACAAAGCTGTTGAGTTCTACGCCCTATCTCACAATGGTCACAAGACCACCCTTCCCACTTTTATCCCTGTCAAGTGGTCTCCTCCTGCTGTGGGATGGCACAAACTGAATACTAATGGTTTTGCCATCGGCAACCCTGGTGCTGCTGGAGCCGGAGCCATAATCCGCAATCACGATGGAAATTGGATCGCTAGCACGCTCAGACACGTAGGCAAAACCATCAGTGTTGAAACTGAGCTCTAGGCTTTAAGAAATGGCCTTGCCCTTGCTATCCAAAAACAAATCACACGTTTTGAGATTGAAATTGATGCTACTGCTGTTATCAGCCTGTTATCCAATCATTTGTCCGCTAACTACATTCTGGATCCTTTGACATGTGATTGCAGAACTTTATTGAACCAGATCCAACAGAGGAAACTCCAACATACCTTCCGTGAGGGAAACAGATGAGCTGATGCTCTTGCACGTAAAGGCAGCGAACTCACCCATGATAGTAGGGACTTTTGTATTAGTAATAGTTCTTCTTGTACTGCCTTAAACAATCTTTTTGTTGCTCGTGTTTCTCCACCAAACTTTTTACAGCCTCTGTTGTGGGCTGATACGACTGGATTTATTTTGTACCGCACTATTTAATTTTCTATGAATGTTCCTTTTCTACCTATATATATATATATAATATAGTAGATTAGAAAAAAGGTACTTTTTAAAATAAATGTATCAAAGTAATAAAGAGAAAGGGAATCCAATGCAGGTTTAAGCAGAAAAGCAATTAAGCAGGTCAAGTAATTAGGAGTCGGCAAGTATCTTATATATAAACTATTCTAACTTGTAATTATATTTAAAATTTATAACATATGTAAAATTCATATATATTGACATATCATAAAAAAATAAATTTTTTGAAAAAAGTAAAAAAATTGTCATGTCTTTCATTTGCACCATTTTTACTTACAATAATATTTATACACCTAAAAATTATATCAAATAAAATAAATTATGTTTTTCTTGAAAATAAAAATATATACTATTAAATGATAAATTAAACAATAAAAAGTATTAACATACTTTTACTTTTGTAATATTAATCAAATTGTTGTGCAAATTATGAAAAATCTTATGAGATATGTGGAAAAAGAAAAAATAAATTAAAAAAATATTATTTTTATAAGAAATAATAAAATATATCTTAGAAAAAAGTTGTAAAAAAAATAAATTGCAATAGTAATAAAATATACCTTTAAAAAAGTTGGAAACGAAAAAAAAAAAAACTTATATATCACATTACATTTATAATTTTAAATTTGTAGAAAAACTTTTAAGTATAATTAGGATTGAATAGGTATCTTTTAAATTAACTTTTTTAAATTTAAAAGGAATATAATAAGTGATAAAAATAAAATCAAATTTTTTGTATATATTTGAAATATAAATATGACAATTAGAGTTAAGATGAATATAACTTTTTTTATTATCTTATTATTTAAATATTTAATATGAAAAATTGTTTAAGTTTTTAATGTCTTACGAAATTTTTTGAAAAGTTAATTTTTTGTTGACTCAAATCTTGATAAAAAGAGTTATTGAAATATTTGAATAAATATAATCTTTGTAATTTTCAAACATGTTTAGAGATTTTGATAATTAAATAATTTTTTAAATAAAATTATTTGTTAAACAATTAAAATTATTTATTATGAACATAAAATCCATATTTCAGATATTTAATTTTAAAAAACATATATCTATATTGATTTATTTTTTAATTATAATTTAAATAATTTTAATATTTAAATAAATTTAAAGTTATTTAATTCATAATTAAAAAAATTATCTTACTATTTTTAAAAAAATTTTATGTGTCATTTAAAAAACTATTCACGTAAATATCTATATAATAAATTTTATCAAATTTTTATATACGTTGTAATAATATATATACAAATGATGGCTCGAATGTTCGAATATTGTAGACTCCACGTGTCAATATTTTTTTTGTTTTTTTTTTCCATAAATCCATACCTTAAAACCCAATAACCATACTCGAAAACCTGATCCCCTAGACCTGACCAGCATAAAGAAAATTCAGTAGAAAAATCTTGACCCACTACCATCACCACCCGACTACTTAGAAGCATAGAACCAAAAACACTAATAGTACTACCACCGTGATCCTCTCAGCACACAAAACTAAAAAATAATAATAATAACTAAAACCATATTTTATATGTCCATTTTATCTATATTTAATAAAAAATTTAATTTTTTATTTGAATAAAAATAAATATTATATTGTAAATATATATATACAAATATATATGATTTTAAATTTTTATTAAAAATAAAAATAAAAATAGATAATATAATATTAATTTTATATTCGTACTTTATATATATTTAATAAATAAATTTTTTAATAAATAATAAAATTATTAATTAAAATTAATATATTTTATTAAAAAATATATGTTAATAAAAAATTATTAAAAAATAGTTTTTAATTTTTAATTTAAAAAAAATTATGAGTATGAAAATTATTTATATTTATTAAATATTAATAAAAACAAAAATAAATTTAAATTTAAAATATTTTATTAAATATAAATACAAAAATAAATATAATATAAAAATAAAAAAGCTCTACTTTACCCATACTCTTCCCATTATCCCCGCCTTCTAGCTTAACCACCAAATAACCACATAATAAACAAGCAACACAATACCCAAAAAAAAGGTAAACAAAAAACAAAACAAAAAAAATTAGGAAAGAGAAAATAGTTTTCAAGTTATGAGGGTTCTAGAAGGTTTTGGGATTGGGTTTATGGAAGAGAAAAGCTTAAAACAAGGGGAAGAACATAGTGAAAAATAAGGGTTTTTTAGCGACAAAGGAAGGCTATTTTGGGTCTTGAATCTGCGAGTTTTGACTTTAGGTCTAGAAAAATTTAGGGAATTTTCCGAGAAACCAACTAGATAACAAGAAAGAAAAGGAAAAGGGGAACTTTTTGATGAAATTTGGGATGAAAATATTGTCAATAAACGAGGTCGACGACAACCGTTTGTTTCTAGAGTTGTTGAGGTTTACGATGAAATATTAAAGAAAGAGGACGAAGGAATTAGAGAGAAGGAATAAATTTAGAAAGATAAAGGGCAAGATGAAAATGAGAAGGGATAAGCAATTTAGGATTTATTTATTAACCAAAACTACGTTGTTTTAGTAAGAAGAATGGGTTGTTTTATTGCCTTCGCTTTATTTTAATATTTTTTCTTTTGAATTATATTTAATAAATATTTTTTAAAATTATAAAAAAATATATTTTTTATACAAAACTTTCAATTTTTTATTTTTTTCTTTTCAAAAATTAATCATTTTTTTAAATTTTAATTTTTTTGTTTAAAACTCACTTGCTAATGGTATACCACATGTAAAATTTTGTTTACTTTTTATTTTTTTTCTATTTTTACATATTTAATAAAAGATTTTTTAGATTGATTTTTTTATAAGATTTACTTAATATAAAAGGTATGCCTTATGTTAAGCTATTTGATTCTCTTTTTTACTTTTATTTTATTATTTTATTTTTTAAAAAATTCAATAATTTTTAAAAAAATTAATATGGGCTATTTGATATCTATATATAAAATTTGCAAATGTACGGACATATGCTTTTGCCAAGCGTTGGTTCTTTTTTAATTTTTTCTTTACTGACACGTGTTAATTTTTTATTTTTTATTTTTAAAAATATTTCATAATATTTTTAATTGGGCTCTTTTTTGTTGTGGGACCCATTTTTTAGTTTTGAATTTTTTTCAATTCTTTTTAGTCTTTTTCCTTTTTATGTATTTCATAATTTTAGAATGTGGGACCTACTTCTTTTTTTTCATGGGACCTTTTTTCTTTATATTTTCTTGTTAACTTTTTCTCTGGCACCATGTGTCTTTTTTTATTTTATTTTTTTATGTTTGATATTTTTAAAATTTTTTATGTAGCTTACTTAACACTAATTTTTTTTAAATTTAATTAATCATTTTTATATTTTATTTTTTATTAAACTCACTTGATATCAAAAATATATTATGTGTTTTTAAAGAAAAATATGATTTAATTTAGACAAATTATATTTTTTAAAGAAAAATAAGATCAAATTAAAAGTATATATATTTTATTATTTATTTAGTTTTATACATATATATGTAATGGGTATATATAAAAGTATATATTATATTATCTATTTAGTTTTATACATAAATATATTATATTAATAAAATATTTTTTATCTTAATTTAAAAAATTTATATTTTAAATTCAATATAAGATGTCAAGTTAACTTTTTCTTTATACTCATTTTTTTTTGTTTAACCTTTTCCTATTTTTCTTTTTTTTTTTTGGTTTTTTGCATTTATTTTAATTTTATGAGAAAAGGACAATTAAAGTATTCATGTTTCATTCTCTTTTGGTTTTTTTTTCTTTCATCTTTTTTTATTTGAAAAATACAATAAATAGATATTGTAAAACAAAATTTTTTTACTTCTGACTAGATTAGATAATTTAAATATGAAATGATTATATGATATAAAAATAATATAAAAATATATGAATATGATATAAGTTAAAATGTTAACAAAATCATATATAAATTTAATAAAAACAAAAAAATTATCTTATATTTGTTTTATTAATATAAATTATAACATATATTTTTGTATAAAATATTATAAAATATATAAATTCTCACTATTTTACATGATATAATACGAATGATAAGATTTATATAATAATTCGGAAACACCTTTGTAGTATATATAGTAAAATAGGAATTGAAATGGCAAAAAAGACTATAAGGGTTAGGTGGCTCAACCCAATATACGATATCGTGATTAGAATTAAACTAGTAGGGAATGAGTTGTATTAGTTGTATTGTTTACTTAGGAGATTGGACATCAAATTAACCAAGTTGGAATAATAGCAAGGTTGTTGCTGATTACGTGGGGTGGGGTTGGGGAATATATCATGTCAGGAATACAGGGCTAGTACGTGGGGTGGGCATTGACTTTGCTTTTCAATTAATATTGTACTTGAACAAAACAAAACAAAGCAGTCAAATTAGGAATTCAACCGCTCGGTTTCTCTGTAGGGTCTACCACACTAATAATAAAACAGGCAAGCGGCAAGCTCACTTCTCTAACCACTGCAAATACACTTAATTATCCATGCAATATTAACTTCTGTATATCTTCCTTCCATTTATTTGCTTGTTAATGCTGAGCTAGCATTTGGCAATTTCATTTCTTCTGTGTTTTTGTTAGTAACTACTACTAATTCTCACCGCTCTTAAATCTTACTAATTATTCACATTTATTGAACTGTGTCTCTGCCGAGTATGTTAATTTGTGTTATTTTTGAATAATAATAACAATACTACAATTGTACAAAATCCTTTAGCTCCTATTTGTATACAGGAGTATGTCCTTACTCTGACCCACTTTTGACCTTCTGATTTCAAAAATATTAGTAAATGTTCCTTCATCATCTACATTTATGAGCACAACTGTCGACAGCATTAGAGTTGGAATGATCATGGACTCAGAGAATCTCTCTCTCTCTCTCTCTCACTCACTGCAACTGCTGCTACTATATAGTCTGCCAAGCTTCCTCCCTTGTTCCCAAAGTCATTTATGTTACTCCTGACTCACTCAACTTTCTGACTTGTGCTCTCAACGGCCCTTATCTTCTCTTGTCACCCATTTTAAGGCCTCTTAAAAGACTACTCTGCAAATATTACCAACTTAGCTAGCTCTCAAAGTCTCGTCCCCTGCACCTTCTCAATTAATGAGCCTCTCCCTCCACACCCACCCCCGTGTGCCACGCGTCCATGCTGTCGAACCAACGCCATCCATGCACCAATAACACTTTTAGCGACGATACTCTTCTTCAACGCTCTTTATGTTCATGCTGCAATACTATACTATACTATACTCTAACAGCTCTCTTCGACTTCCTCTATACTCTACTTCTCCTGAGAGATGAACACCATGAAAAAGGATTTCTCCATTCTCCTTCTAATTATAATCTTTTTAACATGTTGTGCATTTGCTTCTGTTTTCTGTCTAAACCAAGATTTATCAATCCTTGTGGATGTAAGGAGGTCGTTTGTAGAAGACCCTGAAAATGTTCTGCATGACTGGTCCTCCAAAACCAACCCCAATTTCTGTACATGGACAGGAGTCACTTGTGGTTTCACCTCCCCGGCAAACTCAGTTCATGTAGTGAGTCTAAACCTTTCCGGATTCTCACTCGGTGGGTCAATATCACCCTCGCTTGGTCGTTTACAAAACCTAATCCATCTTGATCTTTCCTCTAATCGCCTTACGGGCCCCATCCCAACCACCCTCTCTAACCTTTCTTCCTTGGAATCTTTGCTTCTATTCTCCAACGAACTCTCTGGTCCCATCCCACCTCAGCTGGGTTCACTTAGCAGTCTCCGAGTCATGCGAATTGGTGACAATGGACTCACGGGTCCCATTCCTTCCACATTTGCCAGCCTCGTCAACTTGGTAACACTTGGCTTAGCCTCATGCGGTCTCACAGGCCCAATTCCCCCTCAACTGGGGCACCTCGCCCGACTTGAGAACTTGATTCTGCAGGATAATCAACTTGAGGGTCCTATCCCACCTCAGCTGGGGAATTGTTCAAGCCTCAACGTATTCACTGCAGCTTTCAACAACCTCAATGGATCCATCCCAGCGGAATTGGGTCGTCTCAAGGGCCTTCAAATTCTCAATTTGATTAGCAACAGTCTATCAGGGGAGATTCCGAGTCAACTAGGTGAATTGAGTAAAGTCGTTTATCTCAGCTTTATGGGTAACCATCTTGAAGGTACAATCCCAAAGTCATTAGCGAACTTGGTCAATCTTCAGAATCTTGATTTGTCATTAAACAAGCTCACCGGAGGCATTCCGGAAGAATTAGGCAAGATGACTAAGCTGGTGTACTTGGTTTTATCGAACAACAATCTTTCAGGTCCAATTCCAAGAAATATATGTTCCAACACTAGCATTATGGAGCATCTAATCCTTTCAGAAGTTCAACTTTTGGGTGAAATTCCGGTGGAATTGAGAAGCTGTCGATCATTGAAGCAGCTTGATTTGTCCAACAATACGCTAAATGGGTCAATACCGGTAGAGCTTTATGAGCTGGTTGAATTGACCGATCTCTATCTCCACAACAACACCTTGGTTGGTTCAATTTCTCCATTCATAGCAAACCTCAGCAACATGCAGACGCTTGCACTGTTTCACAACAATTTGGAGGGCAACCTGCCTAGGGAAATCGGAATGCTGAGTAAACTTGAAATCTTTTATCTCTATGAAAATCAGCTATCTGGGGACATCCCTTCGGAGATCGGTAATTGTTCAAGCTTGAAAATGATTGACTTCTTTGGCAATCGTTTTACTGGGGAGATTCCCGTTACTATTGGCAGACTCAGGGAGCTGCATCTTCTTCATCTGAGGCAAAATGAGCTTGTGGGTGAAATTCCAGCCACAATGGGTAACTGCCATCAACTAACTATCCTGGACTTAGCAGACAATCGCCTATCTGGTGCCATTCCCACGAGTTTCGGGTTTCTTCAAGCCCTGGAGCAGCTCATGCTTTACAACAATTCACTTGAAGGTAATCTCCCCGCTCCATTGACCAATTTAGCGAACCTAACAAGAGTCAATCTCTCAAAAAACAAAATGAATGGCAGCATTGCTGCATTGTGTAGTTCCCGTTCTTTGCTTTCTTTTGATGTAACAAACAATGCATTTGATGGTGAAATTCCTCCGCTGCTTGGTGATTCACCTTCTCTCGAGAGACTAAGATTAGGGAAAAACCAATTCACTGGAAGAATCCCCGGATCATTGGGCAAGATTCGTGAACTGTCACTACTAGATCTCTCAGGTAATTCGCTCACCGGACCTATACCAGCTGAGCTGATGTTGTGCAGGAAACTGAGTCATATTGATCTAAACAACAACTTACTTTCTGGACCGATACCACCATGGCTCGGAGGTTTGCCTCAATTAGGAGAACTTAGGCTCTCCTCCAATCAATTTACCGGTGCTCTTCCTCGAGAACTTTTCAATTGTTCCAAGTTGTTGGTACTCTGCCTTGATGGCAATTCGCTTAACGGTACTCTCCTTGGTGAAATCGGAAATTTGTTATCTCTTAACGTACTCAACCTCAACCGAAACCAACTTTCTGGACCCATTCCTACAACCATAGGCAACCTAAGCAAGTTATACGAGCTACAGCTCTCAAGGAACATATTGAATGGTGATATACCAATTGAGCTCGGACAACTCCAGAATCTTCAAAGCATTCTAGATCTCAGTTGCAACAACCTAACCGGACAAATCCCACCTTCTATTGGAACACTATCCAAGCTTGAAGCCCTTGATCTTTCTTACAATCAACTCACGGGGGAAATCCCTCCTCAAATTGGTGACATGAGCAGCTTGGGCAAGCTTAATCTCTCCCACAACAATCTTCAAGGCAAATTAAGCAAACAGTTGTCACACTGGCCAGCTGAGGCATTTGAAGGGAACTTAAATCTTTGTGGAAGCCCTCTTGATCGTTGCAACAACCTTGCATCCAGCAAGCAGCAATCAGCCCTAAGCGAAACATCTGTGGTGGTCATATCGGCAATTTCAACTTTAGCTGCAATTGCTCTGCTGGCGCTGATAGTAGCCATCTTCATGAAACAGAGGAGAGAATATTTAAAGAGAGCCAGTGAAGTGAATTGCACCTACTCTTCCAGTTCTTCCCAAGCACGGAGAAGGCTACTCTTCCAGAATGGTGCTGCTAATCAGGACTACAAATGGGAAGACATCATGCAAGCCACAAAATTTTTAAACGAGGAGTTTGTCATTGGCACTGGAGGGTCTGGAACGATCTATAAAGCTGAATTACCAACGGGAGAAACAGTGGCCGTCAAAAAGATTTCTTGGAAGGAGGATCTTCTATTGAATAGAAGCTTCACAAGAGAAATTAGGACACTTGGGAGGATAAGGCACAGGCATCTAGTGAAGTTGATGGGGTATTGTAGCAACAGAGTGGCTGGTTTGAATCTCCTGGTATACGAGTACATGGAGAACGGAAGTGTGTGGGATTGGCTGCATAAGCATCCGGTGAATATCAAGAAGAAGAGCCTTGATTGGGAGGCTAGGATAAGGATTGCTGTGGGATTAGCCCAAGGAGTGGAATACATCCACCATGACTGCGTGCCAAAGATTGTTCATAGGGACATCAAATCAAGCAATGTGCTGTTAGATTCTAATATGGAAGCACATTTGGGAGATTTCGGGCTAGCAAAATCGCTTGCTGAGAATTATGACTCCAACACAGAATCAAATTCATGGTTTGCAGGGTCTTATGGTTATATTGCGCCAGGTAGTAATCAAGCATTACCTTCAACAATACCGTATGATTAAGAGCTCACAAAAATTTCATGATCTTGAGTGTGATGTTTATTTGTGTTTGCAGAATATGCTTATACATTGAAGCCAACTGAGAAGAGTGACGTCTACAGTATGGGCATTGTACTAATGGAGCTTGTCAGCGGGAAAATGCCAACCGATGTCCTTTTCGGTGTAGACATGGACATGGTGAGATGGGTGGAGACGCGTATCGAAATGCAAGGTTCTGATCGTGGGGAACTGATTGATCCTGCATTGAAACTGCTCTTACCTTGTGAGGAATCTGCAGCATATCAGGTGCTTGAAATAGCACTAAAGTGCACGAAAACCGCTGCACAAGAGAGGCCATCTGCCCGGCAGGCAAGTGATCTCCTCATCCATGTTTTGAGTAACAGGATGGTGGATTTTGACAAGATGAATACGGAACCCTACAAATGACCTGACGTTGTTAGTTCCCATGGATTGAAGTTTTAAATCACTATAAAGAGAACTCGTTGGTGCAATCTCATATTGTGAAACATTCATATTATTCGTACTTTATGCCAAAATCTACGCTCAGAAACGTAGAAGCCCGAGTTAGTATTAAAATGTTTGAATGGCTTTTGTTGAGAATTTTTTTTCTTTTTTTTATAAATAGTTGAAAGAAAATCCATCCATTCTAATAATATCTGTGGAATTGGACACCAAGACATATTCTTCTTCTCTTCCACATAATCCAGCAAGCAAACATGCAGCACCCATCTCATTAGTTTGAATAAGCTGCGATGGTTCATACTACCTACACGACTTCAAAGTTCAAATACCACAAAAGACATGGCTATTCAAGCTACACAAGCGCAAGCAAATAGGCCGTGAGGAGGATGACAAACCAACCCTCCCCCCTTTTTATGTTTCCTTAAAGCATTGCTTGATTGTAAGGATGAAAAGAGATAAAACAATGAAAATTTTATTATTTTAATGATTAAGCAACAAAGTAAAAAAAATTACTATGAATTTTAATCATTATATTAATAAAATTTTCATGTTCGCCTCTTTCCATCCTTCCTACCTTCCTGCTGTGCAAAGCTTAAGCGCTACATGCACAGAGTTACTTAAAATTGAGCAAAGCGCACGTACCCATGGAACATGGTTGATTAAAAGGAACTAAATTTCTAAATAAGCACACTACTTTAATATTTCAACCTATTCTCATTATATAAGTCCTAAGGTTTTACAAACCGCACTTTCTCGAAGATATTTTAGGCAGTTTTTAGCTCAGATTACACTAAGAATAGAATCTTCAAAATTAAATCCTCAGCCATTCCAACATAATTCGTACTTAAAAAACACTGCAGCTCAAAAACAGTGCAATTTCTTTGAATTATTTTTAATTATTAAAAGAGGAGAGTTTGCACCCAGAAGGCATGGAAGCTTAAATTCAACTACAAAAAAGCAAATGCAGAAAAGTTCGACAGGCTTGAAAAACAAACATACAGTCCCTAATCATCCATCCATCATCCACCAACAATCCAAACCAGTTTTATGACCACAGTTGCTTGCTTGGTGCACGATGATAGTGGGAAAGCATCAATCACCATCTTCATCTGCAATTTAAAGAGAGAGAGATTGAGGAAATTTATGTCAAAACAATGCTATGCAAGCAGATAAGATAGGTAACTTTAATCATTTACTTTGGTGGAGCAAGGTCTTAACTATTACTACTGCAATTGATCAGTTAACAAGAAGATTTTAAGAAATTAGAATCTCCATTACCACACTTTGTAATTTCAAACAAGGATCAGCTTGGGACAAAGTAACAACAATTGATGGCTGCAACATAGAAATTTAAAGGGCTCCTTCATATGGGGAACGTGCATGCAGATGCAGTATTATTATTATTATTATTAAGACAGATATAAGAATATAACATTCATGCAAGTTGCATAAGCAGGAGAAGAATAAAATAACAACACTAAAGATAGGATTGGGGGCTGATAAAATTGATTGTAGATCATAATTATTTCGATATTATAAAGTGATAAAAATGATGGCCGTTAGTTTTATTATGCGTTAGATAGATAAAGAAGACAGTGGCCGGAGTGGAGATCCATGGTGAAGCATCGAATTCGAAAGTACGCTCCACGCAGTGACTTCACTTTGCATTGTAATAAGATAAAAGAATTAAAGTAGAAACAACTCAAGTCAAATAGGGTAGAAAAAGCGAAGTCATGAATCAAATACAGACCGAAGTAGCGGCGCTCGTTGGCTGCCTTGGCCATTTCGAGCATTTTATCAAGGTCTTGTTCCACCTGAGCCTCCCATTTTACCAGCAGGTTCGCGAACAATGCTCCCAGACCAATTCCCAACACGTGCTCCCACGGATCTGCAATTCAGTTTCAATTTCAATTTCAATTTCAATTACTAGTCTAGAGTTTCAAATTTGGAACAATTTCAAATAAATAGAGAAAGAAATCGCACGTCGCATGTAAGGGAGGTGGCGGATGCCGTTGGAGTAAAACTGAGTGCCCAGCCCGAATAGTGCTCCGATCACCGTGGCGCTTACTGCCATCTCTCTTTTCTTTTTCCCTCCTTCTTTACCTGTCCGTCCCTACCTCTTTTTTATTATTATTTTCAATTTTTTCTCTCAAATTTGTGTTTGTGATTATATAATCAAATCAATGCCACATGATATCGCCACGTGTCTCGCTATTTTGGGTATTGCTATCCTTTTTTTACCGCATCCGTACCTGCATTCCATATGCTACAAATGATTGCCATTTTTAGCTCTGGGCCTAAACCTTAAGCGTTTGAGCAAAGAAGGAAATAAGTTAGTAGGCCTTTTTATTCAGCCCAATTGGGAGGCTTGCCTTGGATCATAGTCATAGACTCAATACCAAAGCTTGAAGTTTAGTTCTGGGCCAAAATCTAAGGCCTAAATTGAAATGCTCTCAAAAAATGCATGGTGCATCATTCTTTTTATATTTTTTCATGTATATATTACTTGTCCTGATATTATTATTCTTTCTGTTCTTGATTACAAAAGATGAAATGACTTAGAATTATGGAAGTATATCAAAATTTACTGTTTTGTGTCACTTTGATGCAAAAGTTTGGGAATTTACCTGATATTATTATTTTTTGATACATTTATTTTACTCAAACCTAATGGGATCGGATTTTTATCCAAATGAAAATGGATAATTATTTAATTTTAGAAAAAAAATAAAAGTGGATATAATTTTGAAATACTCATTCAATATAGAGATGAAGGCACTAATATTTAATATATTAAATATATATTTTTAATAAATAATTTATTTTAATAATATATTTAAATATATATTTTTTAGTAAAATTCATGTGAATGTTTAACATTTTCACCAAATTTTTTAAACTTTCGTCCAATGACAAACTTTAAACAGATATAAATTTAAAAAAAAAAAAACAAAAAAATAATTTTGAATTTTGTTTTTATACTTCAATTTTAATATATTTTATCACTATACTTTTCATTTTTATTTACAAAAATTAACTAAAATACCATTTCAATTAATGCAAAATTTCGTGAAATATTTAATTATTTTAATTTTGTCCAAAAATCAATGAAACTAAAAGTGCAGCGATAAAATTTAATAAAATAAATTTGATTTTAGTCTTGAAATAAATTAACCAAAACTAATAGTACCCTATCTTTAATTACATAATTATCGTTGTGTTGATCAATTTTTTTTCTAAAATATATATTTTCCATTCTTCTAACCAATTTGCGCAGAAAAAAAATTTTGTCACGGTGAAAGCTCAAACACACCAAAACTATTTTTTAAAAATGATTTTATTTAAGATTTAAAATTTAGATGTCATATTAAATATTTTAAAATTTAATAATCACATTGAATATTTTTTATTATAATGCAAAAAACATTCGTAATATTAATTTTATTAATAAATCATTTATTAATTTTTTGTAAATATGTTTAACATGAGATTTATTAACCTTTTATCCTTATACGATAAATTTCAATTAATTATAATCAATTGCCAAATTTAATTCGATACCAAAAAAAGTCCTGGGTGATTATTAAAAGGAAAAAAAAATGGGAAAGATAAGGGGCTGGGGTTGGATAAGGATTATGATTAGTATTAGAGAAGAATAGGTTGAGGCCCTTGTTTAGGTAAGTATGTATCTATATTAAGAAGGGATGTGTAAGCAAATCCAATAGCATAAGCCAAGAAATAGCAATGTAATTAAAACCTTGCAATCTAAATAGATGCAAAAGCAGTACTACTTTCGTGGTTGGATTCAGTCAAAGTCGAACACAGTATAAATTATAACATATTTATAATTAGATACTAGTTTCACTGCAGAATAATTTTTTATTTTTTTAAATTATGTTTTAAATATGAGTAAAGTAAAATTTTTATATAAAATTTTAATGAATGATAATATGTAGATAAATATAAGTGTATTTATTTTTTAATATAAATTATAATATAATTTTATATAAATATTATTTTTTACATTAAAATATTAAATAATATCTTTACTAATACAATATATATAAATATTAATTAAATGAATAATAAAATATATTTTTTTATATATTTTCAAGAGGATAGGAGTGGAGTACTCTAAACTTGATCCAAATTGTTTAAGAAAACAAAATTTAATCAAATCTTTATTCTTAAAAAAACTCATTCTTATTAAAAAAAAAAAAAACCCACATTGATTTTATTATGATAAATCAAAATTTATTGAATATAGGTTGTTTTATCATCTTTATATTTATTAATTTTTTTTACTAAATTTATCTAATAAATAAAATTTTAAAAAATATAAAAAATAAAAAAATAAATGAAATAATACATGAATTTATTAAATTAAAATATTAAATAATATTTATTAATAATATATAAATAAATAATAAAATATATATTTTTATATATATCAAAGTCAAAACGCAACATCGAAGTCAAAATGTAACACTTTAAACATTACTCGAACTTTAGCTGAATTAAAAAAAAAAAGAAAAAAGAAAAAACTCAACTCAATTGTGCTTTCTTTCACGACAACAATTCCATTTCCTCTTTCTTTTGGCTACGAGTTCAACTAATCGAACTGATAGGCCTCTATCCCATCGGCCTTTCTCTCGTTTGCGGCTCTGGCTACAGTTACAAATTTTCTTAAATATAGGGGTTATGACCTATACCAATGGTCTAAGACATATGCAAAATACCCTACAAATGCAAAACAAACAAACAAGTCATTTAACACCATTCCGTTGTTTTCGCTAACAAGTTTGCTTCTCCACCTCTGGTTCTGTTTTCTCTGTTTCTTTTTCCTTTTCTAAAGAAAAAAAAACCCCAAAAAAAAACACAGGATCCTTCGGCCATTTCCGATGTCCCTTTTTGTTTTTATTCATTTGTGAGGTTGGTCTGTTCCCAATCTCCCCGCCCATTTACTTACGGCTTAAATGGGATTCTGTTCCTTAGCAATGGCCTTGGTCATATACAAGCAAATTTAATGAAATCTGCATTGTGAAAACATGGCATCTTCTCAAGTGGAGATTGTTTCCTCTTCGCCTTTTGGATGTGTCCTAAGGGACCACAACCGGAAAGAACGATGCAGAGAGAGCAATGTGAGAGCTGTGCAAGCTGTGTTCGAGAAGAATTTCAAGGAATTGTTTAGAGATCATATCCATGGCTGCATCTCTCTCTCTTCCGCCGAAAATTCACAAAGTCAAATTACCCATGTTGCTTCTTGGGTCACCAATGAACAAGGCAATGGTAACCGTCATAACTTGCGATTGCTAAACAAGAACCAGCACCACCACAACAACATTAAAAACGAGGAGCCTTCGGTTATCACCCCTAGGCAGTCTCCAGTTCTTGATCGATGTGTAACTAGACAGGCTCAAGATGTGACGGCATCCACCATCGAGAAACATGTAAATGAAACTGCAGAGCCATTATTAGTTCCTTCAAATTCAAACACTGCGTTACCAATAACATCAATGGCATCAAGTTGTAAGACGAAAAATGCCCAAAACATTTCCGCTCAATTGGAGAATTCCTCGGTCAAGCACAATCTTGGTGCTTCTTCCCTTGTTCAAATATGGGAGGCCAGGCTGAATCGATCCAACAGCGTAAATTTAAACCAGAACCAGAACCAAAGCCAAAGTCAAAGCATGGATTCTAACAGTAGCAGGACAAGTTCTGGCTTAAGCTCTATTGATAACAATGCCTCACCTGTCGAAGAACCTTCAACAGGTGATTCATTTGACGAAAAATTTGACAATGGAACAAAAAATGAGGATTCTTTAATAGACTGGGAGTCACAATCAGATAGAACTGGGCCAGGTGAACCACCTTCTTCTTCGTGTAGCAGGAGTTTTGATGCTGGGGAAAGCGAAAGAGTGAGAATTGCAGATATCATTAAGAGACTGAAAAATGGTAGAGAAGATACGGATGATCATGAGCATAGTTATAACATTACTGACTCACAGTGTAGAGAGCACAAGCATAATTCCACATCAGATCAAGCAGAGAAGAGGTGTTTCTCACAGGTTATAAACTCACCACGACTAAGAGGGCGACAAGCATTCAATGATTTGCTTATGCAGATAGAGCGAGACAAGAATAGAGAGTTAGATTTGCTAGTGGAACGCCAAGCAGTCTCAAAATTCTCACAGCGTGGCCGTCTTCAGGTATGTTTTCTTATATAGCCATAATAAGATAAATTTATTATATATTAAGGAATTCATTCATTCGTTCCAACTCGTTTTTGTTATGTTTGCTTTATGCTTTCCATATTACAGTCAATGCTGCGGCTTAGATGTCTTCAACGCAGCGTGACAATTCAAGATAAATGTCGTCCTCAATCACCGGGATCTCACGTGAATCGACTTTCACAAGGATCTACCATTATGCATCTCAGGTATCATGATTTTACTCCGTTTGCTTTGCTATTTGAAATTACTATGATATCACTGACTCCATCTGGTTATTTAAATAAGGAAGGACTGAATTATATAACAATTTATTCCAAAAACATTTGTACCTTTTGTAGTGATATTTAAACTATCTGCTCTTTCATTGTACCATGTAGCTTTGCTTGCTTCAAGCTAACAGATTAATTCTTGGGAAATCTGTTTGAATTTGAATCTCATCCAGCTACGTTTTACTTTAAGTTAAAGAAAGCTTCAGCCTCTAAATGCATGTGCCCAATTTCTAATTTATTCAATTAGATTTTCCCTTTGTTTTGCCTTTTATCGACCTATGTTAACACGAAACTTAAACTGAATACAGGGAGAAGTTTAGCAATGGTACTGAGCATCTCATGACAGCCCAGCTTGATTCAGCTACTCCAAGATGCCTTCATAGGGAGGTCTTAAACAACTCGATACAGTTAGACAAAAGCTCCACTTCCAAACCGCAAAGTGAAGATACTCATTGCCAAAAGGTGTCTTTCACTGGGCACCAGAGTAAATGGCCAGTTAATCGCTTGACAATGAACAGAAATGAAGATCTTCATGAGCAGGCCAAGCCACCTTTCGATGCCATACAGCAGAAAACAAGCTTGGAAGCAAGGTGCCTTGAGTCACTAAAGACTGCAGAGGCAACAACGCCCTTGGAGCGTCAATCTGAGAATGAGATGGCAAAGAAACAAGGGTCCAGCAGCCAACAACATCTCTTCCTTGACTCACAAGAAACTGCAGAAACGATATCATCTTTGAATGTCTATAAACAAAATGAGATCGCGGAAGAACAAGATAATCACCACCAGCATCGTTCTCTTGACTTGCAAGAAACTATAGAAACAGCATCCTTGAATTGTAGCATCGAGAATGAAATTGCTGAAGAACAGGATATTGGTGACCAACAGCATCTCTGCCTTGACTCTCAGGAACTTATAGAGAACTCAACATCCTACAATGAGCAGGATGAGAATGAGGTAACTGAAGAACTGGAGGATCATTACCAACAATATTTTGTTCAAACAAATTATGACTGGTTTAGCAATATATCTCGACCCAGAAGTTATTGGGAAGGCTTACGGAAATCATGGTACCAAGAAGTGCTTAACACCAACGCAAAAAATGAGGAGATACGTCAGCTCCTAGAAAGGTATATTATCTTTTACATTTTACTATTTCTTTTTACCATCTGTGTTCACCTTCAGTAACTCCAATATTCATGAGTTAAGTGAAATTTGTGTATATGATGCCTCTAGTCTAAAATTGATGCAGTAGAAACAAACGGGGTATAATTCATACGATTGCAACGTTCTGATTTAAATTGTTTAACTTACATTATTATCAGAAGCTATAGATTGTGCCAAATAAAATTTCTTAAACTACTTTAGTTTATGTAGCCAAGAAGATTAACGATGGTTGTTCCTTTGGTACACGTAACAAGCTAATTCATTTAATCAATATGAAGGGGGAAAAAATGCAAAAACAATGGGTAAACATTTGTCATAAAGTCTATATCATCTTTAAAATCATTTGCCATTTTTTTTTGTATATGTTCGATATATTTTATGGTCAAAACATTGGAATGTTTCGCATGCACAACCGTGAAAAATGAGATAAGGTTATATAAATTGATGAGCATTTAGCAAAGATCAGTACCTAGCTAATGAGAAAATAGTTCTTTGATTGCAAGATGCAAAACCCGTCATCTTAATTTCCAATTTACTTATGCAGGGGAAGAGTTTCAACTTTTCTTGCCAGTGATTTCCGAGAGAGAATGGACCAATTAATGATTTCTCGTGTACAAATGCAAGCAGATCGAGCTGAAAGTCAAGAAGGGGTGGACGATGAGGACAGAATGGTCCAAGTGATGCCTTACCTACAGAAACATTTGCAGCCAGCAGGTGGTCAAGGCGAAGAGGAAGAAAGTGTGGTGGATGGACAAGAAGAAGAGGAAGTGGAAGAAGGAGTATATGAAGAAGAAGAAGATGATGAGGAGGAGGAGGAGGATGAAAGGAGCCTAATCAGCCATCAATTTCATGAAGCCAATAATTATTTTAATCAATCCTCATCATCTTTGCAAGTGCCTTCACCATCTGATCTGATGAGGTCATGGAGTTTTCAAGATGATAACGAAACTGGTAATTATTCTGATAGGGATCCATCTGCATTTTCACCTCCACTAGGACCATCTCAAGGTCAATATTATCAGGATACTAGACAGTCCTCTTCTTCGATAAGCCGTCCTTCGCTGGTGAGTTCTTTTGGATATCTTTTGAATATTTATGTTGTTTCAACATTTTCAAAATTTTTATCAGTTACTGGTCATTGGTTTTGCATTACTATATATTACAGGAAATGGAACTCATTTGTGATTTAAGAGGGCATATCGAGCAGCTTCAGCATGAGATGGGTGAGCTAAGAAAATCAATTCTAAGCTGCATGGACATGCAGATGAAATTGCAACAATGTTCCTTTAATTTGGAAGTTCATTCGGGTGAGACTTGATAACTAAAGTAATTAATTCTTTATATATTTTATCTTCTTGCTTCTCTAATTAAATCACATTTCTATAGTAAATTACGTCTTTGGGTTTTTACAATAAAAATTTTCAGTTATCAAGAGGGAAAAAAAAGTTTAGACATACGTTATGAAAATGAGATTTTGATTTTTTTTTTTTTTTTTTGTATCTTCCATTCATTTTTCACTTTCACTTGACAACGTTTTAACTTTTTATGTAGTATATATTCAACAAGGATGGATCAATCTTGTGTTGTTAGTGTAGATAGTATACAAATATATATCCCTTAATTAATCTCTCTTAGTTCTTTTGTTCTTAATTTTTCTCTAATTTGTTACCTAATAGCGATGACTAGTGTTGTTGAAATGATTAATATTACAGTTGGCGGGGAAGGAAGGAATTCAGCAGATAAGGCTCCATGGAAACGCAGTTGTTGTATTTGCTATGAAATGCAGGTTGACTCACTTTTGTACAGGTAGATAAATAGTATATCATGACACCAATTAAAGCTATCCTAATCCTAGCTAGCTGGCTAACTATTTATACATGGTGTTGTTGTATAGATAAATACGTAATGATATTTAACTTAATTTATTTATGTAATCATTATTAAGAGATATTAATACATGTAATTTTTTTTATCTCTTAAAAAAAATTGAAAAGGATTGTGTTTTGGACTTGAAAATGAATATAATAAGTAAAACAGACTGCAGACTCTCGAAATTAAAAAAAAAAAGAAGAAAAAGGACTAGTGATCGATGAGTGTGCATTAACATTTACACTGTTCTCCTATTTGGTTTCAGATGCGGGCACATGTGCACCTGCCTGAAATGTGCGCATGAATTGCAATGGGGAAGTGGAAAATGTCCAATATGTCGAGCTCCAATCCTGGATGTTGTGCCAGCCAAGTGAACTAACGCATCGAGTTCTTGCTCCAGAGGACCGTACGTCTGCATTAATTCTTAATTAACACTAATTGAAATGCAGCACATTATTCATTAATTGCAAATGTACGAACTAATTGTTGAAGTTTTTTTATTTTATTTTTCTTTTGAATACATATATATTAATTGTGGATGTTTAATTATTAATAAAAAATTCACTAGTTTATAGTTTGTATTTTTCATTTCTCTATCTAATCACTACATATATATACACTATAAGAACTGCATGTCTAACTACAAGAGAAAGAGGCCAGACCTCTGTCTGTATGTGAATCTGTCTCTCTCCATATACTTTGTGAAAAAAATATATATTACTGCTACTCTATATTTATATTTCGTAGAACTAACCATTTCCTTTCAAACTCTCTGCAATCTGAATGAAAGGTGAAGTAGCTATAGCTCCAATTTATGAGGAAATAATAATATGGACTTGTTATTTATAGAATCTTTAATCAATCAATTTTTATTGTTGACTTGTAGGGATATCATGTTCATCCAAATTCGATGGGAATCTAATTTCTTTCCTAACGAGACGGGTTCGAAGATAATGAAATCTCTTAGGCAAGACGGTGAAAGGGGAGATTTTGAATTTTCTGCCAAGGATGAGGAGCATATTCTTCACCTTGCCCCCGTCTGTGATATTTAATAAATATCTTTTACATTATAAATTTCATTTGAATTACCTCTTGTTCTAATTTTTTAAATGAAATTTTGTTCCATTTGTTTTGTTGTAGTTGGTGTAATTTTTTAGTTATTGTAAAATGGTTGTTGTTTTTCTAAAAAAAAATGGTTGTTGTTTGACCAATATTTATATGATAAAGTATGAAATAAATCATTTTTAATGTTTTTTAGAAAATTAAGGAGATGGGGGATCTTCCGTCCTCACTAGATTCCCGTAGGGAAGGAAATGGGGGGGGGGGGGGGGGCGAAATTAAATAGGTAGCTAGAAAACTACCCTAACTTAAGAATAATTACTTTGGCCACATAAATTTTGGTTGTACTTAATTTATTATTAGAGTTCTAGGAGTAGTACTTATAGTTTATATATTTTTTTTATTAAAAAAAACTCTTGGGTAAATCATGCAAACCTATCAATCCACACAATGTTAAAAGATACATGACATATAAGTGTGCGTTCAAATTACCACTTAGAATTTTCAGGTTAATCAAAGCTGCAAATCTAGTGCTTATAAATACTTGTTAAGGTGATATTTATAAAAATATATATTTTGTAATTAATGTATTAATCTTTTTGTTTTTAAATTTGATATGAGTAGTGCACTAAGTGCCTGTAGACACTTGTTAGAGCCGAACCCATTTAATTAAATGCCTCAACACCTGTTAACCCATTTAATTATATTCTTTCTTATTTTCTATTTTGAGAGAAAATTATGAAAGCGAAACTAGTATCTCTTTCTTTGAAAGCAACAAAGAATTTACCACCTAAAAGTTCACATAATCTGGTTTAAACAAAGATTTCAAGAGGTGAGTGAGAGATCAGATTAATGTCAAGTGTGCCTATGTATTTCACTCGGTCTGAATTTTTTTAATAAATTTATTTGTTTATGGTTTTAGCACTAACGATATCAGATATAGAGTTTCATTTTGTTCTTATTCTTATTGGACGGTTACAATTCAATTTCCATGCACTGCTTTGTTTTTAATATATTTATGGTAGATCAATATGTCCTATGAAAAGTGTCCAGACTTAGTGGCCGGGGTCTAGCCTTTTGTAGCCATCAACTTGATAAATTTTTGGTTCTGGTTCCAACTTAGTTTTTGCCTAAACTGTAAAATTGTTTAGAACTAGAAATGGGCCGCCTGATGTTGCATGTTTATTTTTTTTATTAATTGAAATACTTTTTAAAAATTATTTAAAAATTATTTAAAAATTATTTTAATTTTAATTTTTTATTATTTTAATATGAATTTACAATTTATTTTAATTTTTATTATTTTGACGTGAATTTTAGAACTTATTATTCTCACAATATATATCTAATAAAAACTAAAAAAAAAAAAAAAAACTTCCTTTATTTTAGGGAAGATTCCAGCTACTCCTTCAAAGGCTGAGGTTCTCTACTTCAATAAGACACCTTGATATCTTAGCCATCAAAATTTTATAAATTTGGGGTTAAAAAAAAACAAGTTAGTATAATGACATCGACTTGGAATGAACAACAAAATTCAGAAAGTTATGAATCTTCAATCACGTTGATGCTGATGGTGAGATTAAGATAGGTGCTAGTTTGGCTCAAAATATAAAATTTCTCAGATTGAGACCGAGTTTTTGGGCCTACGTGAGATAGCTTGGAATTGGTTTCTTATCATGGAGAGATTTTATTTAGCTGATCTCCATGTCCCCATTTTGGATAGGTTTGATAAGTGTTGCAGATTATAAATATGATGATATGGTTTACTTATTATTAAATAAAGTGTTTAAATATTAATTTCATTTTATCAAAATAAATTCTTGAGAGGTCTCCTCTTTGTTTCATTATGCTGGTTATGTTATTGCCCATTTTTTGACAAGCATTTTTTTTAGTTAGTGAGTTCATATCAAAGCAGTAAAAATGTTGGAATGATTCTAGCACAGGTGAACTCTTTCTATATCTTCAGAGTGTTATTTTTTTTTAATATAAAAGGTTATTGGATCCAGAAGTATTAGTATTGCGTACGCAATTGAATAGGGAAAAATATACATTACTTACACATGGCAATAAAGATTTTGTCTCAGTTTTAATGAAGAGATTTTGCATCAATAAAGATTCCCGAGTTTCGCTGTAAGCGAGTATCATTACATACGCGGCGAGTAAAATCCAACTTTATATTGATTGTTGGTTTGTCTTTGTTACTTACTAAGTAGAAAAACACCCGGGCATTTAGGCCTACGAAGCCCAGCCCAGCAGTTGGATCCAAACTTTTCCTTGGAAACGGTCCTCGAAACACGTTTGTCCACCACCGTTGCTGCTTTACTTCTGACAAGATCTGATTTTTTGGTACATTGTCGTCTACTATTGGTCTTTTGCCACATTGCACCACTGCAAACTCCTACTTTTTAAACATCGCAAGCGCTTGCGTGGGCACAAACGGATCAACCTTTAATAAAATTGTCAATTTTCTTGCAGTAATGCATCAAATTCGTTCATGCAAGCATGCCACGGAGGAACGGCTTTTCTGTGTTAGAGACGTGGCAAATGGTGAACAAAGCAACATCGCCTCATCCAAAAGAGCTTGGCTTCTCAAATGTTCTGGTGGCTGTTGGTGTATCATGTAACAATTTGAATTGCACAAGGCATCTCAACATAGGAAAGCAAATAAAATAGAGGTTATACATTCAAGCTACAAAGCATGTCCAAAATTTCTACTGGAGAGAATTATAAAATAATATCAACACTACAGATATACCAATGATAACTGGAAAAGCAGTGACCAAGTACAGTGCCCCATAACCCTGCAAAAGAATCATCCTTTTTGAATCTTAGAAACGCAGAAAACAAATTTCAAAGTAAATGGTAGACTGACTATGCATCCATCACAAGAAATGCTTTGAGATTTTGATCCTAATTCAAACCAAAACACAGCAGAAAGATACCCACAGTAACCTCCTTAGAAATTAAATTACCCAATTCAAGAAAAAAATAACAACAAAAAACCACAGTAAACTCTTCGGAAGTTAGATTAACCAATTCAAGACAATAATTAATCAAGAACAAAAAGGAAAGAAAATTAAAAACTAAGAACAGGATAATATATAGGTTTTAGAACATGTTCTCTATGAGCACTGATGTAGGAAGAAAAAATTTCACCCGCAAAGATCTGAGACAAATTGCAGTTTAGCTCTTGCTCCCAACAACTTTTATTATCTCAATTAACTTACTAGGATTTTTATGCATTCCTTATTGAAATAATGATGGTACAATATACATATCCGACATGATCCTTCCTAACAGAACTTTAAGCCAATTCGGAATTTAAAAACATATTTTGCATGTGAGGTGTCAAAACCATTCATGTGCTACATTGATATGTCTAATGCAATAATGCAATTCACTAAACAACATACACACAGTCAAGCAATTAGGTACCTGCACTCCTATTGCCAGCGGTGAAAACAAAGCTAAAATTTATGCCACACTTACAACAAAATGCACTTCTATGGGCAGTCATATTCCAAAAGGCAAATTAAGCAGGCATAGCAATTGTGCAACTCTGAAATGAATAATACAACCATAAACCCAGGGTGTGAAATTAAGTCATCAAAGTCTATTAACCATTTTTGTTTTATTTAAGCATTAGTGCCTCAATAAGGCAAGCTTCATCGCAAAAAGCCAACCATTCAAAAAAGAACAGATGCAGAAACTGATATCAAATTGACCTGTAAAGAAAATAATTGTTAGAATATTAAAATCAGGGATAAAAAAGCAAACCACTGCAGGGGGCACTTCTGTTTCATCGCTAATGTCAGCATCTTCAATTTCAGCAGCAGAATCCCAATCAATATTCAGTCTCTTAGCAGCCTCTTTAGGATCAATGCCGGTGTCTGTCGCCTTTGCATATAGGGATTTTCTACGTTTTTTCTTTGGCGCTTCAACCTATTTATTAAAGACAGCAAGCATTCTCAAATCTCAATCCAAACAAGAATATTTCCCTGATCAATTGTTTGCACAACAAAAATGGAACTAATAAGTAATCTCATTGAGGCATATTACTTCTGGAGTGTTAAATGAGTATCTTGTCAGTTATCATATAAAAGAATTTAGTCCTGGAACTCCAGAGAAGCAGACGAAGATCACAAAAGGACAAAGTAAAGGAAGTTGAACTTTGAAGAAGGTAAGAATGATGACACAACTGTAAAGTTGAAAGAAGTTCAAAACACAGAAATGGGAGAGAGAAAAAAAAGAATTGCATAAGCTTTTTTGATTGTTGAAAGTATTCAATTTGTTTTCACTTTAGTGTTAGTGAAATTACATTTTTTAAATTAAAACCTTCTGCTTCATGGGAGATTCTACCGAGTGGGTAGATAATAACCAAATTCCAATAGTGTTAATATTTTAGGCCAAAGATAAGCAAAGCAAACCACAGAATGCATGAACATGAACAACTTTACAACTTGATGTGCCATCAACACTAATTGGAGTTAAACCAGCTTTGACCTTAGGTAAAGCAGCTCCATTCACATGTGAGAAGCTTTCTAGACGTAATCTTCAGCTAGAACCTAGAAGCAGAAACTAAGGAGTGAGGATTGACAAAGTCAAAAGTAAAAAAAAAAAAAAAAACCTCTAAATTAGGCCAGTTGCTCATTTCCTCAGCTAGCATCCTGAGAGCGACACGATTTGTGGGTATCTTCCCTTCATTGACCTGTTAAAATAGAGAAACAAACAGCCTCTTGGAACGGTTTCTTAGATTAGTGTTAGAAAGAGGATGGTGATAGTTTAAGCGAAAATGAAAGTAGTGCAAAACCATCTATGGGCTCCAAGCTTCAAAAAAGGATGCGAAAGGATATCGAAAAAAAAAAAGGAAAATGACAAGAACAGGTTATATAGATATGGGATGCGCAGTATACAAGTAAGTATGCAAATTGAAGGCAGGGCAGGGAAGGGAAAGGGAACTCACTTGTTCCAGAGCGTCGACAAGATCATCCCTGGTAGGGGAATCAGGATCTTCAATCCCGAGCAATCTCCTTCTCTCAACTTCTCTGGGGTCCTCTATCATCACGGTCAGTTTAACCTGTATATATAATATATATATATATATATATATATTATTAAATAAAGGGAAAGAATAAATAGTAAAGAAATTAAACTATTAGTAGTGGTGGTAGCAATACATACCTCGCTGAATAACATATCCCGGTTTTTCCTTAGAAGTTCCAAAACCTAGTAATTAATAAACAGATTGATTAAAGTGATACATTAACAGGGAGTGCGATACTACTATTACTATGCTAGTTATAAATAAAACATCGTCGAATTGAAGGAATGGAGTGGTCTTACCCTTTGGATTTGGCGAACCCATTGGAGGTCCTCGTTTTCTTCTTGTTGGATGGTTGGTGATGAAGCATCATCTTCATCAATGCCAACTTGTTGCGTGTCTTCCTTCCCGACCCCAACAACAACCACAACTCCACCACTACTCTTCCTCCTCTGGAGACTCATCAAACTGCGGACTTTGTTCAACTTGAGATTCACAGCCAATGATTTGCATGTGGATAAGGTTTTAGGCGCAGGTGGAGATGAAGATGAACAAGTCGATGCAAATGCCACTTGGGACGCTTGCAGAGTCCCCATCTACCACTATCACTACTACTACTTTTTTTTTTTTTCTTGCCCCGAAACCTAGACACTTGAAAGCCACTAACGAGTTTCTCTTTGGGATTCCGATTGATTTTTCCTCATTTCCTAACTGTTACCAGCTAGGTAGCAGCAGTATTATGCTATCAGCCCCTTGCGCACTGGGCCTTGACCCTGAGGCCTCTTGGTCTACTAAACAAATGGGCTCCGACAGCTTATAAAATTAAAGAGAATCACCTAAAAAATCTTCTATCTGTTCCCTTATTTGTTCCACAGGTGTTCAAATCCAGCTCTCTTTTTGGACTGTTACATATCCTCTACCTCAACAAAGGTGAAGGAGTAAAAAATCCACCATTCCTGGATTGATTCCGGTTTGTAAACCGGGTGTACGGGCAAAAAAAAAATTGGACAGAGTACAAATATAATGCCTTGAAAATCATACTTAATTTCTACTACTAGTATATTTTTAATATAATAATGCTAGTGTTGACTTAACCTTATTATTATTATATATATATATATATATTGTGACTTAATTTGATGATGGGGCATTGCTTTGATCCAACCCGGATCTCTGTTATTAATTGCTTTAAAGGTGCTAACTGAAAGAATAAGGAATAATTAAACGCTTTCGATATTGAAATAAGTGAGCATATATATTACTTATATTAATATGAGTACATATGTAAGTGTTATTTATTTTATCCTTTCATCAAAATAATTAAGATTTAAAGAGTTAATTACACCTATAGTTTTGAATTTTTGACTTAAATTTTATCTTAATTTTTAAACTTTAAAAAATTCTAATCAGATTCTTAATTGTTGAAAATTATCATATTTTGATCATTTCATCTATAAAACTATTTAAATTGATAATAAATGTAACTGACATCAATAATGGCAACAATTAGCATTTGACGTGATAGATGAAATATCAAAATAAAATTTTCTCAAAATTTAAAGACCAAATACGAAACTATTTCAAAAATGCTATAAATTTCATATATATTTTATAAATATTAAATTTAAAATTATAACAATTAAATATCATTTTAAAAACAAAAAATTATTTTCTATTAAAAATATTATTTTTCTCATAAATCATAATAAAAATATTATTTTTATTCATAAAATATATTTTTAAAATATTAAATATCTTTTATTTTATTTTTTCAAATATATTTTATAAAAAATAAATAAAAGAAAAGATAAAAATACTTCAAGAAAATATCTATTTTTATATATTTTATAAAATATTATAATTTAAAATATTTTTTAATTTTTATTATGATATGATTATCAATAAAAAAATTTTTTAATAGAAAATAGATTTTTTAAAAATAAAAATTAAGTTGAAAATTTCAAAATAATTTCGTTAATATTACATATTATTTTAAAAATTTAAGCAAAAATTTTAATATCGATTTAAGAAATTAAATAAAAATTCTATATCATGTTAAAAGATTGTGTACAAATTTTTAGATCATTTTCAAAAATAAATTTATTAAGCTATTCAAAAATATAAAAAATTTATATTCTTATAAAATAAAAAATATAATTTAGAACATTTTTTATTTTTTATAAAATGTATTTTATAAAATATATTTAAGAAAGAAAAATAAAAGATATTTAATATTTTAAAAAATAATTTTTTTGGATAAAAATAATATGTTTTATTTTGAATTATGAGTAAAATAATATTTTTATACATTTTTTTGTTTTTTAAATGTATTAAATTTTTAAAAAGGAATTTGAAAATTTTAACTTAATTTTAAGTTTTGAATATTTATTTTCTATTTAAAACAAAAATCTATCTAATAAATTATATTATAACAAAAAATATGCAAATATAAATATAAATATAATATTTTTATAACATATGTATGAAATATATAAAATTTTGAGATAGTTTCATTTTTTATCCTTAAACTTTAAAATAATTATATTTTGATCCCTCATCTGTCACGCGAAATACTAATTGACATCATCATGTAGTGTTAGCTAGCATTTGCCACTAATTTAGATGATTTCATAAATGAAGTGACCAAAATAAGACAATTTTAAGTAATTGAGGAGCTGATTAGAATATTTTAAAGTTTAGAGATAAAAAATGAATCTGAGTCAAAATTTAAGAACTATAGTGCTATTAACCCAAATTTAAAATATTTATTTCGATTCACATTCAAAGGTTAAAAAAAAAAAATTTAACATTTACAGTAGTGTAAGTTGATCATTTATCATCTATATCCAAATCCAAAGGTAGTGTTTTGTATCATTTTCAAGATCATTATGGTAATTTAATCATTTTAGTGATTTTATTATTAAGATTATCTTATCACTTGTGATTTTAAATTACTCATAATTTTAAATTATTTTTTCTTAGCAATCATTAATTTTTAGAAATTAAAAATCAATGTGTTAGATATTATTAAAATCAAACATCATTTTGTTTGAAAGTACTAAAATATGCATATTATAATAATTATATAAGTAAATGATTTCAATGTTAATTAAAAATAATATTTTATAAAATATTAGTAATATTGTGTTTACTTGATAATAAAATATAATTGAATTATTAAATTAATAAACATATTTATTGATAGATAAATTAATTTTTATAATATAAATTATGTAAAACATTTAAATTATAAAATAAAATTAATCTATCAAAATTATAATAAAAGAAAAATAAAAAGATTATATTATAACATAACATTAAAAAATAAAGAGAAGCACACAAAGGATTTTTGAACTTATTACAGTGAATATTAAATTAAAAAAATAAAATTTTATAATAAAAAATAATTACAAATTTGAGAGGAAATAAGTTTTTAATTGATATAATAAATATGTAATATTAATTATTATTAATTTTACATATTATGTCACCTAAGTAATGAAAAATCTCCCATTATTTTGAATGAGAATTAGATCATCCAAAACAACAATCTAATTACTTTCTGTAATCTAAAAATGTCGTCATATAAAATCATTAAATATTTATTAAATATAATAATCTAATTATCATTTATACATCACCAAAAGCTTTAACCCATCCCAAACACCACTTAAATATCAACATCTCAACATAATTCAAGGTCATGTTCAGCAAAACTGTTTTATAGGCGTTTGAAGCTGCAGCATTATCAAGATAGAGTAATTGATTACTCTCAGCTAATAATATATCAAATGATTTATTAAAGCTCTGTGAACGTAAATTATAAATTGTTCAAACCCCAAGGCCAAAATGATGACCAGGGGGAGGAGTTACCACCTGATGCGTGGGGTGAGGCTGAGGCATCTCAATAGCCTAATTGATTTGTTTATGATCGCCCATGTAATTGGTGCTTCATCATGTTAACATACATCCCATAGAAACAAAACCCCCAGCTCACGTCACAGTGGACACAGCCTTCACCTCACCCTGTACACCAATGCCGGCCCCTCCCACCACGGTCATGCCCAGCAATGCTGTCATGCATATCCCTTCTGTCACCGAACACGTCAGGATTACCATTCCCGCTGTTTCCATATAGCACAGCTGCTAAGTCATCACGTTGCTCATCATCTTCGCCCAATACACCCTCTCCTCCTTGTCGAATACCTTCTTTACTCTCCCTATTTTTCATCTCCGCAAATCCCGTCATGCCATCCTCACGCTCGCCAATGCCATCGGTGATATTTCCATCAGTAGCTACATTTCCATCATCATTGCATAACAATGCACCTTTTTCTTGTATATCATCTCCATATCGCTGGTTCTCTTTCCTTTTGGTTGGAGTTATTTTTAGTTTTACTTGAGATTACAATTTATTTTGGGACACACTGGCAGGCATGTAATATGATAATGGGTGCAAATACAACATGATGTTGATGGAATAAGAAAACCAGATAAAAATGGGCTAAGAGTGCGGGGATAATAGCACTTCAGCAAAAAAGAAAACCCCAATTCTTACAGCTATGGATCATGAGTTCTCCGTCATTGAGCTTGGGCTTGTTTGGAAAGTTTCTGAGGAGACCAGATAGAAGGTCCAAAGTTCTCCGCTCCCTTTTTTTCTTGTACAAAACATATAGCTTGGCTAAAGCAATCAAATGCTTCGTTGATAACCCCTTACCTGGTAAAAATTGAAGGTATTTGCCTTGATAAGACGCACATTTGCACCATCAACAACTGTATTAAATGGTTCATGCTACTGCAACCATTATCTTTTACATGAAAATACAATATTCTCACTCACAGTCACAACGTCCAAAAATCTAAATATTGATTTAAAGCACTGATAAAAAAGTAAGGGACTCTAGAAAACCAGAAGAAAATCATTAATGAGTCATGCTCTATCTAGCAAACCAAGGACCAAAAACCAAGAGTGATCAACTTTATATGTTATTTGATTCAATCACAACATTACAAAACTACTAATAAAGAAAAAGGTGGGAAAGAGATACATAGACTGGAAATCGGATGAGAACAAGGGAAGAAGAGGGAAAGAACCAAGGAGAAAATCCTTATAATAAAATCTGTTAAACCAATTCATCATTCATTATTCATATAACGCCACTGAAACTGAAAAAAATTTAAGTATTTATAACCTGCCTGTTATCCCTAATACTCGTTAAAGAAATAAACTAACTGGTATAAAATAATCTAAAATTCCTTAAATATATAAAAATCAATAGAATACATCTAAAGGCTAATATACTCTTCAATCATTATGAAATTGTTCTACTCTCCAACAATGTTTAAGATAACAAATACACACATCGTTTTTCAATAGATTTTAAGTGTCAAACCTTAAAAGTTCAAACAGTGTTATATGATAAGACAACAATGTATTTATGGTATTTTAAGATTTTTGAACAATTAGCAATAGAAGCTCCCAACTTCTTAAGGCTATAGTTATATCAAAAACTAGGAAACAATAGGGTTTAACGACTTACCTGACACCGAATGAAAGTAGCTTTAACCCAACTCTTAGCCCTAACTTTGCAACATTCTTTGATTTAAACCAATTAAAGGTTATCTAGAAGAGCTTTCTTCATTTTATTTCCTTTCATTTTGGAAGCCACCAATTAGATCAAAATAACCAAACGCCCTAATTAAAATTAAAAAAAAGAAA